AAAATCGAAAAATGGGGAAACGGAAAAATCCTCAAATCGAAGCAGAAACGCGAAAAATTTAATTATCTATAATTTAAGAACTGAAAATTTGAAAAATCGAAAAAGTAAAAATTGGGAAATCAAAAATTGAAGTATCGAAATAGTAAAAATCCCAAAACTGAAATATCGAAAAACTGAAAAATCTAGAAATCAAAGACGACAAATCGAAAAATTGAAGAGCGAGAAATCAAAAATTTTAAAAATTGAAAAATTAAAGTATCGAAAAATTGAGAATCGAGAAATTGAACTTCAAAACCTGAAAAATTCAAAATCTAGAATTTAAAACTCGGAAAACCAAAAATTTCAGAAATTGAAAAATCGAAATATTTGAAAAATCCCAAAACTGAAATATCGGAAAATTGAAAAATGGGAGAAAAATTGAAGAAACGAAAAATTGAAAATTTTTAAAACTGAAAAATCTAGAGATCGAAAAGTTGAAAAATCGAAGTAAAAAATCGAAAATTTAAGAAAAACGAAGAACTGAAAACTCAAAAACCTGAAAATTCGAAAAACTCAAGAACTGGAAAACTGAAGAACTGAAAAACTGAAAAGTCGACAAATCGAGAAATGGGAAAAACAAAAAATTGATTAATCCAGAAAATGAGAAATGGAAAGGGTCGTCAATTTACATAAATGATGATCTGCCGAAAACGGAAAGAGAGATTCAAATCAAAATAAGTGATGAGGCAACAAAAGAGAGAAATAAAGGAAAAATGGTTAGAATGGGATATAGAATGATGTAGATGGCAGAAATTTTGAATGGAATTAAGAAGAGGGCAGACTCAAGAATGTAGAAAGTTTTTAGTAAAGAGCTAAAAGAAAAGGAAGAAAAGGAGGAAAAATGGAAGGAAACAAGGCAAAGGAATAAAGGATGCAGATAGGGGAAGCGGAAAAAAGGGAAGCTGGTACAAAATTAGGAGAAAAAGGGGGTGAAGTTACTGTTTTGGAATGTTCAAGGGTTGCGAAAAAAGGAAAAAGAGTTCTGGGACTACGTGGAAAAATTTGATGTGGTGGGGCTAGTAGAGACATGGGTACAAAGAGAAAACTGAGAGAAATTTGAAGAAACACTACCACAAGAATATGTAGGGGAGTGTCAAGGGGCGACAAAGGAAAAGAAAAAGGGGAGAGCAAGCGGGGGAATAGTAATGGGAATTCAGAAAGAAATACAAGAATTGGAAAAGGGAAATAATAATAAAAACGGACTAATGAAGAAAGTAATACAACTGTATAAGAATCGATGGTAAAGAGTACGAAAAACAAGACAGAAGAAACGAAAGAAAGGAAATATAAACAAAAATATGGAATGAAGAGGGAATTCAAAGATACAGAAGTAGACTAGGAAAAAAGAAATTCGAAGTAAAAGAAGATCTAGAAGCTATGATAGCAGAACTTATCAACTTAATTGTAGAAGCTACGGAAAAAAATACATATGGCAAGAGAGGAATAATGGATGGAACGGAGAATGTAGTGAGTTGAAGAGAAAAGCAAGGGAAAAATTAAGAAAATGGAAAATTAACAGGGGAAGGGAAGAAGGTTACTTAAATCGGGATGTTGTGAGGAAAAATGCTGCGAAATAAATAAAGGAATCACAACGACGGAAGAAATGTGGAGAGGTTCGGAAATAACAGAAGATGAAATAGGAAGACAGATTGGAAGACTGAAAAGAGGAAAGGCACCAGGAGGGGATGGAATCCAGAACGAAGCGTGGATGTTCGGGACAGAAGGAGTGAAAGAAAGGATATGGGAAGTGGTAGATGGAGTTTGGAAGGGAAAAAGGGCTTTCTCGGCAGTGGAGAGAAGGTATAATAATCCCATTATTTAAAAAGGGGCAAAAAAGTGATGTGAAGAACTACCGAGGGATCACCTTGCTTAATACGGCGCACAAGATATACGTAAAGATACAAGATGAGAGGTTACGAAAGGAAATGGAAGCAAGGGGTTTGTTACCAGACGGTCAGGCAGGGTTTAGGAAGTCCGATGTCGTTCGTCTATTTTTTTATTAAATATGTGTTACTTATTATGTATGTATATGTTATCAATTTGCATCGAATGACGATCACCTTGGATACATGATCTGTGTATCAATATATCATAAACATGTTTACTATTAGGCGCACTTTGAAACATATAATTTATGATGATTCAATTTTTTCAATTTTATATTGTAAACGTTATGTAAACGTAATATATAAAAATAAAAATTCTATAAATCAGAAGATTTGTTCCAATTGAAACGAAAAATCAAAGTAATGAAAAAAAAAAATAGAAATATAAATTGTCAGCAGTCACACTAACAAGTTAATTAAACTTCCAGTATGAAAACCACTTTATAACGATGCATGAATTAACATGATTATATACATAATTACTAGAGAGCAGAAAATATGCAGCAAAATTTTGGGAAATATGATCATATGATATGCATCAAATTTATGTAAATATGCAGTAACTTTCTTAATATATGCAGAGCATATGCTCCAAAAATTAAAAAAAAAGGGTAATAACCGAGCTAAATTTATTTACAAATTACAAATACAGGTTTCCCGTGCTTACCTTTTATTAAAAAAAAAAATACATAAATCACATTGTAAAGTGTTTAATTAGATCTCACTGGCACATAAATCACATTTTTAAAGATAATGTTTTTATACTAAAATATAAATATAGGCAAACAGAACGAATTAAAAAATAGTAGTAATCAACTATTTACTATTTTAGCAACAATTTATTTTTAAATATTTTTCGAAATATTCTAATAAAAAGTATTTCCGGTGATTCTAAAGTATGTATTTGTAAATAGCAAAAATGCGTACTACGACCACAGACGTAAAAATACTTATCGGTTTAGAGCAGGAGCGACAAAACACAGTTCCTTCTTGAAGAATAAGTTCAGGAAAAGGTTTAATCCATAAATTAATTTGAGTGATCATATTGACACACCTGTATCGCTTTAAATGCTTTCAATGCAAACTCAGGATGAAAAATAATAGGATAACGTCCCTTCGACCACCATACAACATACCATTAATACATTTAAGTAACGAATAAAAATATTGGGAACGAACGGTATTTCCAAAAGTAATTAGGGTCCGAATATACCTGGAAAGGTGGCTTAACACCCAGTGGTTTCTCCAAACTACCATAAAACCCAGACCTCTCCTAGTTATTTGAAACTCAGGACAATATTTGCAATATGATTTATGAAATTTTGGCCTGCTAGATAAATGCCGATAGAATGATAATCATTTTTTTTTTCAAATTAGCACAAAAAATTGATAAAAATGCAAAATATGCACCCGTTACGTGAAATATGCAGCAGAAGGCAAATATATGCAAATATGCAATTTTTTTATAGCTGTATTCATTTTTAATTAGCATGATTCGTTCACATATTAAATATCAAGACTTATATGCAAAAAATAAAAGATATGCAAATTTCATAAAATCCGCTCTCTAATAATTACAATTAAAGTTTTCCATTTTCTGCATTTAATAGAAACATTAAGTATAAACATGTATCAATACATTGGTGTAAACAATATGCCAATCTTTGTTTCAGAAAACTACAAAATACATTTTTTATTGGAAATGGCACCAATAATGTTAATTGTCTTCGTGGTGATGGTAATTTATTTTTTCTTCAATTTTGATTCTCAGAAGTATTATTCTCCAGGACCTTGGAATTTACCCTTAATAGGATACGCCCGAAACGTCCAGATTTTTGGAAAAAAAAATCAAAATTATAAAACAACATTTTCCAATTTAATTTTGAATCTGCTAACCCGAATGTTTTGAAATGTTGCAGATGTTCTAAGGCTATAAAGAGCATCATAAATCTTTACTCAAAATATATTTGGTTATCCCCTCCAAAAACTTGATGACGTCAGCTCAAAAGTTTGCCAAATAAATCCTATCTAAAATGTGCAAAATATGATGCGTCTGTACTTGTGATATATCACTCCATTCATATTGTTTGGATTTGCATATACAGGGTGACTCAAAAAAATTATGCATGGTAAATTTTTGATCAAAATGTATTTGGTCGTCCCCCCTAAAAAAATTATGACGTCACCACAAAATTTTGCTGAATAAATCCTATCTAAAATGTACAAAATATGGTGAGTCTTTTCTTGTGATTTATCATTCCATTCAAATTTTTACTTCCCGAGCGTAAGCAAAGGAAGTATTGTAATCGAGTCCGTCGGCCGACTCTCTACTTTTACGTTTTCTCGATCTTTAATGACCCCTAGAAGACGAAGAAATAGGTTTCCCATTTCCGTGTGTCTCTCCATCTGTCCGTCTGTCCGTCTGTCCGTCTGTCCGTCTGTTATTACAAATCAATATTTAAAACGACCCAATTCATTTTTCCGAAAATTTGGGAACACAATAATCTTATTCTTAGTATTACACTACATCTATCCCAACTGATATACGTGTCCTTGCAAAAACGTTGATGACGTCATCGCAATTTTTTTTTAAATTCCCACTACAAAAATGTAATGAGAAAAAAAACACAATAGGCATGCAGACTCTCTTTAGACCAATTTTTTTTTTGAAAGAATGCACATTGAGACTGCATGTTTGATTAAACCGCGACGAAAATAACACAAATAGACTTTGAACAGTGACAAATGTCGGTTGTAATTTGTAGCACAAGGAAGTGTTTTTCCATGTATAAATTATCACAAGTAATTTTCATTAAACTAAACGTCTACCTGGAAATTGCATTTACAGCAGGATCGTTTAAAAATATATTTTGGTTCAAACATACGCAAATTTTAATTGTTAACTCGTTTCAAAAAGTATACATCAGAAGATATGATCCATTAAAACGAAAAATCGAAATAACTGATAATAATAATTACAAAATGTACATTATCACTGTTGATGATAACAAATAGAAAAATTAATTTGCGTCATACGTTGCAAGTTATTTAAATTTGCACTTTATAACGATGCATAAATTAATTTAATTTATCTGATTCATCAAACTCACATTCTTGTTTTCGTTTTTCCGTACTAAACAAGAACAGTAAGTAGTAACATGGACATATAAATTAAAAGAATACATTTTTGGTTGTAGATGCCAGTAATCATGTTAATTGTAGTCGTAATAATCGTAATTTGCTTTTACTTCTCCTTTGATTCCCGAAAGTATCCTCCAGGACCTTGGAATTTACCCTTAATAGGGTATCTGTATAAGCTGGATAAAAAAACACCCAATTTGGATTTAATGCAACTTGCTGAAAAATATGGCCCCATCTACACCATAAAACTAGGACTAACAAATACAGTGGTTATTGCTGAAGCGAAATTACTGAAAAAGGTCTTATTGAAGGATCAAGTTTTAGCAAGACCGCCACTTCTAACGTTTCAGATGATGTTTGGAGAAAAAGGTTTGCATATGAATAAATCTGCAACGACTAGATAATTAATTACGCCTTAGGTCTTACATGCTGTTGGCCCCTCCATATGTGGAAAAATCAGCGCAAATTTGTCGCTGATTTCCTAAGAACGGTAGGTGCCACCAAAACTGCAACTAACAAAAGCACTCTGGAACAACTAATACGAAAATCGGCTGAGAACTTTGTCCAAGTAAGCTTTCAGATACAAAGTAAGACACATTTTGTTCCCTTAATTAGGATATTCACAGCCGAGGTGATCGTACCCTTCTGGACCCATCAGAAGCTGTAGGAAATTACGTAAGTACCATCGTTCATACCTTGTTGTTGGGTACATCATTCAGCCGTGACGAAAACACACAAATAGATTTGTCAAGTAATATAGACGACGTATCGAAAATGACGTTTTGTAGTCGTTTGAACTTCTTGCCGTTTGCGCAGTAAGTTGCCAAAAATCTTTACAGCTACATAAATACGTAATTTTAGATTCCTACCACAATATCGCAAAATGAAAAACGTGTTCAAACAAACGATGGAAAAGATTCGCCATACTCAAGAAAAATTTGTTAACACAGGTGTCTCCAATTTTTCTAAAAACAATACAAGTCTTATTGACACATTTCTGACAGAAATGGCCAGAAATGGGTCCGACGAAATTTACAATGCTGAGCAGCTGAAGCAACTACTGTTTGATTTGTTTGCTGCTTCTACCGAAACTACCGTCCATTCGATTCGGTGGCTTTTACTATACTTGGCACGGTACCAGGAAGTTCAAAGTAAAGTACGTCGGGAACTTTTGCAAGTTTTGCAAGGAGAACCGCCTGATACGGGCGATTTAGCCAAACTGGGGTACATGAAAGCAACCATTGCGGAAATAGCCAGAATTAGAACTCTTGTTCCTCTAGGGTTTCCACGTTATGCCACAGAAGATTTTTGCGTCGATAACATGACAATCAAAAAAGATTCCTTAATCATACCGTTGCTTTGGGCGATTCACATGGATCCTAAAGTGTGGGAAAAACCGGAAGAATTTAGTCCCGATCGATTTTTGGACGGCGAAGGGAAGTTTTGCAAACATGAGTCACTCGTTCCCTTTCAAGCTGGTAAATCAACACTTACACGAACTTCAAATAATTACTTGGTCACTTTCAGGCAAAAGAATGTGTGTGGGAAAACATCTAGCTAATATGATGATGTTCCAGTTTGTCGCAACTGTGTTACAGAAGGTGAAAATTGAGTGTTGTGGTTCAGGCCCTGTAGATTTTTCCTATGAATGCGGGTTATCGTTGTTGCCTAAACCACAAAAACTGGTGTTTGTGAAGATATGATATGTAATTACATTTTGTTTACTGGTTTACATGACAGTAATAAATTTAATATTTCGTAGTATAATATAGTGTATATTTATAAGCGAAATTTTGATTTACCATCTCTTCTCAAGGATGTTTGGGACATTTGTTAAAAATTTGTTCACTTTGAAGTTAACATTTGCACATAAAAGTCAGATTTTGTTAGTCTATTATTTTAATATTATGTGTTATTTGAGCGTTATATAAGAAATAAAGGAAGTGAGAAAAGAAATAAGTGAGATGGCACAAACCCAAGAACAATATAAGGAAGAAATAAGACAACTAAAAGAATCTAATGAGAAAATGGCAAGAGAACTGGATGGGCTAAAAACAGAAATAAATAGCTGCCAAAGAGAGAATAGAAAAGCTAGAAAAGGAAAAGAGGAAGAAAAATGTAATATTACAAGGTATTAAAATAAATGAAAACAAACAGAGCATTTTAAGAGAGGCAATGAAAAATTTTATGTACAAAGAATTGGGAGTAAGGGTAGAAGTAAGCACAGTAAGGGAGTTGAAGGAGGGAATTGCTGTGGTGGAATTGAACAGCATCCAAGATAAACTGAAAATAATGCAAAAAATTGGTCTAAAGAGTTTAGACAGTACTTCCCTCGCTGTCGGAAACTTGACGACTGCATGCCTATTGTGTTTTTTTTTTCATTACATTTTTGTAGTGGGAATTGAAAAAAAACTTGCGATGACGTCATCAACATTTTTGCAAAGACACGTATATCACTTGGATAGATGTAGTGTAATACTAAGAATAAAATTATTGTATTCCCAAATTTTCGGGGAAATGAATTGGGTCGTTTTGAATATTGATTTGTTATAATCAATAAAATAACGAAACAATTTACTCACGTATACGGCGCCGGTGTGTAATATGAGAGGCAACTGAAAATCGTTTATGTATAAACATTCTTAATTTAAGATGACAAGCGTAACAGCATACGTAAGAGTCAAACAGAGAAACTGTAAACAAAACGACCATCGGTTTTATTGCTTCGACTTCCGCTTATTATATAAAACGTTGGGTTTTATTTTAACTTTTGACGGTGGAATTCACAATTGGTTGATTATAAACATGTCTATACCACATTCGCGGAACCAAGTGAGCGCATAAAACAAATGCAGGTCTGTAATGTTAAAGTCGATGTAAATAAGCGTGCTACCCTTATGTTTCAACCGAGTTTTTCCTTTAACAAATTTTGTGTTTACCAAATTGGGTTGGTTGGGGTGTAATACTAATAATAAGTGTTGCCTTTAATTTAATCAATAAAATAAATTGACTTCATTAATTTTTTTGAGCCACCTCTTAAGCAAATCTAAAAAATATGAATGGAATGATAAATCACAAATACAAACTCATCATATTTTTTGCATTTTAGATAGGATTTATTCAGTAAAATTTTGTGGTGACGTCATCAATTTTTTTAGGGGGGATGAACAAATACATTTTGAACAAAAGTTTACCATGCTTATAATAACTTTAAAATATCTCCAAGATTTCAAAGCATTCGGTTTTGTAATTCCTGATTAAATCAATAAAATAAATTCACGCATTCATTAATTTTTTTCAGTCACCCTATATATGCAAATCGAAAAAATATGAATGGAATGATAAATCACAAGTACAGACTCATCATATTTTTCACATTTTATATAGGATTTATTCACCAAATTTTAGGGTGACGTCATCAATTTTTTTAGGGGGGGATGAGCAAATAAATTTTGATAAAAAATTTACCATACTTATGATAACTTTAAAATATCTCCAAGATTTCACAGCATTCGGTTCTGTAATTCCTGATTAAATTAATAAAATAAATTGACGCATTCATTAATTTTTTCAGTCACCCTGTATATGCAAATCGAAAAAATTTGGATGGAATGGTAAATCACAAGTACAGACTCATCATATTTTCTACATTTTAGATAGGATTTATTCAGCAAAATTTTGTGGTGACGTCATAAATTTTTTAGGGGGGACGACCAAATACATTTTGATCAAAAATTTACCATGCTTATGATAATTTTAAAACATCTTCAAGATTTCAAAGCATTCGGTTTTGTAGTTCCTGAGTAAATAAATAAAATAAATTTTGCGCATTCATTAATTTTCTTGAGTCACCCTGTATATGCAATTCCAAAAAATATGAATGGAGTGATGTATCACAAGTACAGACGCATCATATTTTGTACATTTTAGATAGGATTTATTCGGCAAACTTTTGAGCTGACGTCATCAAGTTTTTGGAGGGGATAACCAAATATATTTTGACTAAAGATTTATGATGCTCTTTAGAGCCTTAAAACATCTGCAACATTTCAAAATATTCGGGTTAGCAGATTCAAAATTAAATTGGAAAATGTTTTTTTATAATTTAGATTTTTTTTCCAAAAATCTGGACGTTTCGGGTAAAAACTCAATTCGGAGTCGTAAACGACATGTATAGGATTATGTTATTTTATACAATTTAAGACCCATTTACTATGTACAATTTTGAAGTGACGTCGTCGTATTAGTGGTGGGGATGATTAGACAAATTTTGGTTAGCGTTTTACCATCTACATGATATACCTAATATAAGTACAAAATTTCGTAACAATCGGTCCAGTACTTTCGGAGATTATCTGTCTAATAAAAATCCGGGACGGCAGACAGACGGACAGACGGACAGACGGACAGACAGACGGACAGACAGACGGAAATGGGAGACCTATTTCTTCGTCTTCTAGGGGTCATGAAAGATCGAGAAAACGTAAAAGTAGAGAGTCGGCCGACGGACTCGATTACAATAGGAAAAGATCAAATCAAAAAATGAAAGATTATGAAGAAAAAATTGGTCTAAAGAGTTTAGACAGTACTTCCCTCGCTGTCGGAAACTTGACGACTGCATGCCTATTGTGTTTTTTTTTCTCATTACACTTTTGTAGTGGGAATTTAAAAAAAAATTGTGATGACGTCATCAACATTTTTGCAAGGACACGTATATCAGTTGGGATAGATGTAGTGTAATACTAAGAATAAAATTATTGTATTCCCAAATTTTCGGGAAAATGAATTGGGTCGTTTTGAATATTGATTTCTTATATGTAATCAATAAAATAACGAAACAATTTACTCACGTATACGGCGCCGGTGTGTAATATCTAGAGAGCGGATTTCTGTCGGGCTAGGCAAGGCCAAACTCGGTACGGCTCGTACGGGATGCGAATTCATTGCGGTTGCGGACTGCACTTCGTTTATTTGAGATTAGAATAACGCTGTTTCGTTGCACTCTGCTGTTAATTCCCGTTCTCATTTACTTAGCCGTTTGATTAATAAATCGTTAATTATATTTATGGAATTAGTACCGATTAAATTCAGTGATTATCTATCACCCGGCGATCCAGCACGTCCCCCCCTATAATCGTGACGTAGCACGACAGAAATCCGCTGTCTAGTAATATGAGGGGCAACTGAAAATCGTTTATGTATAAACATTCTTAATTTAAGATGACAAGCGTAACAGCATACGTGAGAGTCAAACAGAGAAACTGTAAACAAAACGACCATCGGTTTTATTGCTTCGACTTCCGCTTATTATATAAAACATTGGGTTTTATGTTTTATTTTAATTCTTGACGGTGAAATTCACAATTGGTTGGTTATAAACATGTCTATTCCACATTCGCGGAACCAAGTGAGCGCATAAAACAAATGCAGGTCTGTAATGTTAAAGTCGATGTAAATAAGCGTGCTACCCTTATGTTTCAACCGAGTTTTTCCTTTAACAAATTTTGTGTTTACCAAATTGGGTTGGTTGGGGTGTAATACTAATAATAAGTGTTGCCTTTAATTTAATCAATAAAATAAATTGACTTCATTAATTTTTTTGAACCACCTTTTAAGAAAATCTAAAAAATATGAATGGAATGATAAATCACAAGTACAAACTCATCATATTTTTTGCATTTTAGATAGGATTTATTCAGCAAAATTTAAGGGTAACGTCATCAATTTTTTTAGGAGGGATGAACAAATACATTTTGAACAAAAGTTTACCATGCTTATAATAACTTTAAAATATTCCCAAGATTTCAAAGCATTCGGTTTTGTAATTCCTGATTAAATCGATAAAATAAATTCACGCATTCATTAATTTTTTTGAGTCACCCTGCATATGCAAATCCAAAAATATGAATGGAATGATAAATCACAAGTACAGACTCATCATATTTTGTACATTTTAGATACGATTTATTCGGCAAACTTTTGAGCTGACGTCATCAGTTTTTTGTAGAAGATAACCAAATATATTTTGACTAAAAATTTATTATGCTCTTTATAACCTTAAAACATCTGCAAGATTTCAAAGCATTCGGTTTTGTAGTTCCTGATTAAATCAATACAATAAATTTACGCATTCATTAATTTTTTTGAGTTACCCTGTATATGCAAATCGAAAAAATTTGAATGGAATGATAAATCACAAAAAGAGACTCACCATATTTTGTATATTTTAGATATGATTTATTTGGCAAACTTTCGAGCTGACGTCATCAAGTTTTTGGAGGGGATAAGCAAATATTTTTGACTAAAGATTTATGATGCTCTTTATAGCCTTAAAACATCTGCAACATTTCAAAGCATTCTGGTTAGCAGATTAAAAATTAAATTTCAAAATGTTGTTTTATAATTTTGATTTTTTTTCCAAAAATCTGGACGTTTAGGGTGAAAAGTCGATTCGGAGTTGTAAACTACATGTGTAGGACTATGTTATTTTATACAATTGAAAACCCATTTACTATGTACAATTTTGAAGTGACGTCATCGCATTAGTGGTGGGGATGATTAGACAAATTTTGGTTAGCGTTTTACCATCTACATGATATTCTTAATATAAGTACAAAATTTCACAACAATCGGTCGAGTACTTTCGGAGATTATCTAATAAAAATCCGGGACGGCAGACGGACAGACGGACAGACGGACAGACGGACAGACGGACAGACGGACAGACGCACAGACGGACAGACGGACAGACGGACGGACAGACGGACGGACAGACGGACGGACAGACGGACAGACAGACGGAAATGGGAGACCTATTTCTTCGTCTTCTAGGGGTCATGAAAGATCGAGAAAACGTAAAAGTAGAGAGTCGGCCGACGGACTCGATTACAATACTTCATTTGCTTAGGCTCGGGAAGTAAAAAGCAAAATAGCCAAACAAATATGTAGACGGAAAAAGAGAGAATGCAATAGAAAAAGACTACCTAAACAAAGAGATACAAAACTTCTACCAAGAAGTCAGGAAGACAAGACAGATCGCGAGCACGAGAACGGTATACTGAGGGAGTAATAAAGAAGGACAACTGATTAGAGACACAGTAGAAAAACTAGATAGATGGGTGGAATATTTTGAAGACCTACTAAATGACAAGACGGTGGAAGAACAACAGCCAAAAGTGGTGATCATAAGAACTAGAATGAGAGAATTCACCACGCAAACAGTAGGAGAATATCAAGGAGGGTTTAGAGCAGGAAGATCAACCACAGATAGCAATGCAGTCCGATTGATTTTTCAGGATTCTGCGGATTGTCGTTAGTGCCAGAACGCTGTTTTTGTGAAAATTTAGACTGCAAAAAGGGACGACAGTTTGTATTGTTCACACATAAAAACAAATTGTGTAGTTAAAGTTTTATTGCTAATATTTTATTGAATAAGATACAGTACGTTCAAAAGAGCAGTGTACGATTTACTGTTTTAAGACCTATATCTTCGTAAAAAGTATTTCCTGTGGTTTAGAATTGAATGTAATTCCACAAACACCTGTAAAATCTATTGGTGACGAATCCACACACCCTAGTTTAAAATTTTGCACAACCCTTGCGACCAACACGGATGCCATCATTGTTGTCATTTCGTCCCCAACACACATCCTTTTCCCTTGAAAAATATTTACATTTTTTGTTACGGTGCAAATTGATCTTACCAATCTGAAAAGGAACAAACGCTTCCGGTTTGTAGAACTTTCCATCGTCGGTCAAAAACCTTTCAGGACGAAATTCTTCAGGGTTTTTCCACACGTTAGGATCCATATGGATTGCCCATAGTAATGGCATTATCGTTGTACCTTTCGCAATGTGAAAACCTTCAACACAAATATCCTCGGAAGTATAGCGAGGAAATCCGAGTGGTCCTGTGGTACTAATTCTACCAACTTCGGCGATAGTTGCTTTAGTATAATGTAGATTCGCGAGGTCGTTCATTTCGATCTTTTTACCTTGCCCGACCTCAAGAAGCTCTTGACGAACTTTGTCTTGGACATCTTCGTGCTGCGCCATGTGTAGGAAAATCCACATTATGTAACTTATAGGCGCTGTGGTAAAACCCATGTAGAGATCGTAGACGAGGTACGGCAGCTGGTCAAGATCGTATATGTCTTTGGTGTCTTTAGAGATTTGCAAGAGATATATCTCGATAAAATTTGAAGGAAATTCGGGGGTGGATTTTCTACAATCATCTATCAGTTTGCTCTGAATTTCACGAATTTTACGAAGGGCGTCTTTGAGTGAATTTACGCTTTGTTTGAACTGTGGTAAAAACCTGGAAGAAATAGTCAATAATTTGTTATTTGGTAAATTTTTAGCACACCGTAAAATGGGTAGAAAATTTAAAGGAGTTCCGGGAGCCGATAGTTCACCAACTACATCCAGATTTTTTCGTAGAACTAGAAAATTCTCATCGTCCCAAGAAAAAGGTTTGCCTTGAAGTAAAGTACTAGCCACACTAGTTACGTAACGAGTTACAAGTTCCCAAGGATCTAGTGGAATACAGTCACCTTGAGTTTTCACAACCTGTTCATGAAATTTATAATATAATAAGAAAACAATCCTTATTAACTCACTTGTATAAATTCGTCAACGTACTTTTCTATCATCGCTTCACACGATTTTTTGTTTGGTGAAAATTTGTTCGCTCCTGTCATTTTAAAAAAATTGGCAACCAATTTACGGTTTTTTTTCCAAACATGTCCATTCGTGTAAACGACTCCTACAATAATAATAAGTCCTTTGAAGTAGAGTTTGTCTGAAGGGGTTACCTTTGCCTTGGAACACGGTATTTAGCATATACAGAGGTGGCCTTTCTAGTGTTTCATTTTTGGCTAAAATTTTTCTCAATATTTTGCCATCGGCTACGACTGCAACGTCCGTCATCCCCAGTTTAATGCCATAAACAGGTCCGTATTTTTGAGCAAGTTTTGTCAAAGTTAAGTAAGGGGCTACGGGATCTAGTTTGTGAATGTAACCTATAACTGGTAGATTCCACGGCCCCGGAAGACGCTTTTTGCGATAAGTGATGTATAAGAAAAGTGTAAGTATCAATATTGTGACTAATGCACCCAAAAGCATCTAAAATAGGGGTTTAATTTTATTTGTTTTAAGACAATATATAGAACAGTTACCTTTATTAAATTTAACAATTTTCAACACGAAGGGTGAAATTTCACTGGAACTCGTAGAAATAACGTATTTTCAAAAACACGTTCAGAGTCAATTAAACTTATCAAAAGTGTTTGTTTTCTATAACGATTTTAATTGTTACTATTATCTACATAATAAAAACAAGATACTAAATTATTTATGAAATATTTTTACACAGACATGTTTTTGTGTTTTCAATGATAAAGGTTATACAGGGTGACTGCGAAATAAGTGCAAATATTTTAACCACGGCATCCCCCACCCTAGTAGAGCCGAAATATAGAAAAAACAAATTAAAAATCGAATGGGGCAAAACCCCCATGAACCACCCTCGATACGAAGGCACTGAGCCACCTTGTAAACAGAGTTGGAAAAACGTTCGAATAAAAACGACCTAAACACTTTCAGTTTCAATTAAAAGTAAAACCGACTTTTTGCTGCTTATCATTCGTTCATTCATTTACTCATTCATCATCATTAAAGGTCAATGTGAAAGTTTTTTGGTAATTTTGATTCTGATGGATGTTTGGTCCTTGTCACAACGATTTTAGATTGTTTATTGGAACAGAAATAAGAGCAACTTAGAATGCTACTACCTTTTTACAAGAAATGTTGAAAATGTTGTCCTTGACTAGCAATACAGGCGTCAGAGCGTTGCAAGAGGTGTGTTGATAGGTAAAAACCACTTTCACTCGTTGAAGCTCTTCGATAATTTCTGGACACTGTTGATTTCCACAAACGAACTGTTTCATACAACCGATACACATTTATCGAAAACCGTCTCTTGCAATCGTATTTGTGGACGAGCATGTGGAGTTTGATCGGACAAAAAGTGAGTTACACAACGTGGACAATTAGCGGGCTCCAAACCCTATACTTTGTCAACGTGGTATGGATGTGGCCGTATTCTTTTAATGTAGGATGCACTACAAGCTGTGAAAATCCAACTTCTTCTTTCTATCCTATCACGGCCACGATCGTGAGTTTGAAGTTGAAGGTACCATGATCTCGGAGTTTTTCTATCACTCATGCAAATGTTCGCCCACACCAATTACCATATCGACACAATCTGCATGGGAAAACTCCACCATAAATGCCTGATAAAGTCACTTTTTTGATTTTTAATCCGACTCGCTCTATTCCATTCATTGTAGTAATTATGTAGGTCACAAAACAGTCCAGCGGCGCGTACAACAATTTACATTTAATTTCAAATAATTTTTTCTAGACACTGCTACTACTTATGACCGTGAATTTTACCCAGTGACATAATCATATTGTGAGCTATTCCCCATTTTTTTTTTACATGTATTTCGCAATCACCTGGTATTATATGGTTTTCTGTGAAATATTTATTACTTGTTTATCCGCCTTTTGTACATAACTAATAAAGTTAAAAACCAAAAAACAAGAGGTGATTATTTAATCAGTCTTCACAAACATCAGTTTTTGTGGCTTAGGTTGTAACGTCAGGCCGCATTCATAAGAAAAATCTACCGCGTCTGGACTACAACACTCCACTTGCAGCTTCTGACATACAATTGCGACAAACTGAAAAATTATGTCATGTCTGCAAAATTTCCTTTCGTTGTCCAAAAATCGGTCCGGACAAAATTCTTCAGGTTTTTCCACATACTTTGGGATCCATGTGAATCGCCCAAAGCAACGCGTTGCAACGGTGTGATTAAGGAACCTTTTTTAATTTTCATATTATCGACGCAAAAATCTTTCCTGGCATAGCGGGGAAACCCTAGAGGAACAATACTTCTAATTCTGGCTGTTTCCGCAATTGTTGCTTCCGTGTACCCCCCTTTGGCTAAATCGTCCATGTTAGGAGGTTTTTCTTGCAAAACGTTCAAGAGTTCCCGACGTACTTTACTTTGGGCTTCTTGGTACCGTGCCAAGTGTTGTAAAAGCCACCGAATCGAATGGACGGTGGTTTCGGTACCAGCACCAAACAAATCAAAAAGTAGCTGTGGAAGTTGCTTAGTGTGTCAGGACCATTTCTGGTCATTTCGGTTATAAATGCATCAATAAGACTAACTGAAATTATATTATTGCGTTTCGAAAAATTTGAGACCCCATTTTTGACAAGTTTTATGAATATTATCCGTTCACGATTTTATATAGTAGGGTTGGCCATGAAAATCTAGTGAGTTTGTTGGTATTCGATGCAGAAGAATATAAATTCCCTGAACTTTTTCGGTTACGTTATGTTTTATTAAATTAAAGGTTAAAAAATATGCCAGATATATAAACATTGTTGCCGATACTTTCAGTTTTCAGTAGCAATGACCAAGTTAACGGTATCCATTTCTTAGAAAGCATAAAACTTTACGCTATTTAAAACAGTTATTCGGCTTTGTAAGTGTTTATTTCATATGTAAGGAACAAACACTAAAATTTCACTTAAACATTGTTTTCATATGAAGGGGGGTTCACCGTACGACTATTGTCGCATGCCACATTTAGCATCTCATCTTTAATTCTCAATCATCAGTTCGTTCTGCTCGCCCACTCTTCTTGGAACTAGGAATTTCGACCTTTGTGAACAACCTATTTCCATATCTTCCAACTTCTTTTTTCACTTTTCTAAGATTACTAAAAGGGCTGGTAAAAGACAACAACCTTGCACTAGTGCTTTGATGAGTTTAGCTCTTCGGAAACATTTTTCTGGCCTTAAATTGAATGATTTTTCTATATCGCTATTACTAATGCTTACGTAAGTGATCTTTATTTGCTTTTACTAAGTACTTCCAAACCAAACGCTTGTTAATAATAACGTTACTATACGCCTTCTCCAGGTCCATGAAGAGTTACAAAAAAAAATGAAAATGCTTAAAATTTGGTGCAAAATAACAACGTGGATGATCTAACTAGATTATACTTATTTTGTTGTACGTCAGGTAGTTTTTCACATACTATCTTGGTAAATTTAGAACGAAAGATGCGTAAAAATATCGAAAAGCTACAATTCACTCCATTTCCATTATTTCGCTGTGAAAATCTGTATCATCACCGTCATTTTCTAATTCAGATTCTGAATCAGATTCACCTTGCGAAATAATGAAAGGAGGTATAGATTCGTGCGAAAGATTTCCCATATTTTTTCCCCAATCTGCCAAAATAACTTTTGCACAATGTTTACAAAAATTTTGCCACATGCTTGGACTACATTTAGAAAGCGCCTCAAACCTTAAATTCTCCACCCTATTTTTTAATGAAGGTTGAGAATTTATATGCTTGTTGTAATAGTTCTTACAAAATCCCCACGCCATTTCAATTGGATTATATTGACAATGGTACAGAAGTAATCTAAGAACTTCATGGCCACTTTCTCTTAATGTCTCGTCTACCAATTTTTTTTTTCTATTGTTTCTGACGGGTTTAATTAAATCCCACAACTGTTTCTTCGAAAATTTTTTGTCAAATTCTACACTACGTTTAAAGAGCGATTACTACATTTCACGTTTTTTACTACAAAAAGTGGGTGGTTTATCCAACTGAACCGAATGATACGGTGCATTGTCTAAAACCACCACACTTTTTTGGTTCAACTTTACCAAAGCAGGAATGAGCTGATTAACCACCCAATTTTGAAAAAATATCCCGTCTATCGTTTTATGATAGTCTCTATCGTTATTTTATGAATTTAAAAAATTGTTACAACCATCCAAGAACCCCGTTGAACAACCCCCGTGGAGAATAGTAAACCTTGATCCTTCACTTTTAATTTTGGTGGGATTGCACCCAGCGACGAATGGACGAACCATTTTGACAGATCCATGTTTCATCCAAATACACGAAAGTCAAATTTTCACAAGAATTTAGAAACTGTAAATATGTTCTCAAAGATTTTTAGAATGTTGATAATTTTCAGAAATTTGGATTTCTTGGATTCCTCGAATCTCTCAAATTTTTTGAGTTCTTTGAATTTCTTGGTCTTGTTGAGTATTTAGTTGGATTTCCTTGTCTCGGTAAATTTTTTGGGTTTCTTGAAATTCTTAGTTGGATTTCTAGGATTATCTGAGTTCTTTAAGTTTCTTGAGAGTTCAAAATTTAATTAATGTTTATATTTTTAACAATTTTCAATTTCTTATGGATCTCTTGGGTTTCTTCAGTTTTTTGAATTTCTTGGAGTTTTTGGGTTTTGTTGTTCCACTGGACTTTTTAATTTTCTCGTACTTATTGGGCTCGTGGGTTTCTGAAATTTCTTGAATTTCTTGGATTATTAAAGTTTCTTGGGAGTGCAAAATTTTTGATTTTTCAGAATTTTTATATGTTTAAGAATTTTGAATTTATTAGATTTTTGGTGTGCTTACGGTTCTTGAGGTTTTAAAATTTTGTTCCAAATTTTTATTTTCTTAGAATGTTTATAATCTTCTCGGATTCCTTGGATTTCTTGGTTCCTTGGACCTCTTGGACTGCTTGGTTTTTTTATTTTAAGTTTCTTGGGATTTCTTGTGCCACTGGATTTCTGGGTTTTCTTATACTTCTTGAGCTCTTAGATTTCCGAGATTTCTTAAATTTCTTGGATTATTTGAGTATGTGAGGCTAAGTTTCTTGGTTTTGAGTTTCTTGATGCTTTAAAATTTGGTTCCAAAATTATGATTTTTAGAGTGTTGATAATTTTCAGAAATATAGATTTCGTGAATTTGTTGGATTCCTCGATTTTCTTGGGTTCTTGGAGTTCTTGGGCTTCTCGATTTTATTTAATTTTCGGGGTTTCTTCAGTTGCGTTGTCTTTTTGGATTTCCTGGCTTTCTTAGACTTCTTGGGTTCTTAGACTTCTGAGAATTTTTCGATTTCTTGGATTTCTAACGCTTCTTGAATTTCTCGAGTTTTTTAAGTTACTTAGGAGTTCAAAATTTTTGATTTTCCAGAATGTTTATATGTTCGAAGAAGTTTGAATTTCTTGGATTTCTTAATTTGCTTAAGTTTCTTGGTTTTGAGTTTCTTGAGATACTAAAATTTGGTTCCACATTCTTTTTTTTTTTTTTCAATTTATAGTTTTCAGAATCATGGATTCCTTGAGTTTTTTCAATTCCTTGGATTTTTTGGGTTTTGTTGTTCCACTGGATTTTTTAATTTTCTCGAATTTCTTGGGCTCTTGGGTTTCTGAAATTTCTTGAATTTCTTGGATTGTTAAAGTTTCTTGGGAGTGCAAAATTTTTTATTTTTCAGAATTTTTATATGTTTAAGAATTTTGAATTTATTAGATTTTTGGTGTGCTTACGGTTCTTGAGGTTTTAAAATTTTGTTCCAAATTTTTATTTTCTTAGAATGTTTATAATCTTCTCGGATTCCTTGGATTTCTTGGTTCCTTGGACCTCTTGGGCTGCTTGTTTTTTTTATTTTAAGTTTCTTAGGATTTCTTGTGCCACTGGATTTCTGGGTTTTCTTATACTTCTTGAGCTCTTAGATTTCCGAGATTTCTTAAATTTCTTGGATTATCTGAGTATGTGAGGCTAAGTTTCTTGGTTTTGAATTTCTTGAGGCTTTAAAATTTTGTTCCAAAATTATGATTTTTAGAATATTGATAATTTTTAGATATTTAGATTTCTTGAATTTGTTGGATTCCTCGATTTTCTTGGGTTCTTGGAGTTCTTGGGCTTCTCGGATTTTTGAATTTTCGGGATTTCTTCAGTTGCGTTGTCTTTTTGGATTTCCTGGCTTTCTTAGACTTCTTGGGTTCTTGGGCTTCTGAGAATTTTTCGATTTCTTGGGTTATCCGAGTTTCTAACGCTTCTTGAATTTCTCGGGTTTTTTAAGTTACTTAGGAGTTCAAAATTTTTGATTTTCCAGAATGTTTATATGTTCGAAGAAGTTTGAATTTCTTGGATTTCTTAATGTGCTTAAGTTTCTTGGTCTTGAGTTTCTTGAGATACTAAAATTTGGTTCCAAATTCTTTTTTTTTTTAATTTATAGTTGTCAGAATCCTTGAATTTTTTCAATTCCTTGGATTTTTTGGGTTTCGTTGTTCCACTGGATTTCTTAATTTTCTCGAACTCCTTGGCTGTTGGGTTTCTGAGATTTCTTGAATTTTTTGACTTTCTTAAATATCGTGAGTTTCTTGAGAGTTCAAAATTTTTGACTTTTCAGAAAGTGTATAATTTCAAGAATTTTAAATTTGTTGGATTTCTTAAGTTTCTTGGCCTTGGGTTTCTTGAGGTTTTAGAATATTCGTAATCTTCGCAATTTTGGAGTTTCTAAATTTTTTAATTTCCTTGGGTTTTTGGAATTTCTGGGGTTTCTTCAGTTTTTTTTTATTTCCGGGATTTCTTGGTTTCTTGGGCTTCTGAGATTTCTTGGATTTCCAGGATTATCCGGGTTTCTGAGGTTTGTTGAATTTCTCAAATTTCTTATGTTTCTTGGGAGTGCAATATTTTTTGTGATTCAGAATGTTTATATATTTAAGAATTTTGAATTTATTAGATTTTTTGGTGTGCTTAAGATTCTTGAGGTTTTAAAATTTTATTCCAAATTTTTGATTTTTAGAATATTGATAATAATTTATAGATTTCGGTTTTCTGAATTTCTTGTATTTCTAGAATTTCTGAAGTTCACGGAGTTCGTGGGCTTCTTGAGTTTTTGAATTTTCGGAGTTTCTTGAGTTTCGTTGTCTTTTTGGCTTTCCTTGGGTTCTTGGACTTCTTGGGTTCTTGGTCTTTTGAGACTTTTTGGATTTCCTGGGTTATCTACGTTTCTGAGGTTTCTTGAATTTCTCGAGTTTCTTAAGTTTCTTAGGAGTTAACAATTTTTTATTTTCCAAAATTTTTATGTTTTAAGAAGTTTGAATTTCTTGGATTTCTTGCTTTGCTTAAGTTTCTTGGTCTTAGGTTTCTCGAAATATTAAAGTTTTGTTCCAAATGTTTGTTTTTTTTAAGAATATTTATAGATTCCAGGATCTTGGATTCTTGTATCTCTTGATTTCTTGAGTTTTTTGAATTTCTTGGATTTTTTGGATTTCTTAATTTTCTCGAATTTCTTGGGTTCTCAGGTTTCCGAGATTTCTTGAATTTCTTAAGTTATTTGAGGGTTTCTGAGATTTCTAGAATTTCTTAAGTTATCTGAGTATGTGAGGTTTCTTGAGTTTCTCGAGAGTTCAAAATTTTCGATTTTTCAGAATGTGTATAATTCCAAGAACTTTGAGTTTCTTGGACTTGGCTTTCGTGCGGTTCTAGAATATTGGTAATCTTCAGAATTTTGGATTCTCTAAATTTTTCAAATTCGGATTTGTCGAATTTCTTGGGTTCCTTGAAATTTTTGATTTCTGAGTTTTCTCGGTTTCTTGGGCTTCTGAGATTTCTTGGATTGTCCGAATTTCTGAGGTTTCTTGAATTTCCCGAGTTTCTGAAGTTTCTTGGAAGTGCAAAATTTTTGGCTGCAACGACATGTTTTTGTTCACATAGAATTTTGCTACCATTTACTTCCTTATGTTTATAACCCATTGACTTAAGAATTTTGTATATTGTGGTTTGCCCCCCTTTAAATTCCAACTGTTCCCTGAATATGCTAAGAGTATCTACAGTGAAATATTGTTTTTTCTCATTAAGTTGCCAAATTTGTCATTGCAGCTCTTTCCGAAACATATAATTTTTAATGTTTTTAAATTTTGGTCCCCTGTTGATAAAATTTTCGCTACAGTTGATGAAAAAAAAAATAAAAAACATTTTACAGTGTATTTTTACATTACAGAAAATGTGTTCGAGACCCTCATAATTACTTCTTCGAAAGGGCCTGTCTTTTCGAAACTGTCAAAAACATCTTTTTATTGCAATTTTTTGTTGTAGTAAAACTATTTTAGGCATTTTCTTTTTAAATAATGTCGCAAAGATCTGTGAATATCTGAAGACCTTTTATTGATAATATTTTATTGAATAGTATACATTATGTTTTAAGTACCTATAACCTCGTAAAAAGTATTTGTTGTGGTTTAGGATTAAGCATAATACCACAAACACCTGTAAAATCTAATGGTGACGAATCCACACATCCTAATTTAAAATTTCGTACAACCGTTGCGACAAACATCGATGTCATCATTGTGGCCATTTCTTCACCAATACAAATTCGTTTGCCTTGAAAAATATTTACATTTTCTTTTCGTTAGTCAACGTGTTGCATCTTACCAGTTTGAAAAGGAAGAAATGTTTCCGGTTTATAAAACTTTCCATCGTCGTTCAAAAATCTTTCGGGACGAAATTCTTCAGGGTTTTTCCACACTTTAGGATCCATATGAATTGCCCATAATAACGGGATTATCGTTGTATCTTTCATAATGGGAAAACCGTCAATGCAAATGTCCTCGGAAGTATAGTGAGGAAATCCTAGTGGTCCTATAGTTCTAATTCTAGCCACTTCGGCGATAGTTGCTTTAGTATAATGTAGGTTGGCGAAGTCGTCCATTTCGATTGTTTTACCTCGTACGACCTGAAGAAGTTCTCGTCGAACTTTGTTTTGCACAGTTTCATATTGTGCCAAGTGTAGTAGAATCCACAGTAACCAAGTTGTAACAGTTGTGGTAGCAGAACTGTGGAGATCAAATAAAAGAGAGTGCAACTGGTCAAGATTGTATATGTCTTTCGGGCCTTTAGACATTTGCAGAAGAAACATCTCGATCAAATTTGATGGAGAATCTGCGTTGGTATCAGTAATGGATTTTTCGCATTCGGTTATGAGTTGATTCTGAATTTCACGAACTTTACCGACGGCCTGTTGCAACGAAATTAGACATTTATTGAACTTGGGTAGAAAACTACAACAAATAGTCAAATTGTAAGTTATGTTATGGTGTAAAGCATCAACACACCGTAAACAGGGTAAGAAATTTAATGGAGTCCCCCCGGGGCCTGCTAGTTCCACAACTTTATCCAGATTTGCTTTGAGAATGAGAAGATTCTTATCGTCCGAAGCAAATGGTTTCCCAAGTAGTAACGTACTAGACACATTAGTTACGTAACGAGTTACAAATTCGTGAGGGTCCAGTGGGAAATGATCACCCTGGGTTGTGATGACCTATTTATGAAAAAACCGTACACAGACATTTAAAAAGTTACCAACTTACTTGCATAAATTCGTCTAAACGTTTCTTTATCAACGTTTCCAGTGTTTTCTTTTTTGATGCAACTTTGTTGGCCCCCCATAGTTTAAAAAATTTTTTTACAAATTTTCGTTGGTCTTTCCATAAAGTTAAATTATTCGTGTAAACGAGTCCTACCAAAAATAATAATAATAATAACAAATTCTCTAAAGTAGAGTTTTTCTGAAAGGGGTACCTTTGTCTGCGAACACGGTTCTTAACGTGTATATAGATGGTCTTTCGAACGTTTCATTTCTGGCTAAAATTTTTTTCAATATTTTGCCGTTGGCTACGACTACAACGTCCATCGATCCCAGTTTAAGGCCATAAACAGGTCCGTATTTTTGAGAAAGTTTTGTTAAAGTCAAGTAGGGGGCTGCTAAATCTAGTTTGTGAATGTAGCCTATAAGGGGGAGGTTCCATGGCCCTGGAAGTCGCTTTTTACGATGAGTGAAGTATAATAAAAGTATTGATATTAATACTGTGACTAATACAGCCTCCAGCATCTAAAATACAGATTTTAGTTTTATTTGTTGGAGAAAGTACAACACAATACTTATTCACCTTTCTTAGATTTAACGATTTCCAAGACGAAGGTTGAGTTTCACTGGAACAAATAACAATAACAAACCTTCAGAACTAAGGTATCTACCTGTTATTTCAATAACGTTATTATAAAAACTTGAAGTCCATTAAATTCATTAAGACTTCTTATTTTTATTACGTTTTAAATTATTAGCATTTCATTAACATATAATATCTGTTATTAAAAGAATAGTCTAATAAAATCTGACTTTTATGTAGAAATGTAAAATTTTGGTTTCACAACAGATGGTAAATTGAAATTTCGTTTATAAATATTGTCACGCTGATCGGTAATTAAAATCGCCATGGGTAAAACTCAACAATTTATACTTAGTAACTCGGATTTACACGACTAATTACACAACAATTATGTACAAAATAAAGTGAGTAACTTTGATGTTCAAGTTTTGCCGTATTTAAGGGTGTTGTAGAAGAAAAGTGGAGGATTTAAGTTGACTAAACAAAAACAAAAATTTACCATTTTAGACATGTTTAATGTTTTTGATTGTCGAAATAAGTCTATACACATTTTGAAAAACGGCAAAATGTAGCTTCGGCCACCCACCCTATCTCAGTTGTGTGAACACAAATAAATTTAAGGTCGTTGAGCGACCCTTAAAACATCCATGTCGTTCGTCAATAATGGCAGATTTAACAGAGAAATAGACTATATCTGTCACAATTGCCTAAAATATTTTTGGTATGTAGCATAAATTACTAACAAGGCGATCATTGGCTATATTTTCACGGTTCTTGAACACTGGAACAACACTAGAAATTTTCTAGGTTTTCGGAAATGTAGACAGGTTTGTAGATTTATTAAACAATAACTAGTGTTGGGGACAGATACTTTTAAAAATATCTAGATACAGATACAGATATATGGAAGATAAAAATATCTAGATACAGATTGTTTTCGATATTTTCGAAATGTTACAAATACAAGAAAACAGATACCAAGATTTACACTTAAACATAATCGGCATATTCTAGGGCAAAACGGACCTGCCAAGCCCGCCTCGCGTTAGCTCCAACAATGAAAAAGTGAAGAAATGACATGAAAATTTCGTTTTAAATTGGTGGGAAATTGGTGTCATTTTGCATATTTTTGAAAATTTCAAAATGAAAACGGATATGACTTCTGCGACCCGAAATCTACAAGAAAATGCATTAGGTGAAATTTCTAAAATTTTGTTGAAAATTGGTGGAAATTGGTGTTATTTTGCATATTTTTGAATATTTCAAAGGACGATTCTGGAAAAACCATTGGAGTTATCGAAGAAATGAAAACGGATATGACTTCTGCGGCCCAAAATCTACAAGAAAATGTATTAAGTAAAATTTTGAAAATTTTGTTGAAAATTGGTGGGCAATTGGGGTTATTTTGCATATTTTTGAATATTTCAAAGGACGATTCTGGAAAAACCATTGGAGTTATCGAAGAAATGAAAACGGATATGACTTCTACGGCCCGAAATCTACAAGAAAATGTATTAAGTGAAATTTCGAAAATTTTGTTGAGAGGTGGGAAATTGGGGTTATTTTGCATATTTTTGAATATTTCAAAGGACGATTCTGGAAAAACCATTGGATTTATCGAAGAAATGAAAACGGATATGACTTCTACGGCCCGAAATCTACAAGAAAATGTATTAAGTGAAATTTCGAAAATTTTGTTGAGAGGTGGGAAATTGGGGTTATTTTGCATATTTGTGAATATTTCAAAGAATGATTCTGGGAAAACCATTGGCGTTATCGAAGAAATTAAAACGGATATGACTTCTGCGGCCCGAAATCTACAAGAAAATGTATTAAGTGAAATTTCGAAAATTTTGTTGAAAATTGGTGGGAAATTGGGGTTATTTTGCATATTTTTGAATATTTCAAAGGACGATTGTGGGAAAACCATTGTAGTTATCGAAGAAATGAAAACGGATATGACTTCTGCTGCCCGAAATCTACAAGAAAATGCATTAAGTGAAATTTCGAAAATTTTGTTGAAAATTGGTGGTAAATTGGTGTTATTTTGCATATTTTTGAATATTTCAAAGGACGATTCTGGGAAAACCATTGGAGTTATCGAAGAAATGAAAACGGATATGACTTCTGCGGCCCAAAATCTACAAGAAAATGTATTAAGTAAAATTTTGAAAATTTTGTTGAAAATTGGTGGGAAATTGGGGTTATTTTGCATATTTTTGAATATTTCAAAGGACGATTCTGAGAAAACCATTGGAGTTATCGAAGAAATGAAAACGCATATGACTTCTGCGGCCCGAAATCTACAAGAAAATGTATTAAGTGAAATTTCGAAAATTTTGTTGAAAGTTGGTGGGAAATTGGGGTTATTTAGCATATTTTTGAATACTTCAAAGGACGATTCTGGGAAAACCATTGGAGTTATCGAAGAAATGAAAACGGATATGACTTCTGCGGCCCTAAATCTGCAAGAAAATGTATTAAGTGAAATTTCGAAAATTTTGTTGAAAATTGGTGGGAAATTGGGGTTATTTTGCATATTTTTGAATATTTCAAAGGACGATTCTGGAAAAACCATTGGATTTATCGAAGAAATGAAAACGGATATGACTTCTACGGCCCGAAATCTACAAGAAAATGTATTAAGTGAAATTTCGAAAATTTTGTTGAAAATTGGTGGGAAATTGGGGTTATTTTGCATATTTTTGAGGATTTCAAAGGACGATTCTGGGAAAACCATTGGAGTTATCGAAGAAATGAAAACGGATATGACTTCTGAGGCCCGAAATCTACAAGAAAATGTATTAAGTAAAATTTCGAAAATTCTGTTGAAAATTGGTGGGAAATTGGGGTTATTTTGCATATTTTTGAATATTTCAAAGGACGATTCTATGAAAACCATTGGAGTTATCGAAGAAATGAAAACGGATATGCTACATTTGTCTGAAAAATAAAGATATAAAACAGTGACAAATATGCGATTTATCCGAGAGAAATGTATGTATTGGACATTCGATTAGTCGATTACAGAACTAATTTGTGTTAATTGAAAAAATTAATCATTATGTAACACGCAATTCTTATTTTCTAAAAATAATAACATACCTGAAACAAATATTTTTACTATTAAAATTACTCTTATTTAATAACACAAATACAACCAGCGGGCCTACCGGACCCGGGTTGCTCAGATGCACAGATAAAATGCAATCCCCCGATAAGCGTAAAACGCAGTGAATAGTGAATTGTGGTTTATGGTTTTTAAAATACCATCTTACCATGGCTTAGATTTATTACTCCTCAGGATTATATTTAAAGATATAAAAATCTATAAAAAACTTCAACGTCAAAATTGGCCTCCTTGCTTAAAAAAAAATGATACGGCACATTAAAATAGATGACAAACAAGTAAAAAAATAAAAAACGTGGGGTGAAACGTACCATTTTACTTTCTACGGATTTCAATTTAGAAATTTCATCTGAAACGTCCGATAATAATGGTTAAACCCGACTCATTCATAGGAGAGTTGGATTTGAAATAACAAACAATGCTTTTGGAATCACTAAAATTTCTATATATTTGGTAAATATAAATTAAAGAAAAAAAAATTCGTACTTGTTAAGATAAGATTGATTTTGGAAAATGATATAGCCTGTAAAAAAACAGAGGGTGGGTGGGCGGGGCTAGTCCTTCCTAAGATACGACTGGTTTTGGAAAATGGCATACCCTCCATGAAAATAGAGGGCGAGTGGGCGGGATTCATAAACCACATATACCGGAGTATCTTATCTTGTAAAATTTAAATATTATTTACTATTGTAAATTTTGGCGATGACGTGAACAAATGGTTGGTAGGAATTTTACCATCTACATGGTATTCGTAATCCACATATAAAATTTGACAACTGGTTCAGTAGTTTCGGAGATTATTTGTCTAACAAAAGTTCGGACAGAGGGCAGACAGACAGACAGACAAACAGATGCGTCATGGCCCACTAAGGTAGAAACTTAAAAAAATCACACGGTATAACATTAAACAGAACTACAAAAACTAACATTGCATGAGCATTATAATCACTGACTTATCACGGAAAAATTACCAGTTTTATCAGTAGGGTATGTTGGCATGTAAAATTTCTAATCAGTGGTGACACGTCCACTCATAAACAAATTTTGATTAACGAGACTCTTGACGTTTTAATATAATTTCTGATCAACTTGGACGAAATGTATATTCCTGATATTATATGACTAAGTAATATGTGTATGATTATAACCACTTTAAAAATGTTTTCAGTTTTTTGTTGTGAAAAGAAAACTACGTGTATCGAGAAAAAAAGGCAAAATATAAGCCCCACCCACCCACCCTGTCTCGATTGTAATGATTTTTTAATTCGCTGTGAGCCGCTGGGAGGAGCTTAATTGCAAAATTCTCGTTTTTCTACAAAAAGTCACCATATGAAACATGTTCTTAAGTAACAGTGTTGCCCAAAGAAAACTATCCAGATTAAGTAAAAAAAAAAGCCAAAATTAACCCTTTCGGAATTTTCTAAAGTGTCTATATTAAGAAAAAAAGGCAAAATATAAGCCCCGGCCGCCCGCCCAATCTCAATTGTGATGATTTTTGGCTTTACTTTTTTCTTAATATACCTACATAGTATTCTTTGAACAACACGATACTCAAAAACATGGTTTTAATTTCTCTTAGAGAAGTAAAGATTTTGCAGCTAAGCTCCGCCCCCTCGCCTCACGACGAATAAAAAAAATCATCAGAATTGAGATAGGGCGGGTGGGCGGGGTTTATATTTGGCCTTTTTTTCTTAATGTACATGTAGCCATCTTGCCATAACAAAAAACTTAGAACATGATTAACATTTTTGCAAGGAAAAGATCAACACAAATTAGTTTAAATTTTATTAGCTTCAGAATATTTAACTTTTTTTATAGAATGTCGAGCGTAAAAGTCCAAAACCTATTCCACATTATGTATATTAGATTTTTTATAAAAGTCATGTAATGTTAATATAAAATGTAATAAGGACAGTGGTTTTGCGGTCATTTACCACTTTAAACATGTTCTCAGTTTCTTGTCGTGGAAAGAAAACTACGTATATTAAGAAAAAAAGGCAAAATATAAGCCCGACCCACCCACCCTCTCTCAATTGTGATGATTTTTTTATTTGTCGTGAACCGGTGGGCGGAGCTTAAAGCAAAATCAATAATTATTGATTACATTAGCAGATTTATAAAAATTGTATTACACATTTTCAGTTTTAGCAACCTCGCCAATTATGTTCTCCTATGGAGTAGGAGTGGAAACTAATAGAATCTAGGATGTGAAAAAATAAAAAAGGGCCCACCGTAAATATTTTGTTGTATACTATTTGCTAATGGAATTGTAAAAATCGGTATATGTATTTTAACTGGCTATTTTGGAAAAACGATAGAAATTTTCGACGAAACGAAGTCTAAAATGACATCTGGTTGAAATGGTTGAAAAATGGTCAGAAATGTCAAAAGTGTCAAAATCAAAATGCTAGCCCCGCCCACCCGCCCTCTATTTTCTTGGAAGATATGTCATTTGCCAGAAACAGTCTTGTCTTATCAAGTACTAGCCCCGCCCACCCACCCTCTGTTTTCTTAGGGGGTATGTCATTTGTCAAAATCAGTTTTATCTTAGCAAGTACTAGCCCCAGTCTCCTCAATCTAAAGATTTATTTTTTTTCTGTTAAGTATAAGATCATTAATTTTATTTAGACCGGATAAAATTAATCACTGAAATGAAGGCCGGGTGGGTGGGCGGGGCTAATTATGTTCTTCTATGGAGTGGAAGTGGAAACTAATAGAATCTAGGATGTGAAAAAAGTAAAAAACGCTCACTGTTACTAATGGAACTGCAAAAATTGATATATTTCAACTGGCGATTTTGAGAAAACGATAGAAATATTCGAAAAAACGAAGCCCTAAAATGACTTCTGGTTGTCAGAAGCTACAAGAAAATGTCTAGCTAATTTTCGAATATGGTTGAAAAATGGTCAGAAATGTCGAAAGTGTCAAAATCAAAATGCTAGCCCCGCCCACCCGCCCTCTATTTTCTTGGAAGATATCTCATTTGCCAGAAACAGTCTTGTCTTATCAAGTACTAGCCCCGCCCACCCACCCTCTGTATTCTTAGGGGGTATATCATTTGCCAAAATCAGTTTTATCTTAGCAAGTACTAGCCCCAGTCTCCTCAATCTAACGATTTATTTTATTTCTGTTAAGTATAAGATCATTAATTTTATGCAGACCGAATAAAATTAATCACTGAAATGAAGGCCGGGTGGGTGGGCGGGGCTAATTATGTTCTTCTATGGAGTGGAAGTGAAAACTAATAGAATCTAGGATGTGAAAAAAGTAAAAAAAAGCGCTCACTGTTACTAATGGAATTGCAAAAATTGATATATTTCAACTCGCGATTTTGGGAAAACGATAGAAATATTCGAAGCAACGAAGCCTAAAATGACTTCTGGTTGTCAGAAGCTACAAGAAAATGTCTAGCTAATTTTCGAAAACGGTTGAAAAATGGTCAGAAATGTCAAAAGTGTCAAAATCAAAATGCTAGCCCCGCCCACCCACCCTCTGTTTTCTTAGGGGGTATGTCATTTGCCAAAATCAGTTTTATCTTAACAAATACTAGCCGAGCCCACCCCCAGTCTCCTCATTCTAAAGATTTATTTTATTTCTGTTAAGTATAAGATCATTAATTTTATTCAGACCGGATAAAATTAATCACTGAAATGAAGGCCGGGTGGGTGGGCGGGGCTAATTATGTTCTTCTATGGAGTGGAATTGGAAACTAATAGAAACTAGGATGTGAAAAAAGTAAAAAAAAGCGCTCACTGTTACTAATGGAACTTCAAAAATTGATATATTTCAACTGGCGATTTTGGGAAAACGATAGAAATATTCGAAGAAAGGAGGCCTAAAATGACTTCTGGTTGTCAAAAGCTACAAGAAAATGTCTAGCTAATTTTCGAAAATGGTTGAAAATGGTCAGAAATGTCAAAAGTGTCAAAATCAAAATGCTAGCCCCGCCCACCCGCCCTCTATTTTCTTGGAAGATATATCATTTGCCAGAAACAGTCTTGTCTTATCAAGTACTAGCCCCGCCGACCCACCCTCTGTTTTCTTAGGGGGTATATCATTTGCCAAAATCAGTTTTATCTTAGCAAGTACTAGCCCCAGTCTCCTCAATCTAACGATTTATTTTATTTCTGTTAAGTATAAGATCATTAATTTTATGCAGACCGAATAAAATTAATCACTGAAATGAAGGCCGGGTGGGTAGGCGGAGCTAATTATGTTTTTCTATGGAGTGGAAGTGGAAACTAATAGAATCTAGGATGTGACAAAAGTAAAAAAAAGCGCTCACTGCTACTAATGGAACTGCAAAAATTGATATATTTGAACTGGCGATTTTGGGAAAACGATAGAAATTTTCGAAGAAACGAAGCCTAAAATGACTTCTGGTTGTCGAAAGCTACAAGAACATGTCTAGCTAATTTTCGAAAACGGTTGAAAAATGGCCAACAGTGTCAAAATCAGTCACATCTGATAAAATGCTAGCCCCGCCGACCCGCCCTTATTTTCTTGGAAGATATGTCATTTGCCAAAAACAGTCTTGTCTTATCAAGTTCTACATTATTAATAGCACACACAATATCTATTGTTACGAAATAAAACCATAGCCCCGGTGCGACGCCTATGGGTTTTTCTAGTATGTGTCGATGAAGGTTGTTGACTCATCGACGGCCGAGCGGCGGGCGCATAAAGACAAGTCAGGAGCCGGTTACCGGAAGTCTCGAAGCGGAGTCGCGATGGATATTCGAGAAAGATCTCGATCGGAGAACGAATTATTCAGCCAGTGGAGACAAGACTTTTATGTACAAATGTTAAATTCAAAGTGAACAAATATTGCATATTTGCATTATTTACAGAAGGTAAATCGAAATTTCGTTCATAAAAATATACTATATTATACTATGAAATCTTTATTACATACATACTTTCATGTAAACCAATAAACAAAATGTAATGCGATAACCTATACAGGAAAAAGTTAAATTATGCAAGAACCACCATGTTTGGTAAATAATAAAATAACACTATTAAATAATCATTTACTCAACTCAACAATTCAAAGAAATACAATTTTGGCACCAAAGTAATTTATTTTTTGGACATCAGTACAATTTTGAAAATCTCTAACATTCTCATATTCTCACAAATGTGATCTTTTGTGGCTTAGACATCAACGTAAAGCCACAAACGTACGACATATCTACTGGTGCTGAGTCACAACTTTCTATTTTCAGTTTCTGAAGAACAGTTGCCACAAATAGAAATATAATCATGTTTCCCATATCTTTTCCAACACACATCCGCTTACCTATAATAAAACCGTCAAACTTGTCAGCTACATAGACCCAAATTTACTTACCAGCCTGGAAAGGAAGAAACGACTCCGTCGAAAAAAAATTTCCTTCGTCGTTTAAAAATCGCTCTGGACGGAACTCTTCAGGCTCCTTCCATACCTTCGGATCCATATGAATCGCCCAAAGTAGAGACATTATCGTAGTACCTTTCCGTATTTTAATATCGTCTACTTGTACATCTTGCAACGTGTAATGTGGAAGTCCCAAAGGTATTATCGTTCTAATTCTGAAAACTTCAGCAATAGTGGCTTGTGTGTAAGGCAGTTTAGTTAAATCCTGTACTGTGGGGGCTTTCCCTTGTAGAACTGTGACAAGCTCGTGGCGTACTTTTTCCTGCACTTGTTGGTACTGTGCCATGTGCAAAATAAACCACATTATCGTATTTACAGACGTTTCAAGACTGGCACCAAACACGTGATACAAAAGGTAGCGCAGTTGTTCAGGATCGTAACTCTCATCATCACCGAATTTCGCTCTTTGTAACCAGAAAGCCTCCGTAAGACTCGATGGAGAGTTTTCGTCGAGTTTCAACGTTGTGTGGGTCTGACTAACTTCAAACACCATTTGACGAGTTTCTTCAACAACTTTTGTCAAAGATGCAACTGTTTGTTTGAATTTCGGGAGAAACCTGAAAGCAGTGTTAGCAGAAATGGGGTAAAATAGTGCACTAACAAACCGTAGAAATGGCAGGTAATTTAAAGGACCGCCTATTGGTGCCAACAACATCATTTTTTTGAAATTGTTCTCTATCTTTAGAAGGGTTTCGTCATCACGAGTAAATATAGTTCCGAAAATAAGAGTGCTAGAAATACTACCTACGTAGTGAACTATGGGTTCAAACGGATATAGAGTTACACGATCTCCTTGCCCAAGTATGTGCTATAGTTAAGAAAAAAAATCGAAAGTCAAAAAATCGTACTAAGCTTACGTCTATGAATTCCTCAGCGTATGTTCTTGCTTGTTCTTCGAATGTTATCTTTTTTGACGAAAGTTTGGTGGCGCCGGATGTTCTTAAGTAATTATGGATGAATTTGCGTTGTTCTTTCCAAATGTTGGTAGGACTTGTTACAATACCTGTGTCAAAATAGAGTCTATGTTTTATGTACTCAGAATTTTTATTACCTTTATTGCCAAACAAAATGTTAAAAAGGAAAAGTGGCGGCCGTGCCAGTGCCTCGTCTTTCATTAAAACTTTTTTCAAAATTTTTGGGTCGGAAATGACGACGGTGTCCATCGATCCCAGTTTTATGCTATAGACAGGTCCGTACTTTTGTGCCAGTTTTGTGAACGTGATGTTGGGTAAGTTCGGGTCGATTTTGTGCAAATAGCCTATGATGGGTAAGTTCCAAGGACCCGGGAGGCCGCTCCGGTAGTTATAATAAATGTAAAGTATAATTACGACGAACAGAAAACCTAATATTGGAAGTAACATCTAAAAAGAAGATGCACTTTACTTAAATAAATATAATCAAGTATTTTTTTACCTTCGTTTGGTAACTGATGGTTCTAAATGCGTTTCTAACACAACTGAATTTTAGATATAATTTTCAATAACATTTTTATTTATTTTTAGCAATGATAAAATTTTCTTGAAAAAAGTGTTGATTTATCAAAGACTCGAACGCCCGTGACATTGACCTGAGTTTATCATTTGAAGAGATGTTTGTAAATATTTTGTGTCCTTGTTCTACTGCTCTCTCTAACAATTGTACAAAAAAATACACGAAATGAAAATGTAAATAAAAGTCTATATTCTATTTTCTACATTTTACATTTTAAAATAATTCTTCCTTCCTAATCCTCGTAAAGATAAGCTTCTGTGGTTTAGGGTTAAGTGTGGCACCGCAACTACCTGTAAAATCTAACCCTAAAGAGTTAACAGGTTCGATTCTAAAATTCTGCAAAACACCAGCAATAAATATTGTCGTTACCATGTTTGCTAAGTCTTCACCAACGCACATCCTTTTACCTAAAGCAAAAGTTTGTTTTTTTCACTTCTTGACTTATCTTATCTTACCGCTTTGAAATGGAAGGAATGATTCCGGTTTAGAAAACTTTCCATCGCTGTCTATAAATCTTTCAGGACGAAACTCTTCCGGGTCTTTGTGGACTTTGGGATCCATATGTATCGCCCACAATAACGGCATTATCATTGTGCCTTTTGGAATCGTCAACCCATCAAGGTATATATTTTCAGAGGCATAGTGCGGTACCCCTAATGGTAGTACAGTTCTAATTCTGGCAATTTCGGCAAGAGCTGCTTTAGTGTAATGCAAATTTTCGAAATCCCCCAAATCCAGTGATTCACCTTGTAACACCCAAAGGAGTTCTTGTCGAATTTTAGCCTGAACTTCAACATGTTGGGCTAAATATAGCAAAATCCAAAGTAAGGAAGTTATAGTGGTTTCAGTAAAAGCAATGTAAAGGTCAAACAAAAGGCGATGTAGTTGATCGAGAGTGTAAATATGGTCGGATTTGGTTTCGGATATCTGTAATTGAAAGGCCTTAACAAGATTTGACTGAGAATCCAGGCAAGTCGATTTTTCACATTCGTGTATTAGTTGAGCTTGAATGTCACGAACTCTATAAACGGCTTCTTTTAACAACGTTAATTTTTTCTTGTATGGTGGTAAGAAACTGTAACAATCGTGTTTTAAATTGTTATTATCTAATTACAAACCGTACCGTAAAAATGGCAGGAAGTTCAGTGGAGCTCCGAACATTAATAATTCAGTGAATGCGCGAATATTCCGTGCTAAATCAGTAACTTTCTTGTCATTCAAAGAAAATGGTTTGCCCAGAAATAAACTATTAGCGGTACTGCTTATCAAATGGGTTACAAGTTCTGAGGGATCCAGCGGTTTGCAAAAACCTTGACTTTTTACAACCTAAGTAGTGAAAAAAAAAAACATGTGCCGCTTTTTTCTTTTTCTAACTTACTTGTACAAATTCGTCAACGTGTTTTTTTATCATCGTCTCACAAGTTTTCCTATTAGGGGAAACTCTAGCGGCTCCTACTTCTCTTAAAAAATTTGACACGAACTTGCGTTGGTCTTTCCATAGATCAATGTTAGCATGTGCAAAACCTACAATAATAGACAAGATTTGTTGCTATGATTTCGTGACAGATGGTACCTTTGCGTTCAAAGACAGTATCCATCAAATAGAGAGGCGATCTTTCAAGTGTTTCGTCTTTTGCCAATACCTTTTTTAGTATTCTAGCGTCAGCTAAGACGACGACGTTAAGCATGCCAAGTTTGATGTTGTAAATCGGTCCATATTTCTGGGCAAGTTTTGTCAGAGTCAAGTAAGGTGCTGTTGGATCTAACTTATGTAAGTAACCAATCACTGGTAAATTCCAAGGTCCTGGAAGATATTTTTTGTCGAGGACAATTTTCACCAAAAGCAGGATTACTATAATCATTATGATAAATATAGTGGTGGCCATCTGAAAAACAGTTTTTGATTTATAATGGAAACTACGTTTCATAGAGCAATTAACATAAAATATATACACTACCGGTTTTCGAACAGACTAGTTGTGTATAAAAATTGATATTAATAACACGGATGTATTAAGTTTTAATAAACAGAAGATGATTTAAGTGAATTAAATAGTATACTTACGTTTTTCAAATTGCACACTTATTTGTTTAACTACGAAGCAAATACTTCATTTATAGAGTTATTACTCAGCCGGTTTTCCTCCGACCGGACTAGTTTATTTTTTAAAAAGAAGAAGAGACTGGAAGCAAGTTTTTTTAAACCAGGTGCAAGTTTAAATTTTCACCTTGGCAACATTTTGTTTCATTATAAAATAATTATAAAAAAAGGATTCAGTTTTACTAATTTTGTTAATTATATACACATTTATATCTTTGTAAACATTATTTCTTGTGGTTTTGGAGCGAGAGAAGCCTTAGTTATGCCAGTGAAATCTATCGAAGCGAAATCAGGTGGTGCAAGCTTAAAATTCTTCACCACAATGACAACAAATATGTACATCATCATCGTTGCTATTTCTTCTCCAATACACATTCTTTTACCTTAAACAAATTTCTGCACTTTCCGTCTTATACATGTTCTACCTTAGTACCGGTCTGAAAAGGAAGGAATGATTCCGGTTTGATGAATTTTGCATCATCGTTCAGAAATCTTTCCGGGCGAAATTCTTCCGGTTCTTTGTAAACTTTTGGATCCATGTGGATTGCCCATAATAAAGGCATTATCATTGTATCTTTCGGAATCGTGTAACCTTCCACACAAACATTTGCGGATACCCATTGTGGTATTCCAAATGGTGCTACAGTTCTAATTCTAGCCACTTCAGCAATAGCTGCTTTAGTATAGTGTAAGTTCACAAAATCATCCATTTCTACTGTTTTATCTTGCACTACTTCTAGAAGTTCTTGTCGTATTTTATTTTGCACTTGTTCATACTGGGCCAGATATAGTAAAATCCAACCAAAGGATGTTTTGGTGGTTTCCGTGAAAGCAATATAAATGTCAAATAAAAGGTAGTGAAGTTGATTATGGTTGTAAATGTGTTCAGGGCTGCCTCTAGACATCTGGAGGAGAAATGCTTGAATAAGACTAGTTGGAACATCAGTTTTGACCCTGGACATGGACTCTTGGCATTCATTTATAAGTTTCTTTTGAACATCACGAATTATATGAACAGACTTTTTTAGTGAAGTTAGTGTTCTTTTAAACATTGGTAAGAAACTGGAAATATTCACAGTTTAGCTTTGTGTGTTTTGCCTCTAAAGCATTCACATACTGTAAAAATGGCAAAAAATTTAATGGTCCTCCAAAAGCTATGGCTTCAATTACTTTATCAAGGTTCTCTGCTAAATCGGTAACAGTCTTGTCGTCCAACGAAAACGATTTGCCCAGAAGTATCATACCAGCGATATTACTAACACAACGGGATACATATTCTGAAGGATCCATTGACACACAACGATTTGGACTTTTAAAAACCTGTACAAATTCCTCAACATGTTTTCTTATTAACGCCTCACACGTTTTCTTATTTTGGGAAACTCTACTGGCTCCTATCGTTCTTAAAAAAATTGTTACAAACTTACGTTGGTCTTTCAGTTGTTCAATAGGCAATGAAAGAATCCCTGCAACAATTGTAAAATTTCCAAAATTCTACTCGGAATCTGGTACCTTTGCCATCAAATACGGTGTAGAAAATATAGAGGGGAGGTCTTCCAAGTGTTTCGTCCTTTGCTAACAACTTCTTCAGTATTTTTGCGTCGGCTATGACGACGGTGTTAATAGAGCCAAGTTTAACCCTATAAACAGGTCCATATTGATGTACAAGCTTTGTTAATGTTAAGTGTGGTCCTGCTGGATCTAGTTTGTGTAAGTAACCTATAATTGGCAAATTAAAAGGTCCTGGAAGACATTTCTTGGCGCGAAAAATCATCCTCAAAAGTAGTGTTATTATTATTACAATAAATATAGTTAATATCACCTGAAAAACGAATTTTGTTTTATTTATTGTAAATGTACTGTACATACTGGATTTAATTTTAGTGTTGCCATTCTTCAGTTTTATAAGCACGACACAATCTTAAAAATAATTGTAATGAAATTGTTGTACTAACACTACTAATAGTGGAAAACCAAGGATGTGTTTAGTAACCAGCTAAACGTAATTAAACCTAGCAAGGTCAAGTATAATTTACGTCAATAGATATAGTAATTAAAAAATTTTCTTGTTATACTTGCATCTTAATCATGGTTTGAAATACTAACATGCTTGCGTAATCAGGCAGTGTTTTAAAGCCGCCTAGATAACGAGAAATATTTTAATATTAATAAAAGACAAGTAGCACTAATTTGTATTTATCTAAGAAATAAATATAAAAATTACAATTATTATTGTTTGAAATGCGAATTAATGTATGTTTTCTTCATTCTCAATGCGTGGAAACATAGTTTGATATGTTATATTTTCCTAACTGCCTAATTAAATTTTTGTAAAGATCAGTTTCTGCGGTTTAGGTATTAGTGTGGCACCACAAATACCAGTCAAATCTAATGGTGTCGAGTCAACACGCTCGACTCTAAAATTCTGCAAAACACTAGCAATAAAAATTGTTGCAGTTGTTTTTGCTATCTCTTCACCAATGCACATTCTTTTACCTAAAACAAAGCTCTATGTATATTTTACAGTTCCTTATAGATTTCTTCTTACCGCTTTGAAACGGAAGGAATGACTCCGGTTTAAAAAAATGCCCATTACTGTCTAACAATCTTTCAGGACGAAATTCTTCCGGTTCTTTGTAAAGTTGTGGATCCATATGTATTGCCCATAATAACGGCATTATCATTACACCTTTTGGAATCGTAAATCCCTCAATGCAAATTTTTTCGGAGGTACTGTGTGGAATTCCCAATGGTGTTAAACTTCTAATCCGTGCGACTTCGGCAATTGTGGCTTTAATGTATTGTAAGTTGACCAAATCGTCCACTTCCACCGTTTTATCTTCTAACACGTGGAAGAGTTCCTGTCGTATTTTAATCTGAACCTCAGGGTATTGCGCCAAATAGAGTAAAATCCAAAGTAAGGAATTTGTCGTTGTTTCAGTAAAAGTTACATAAAGGTCAAATAGAAGACGATGTAGTTGATCGACATTGTAAATGTGTTCAGGCTTGCCTTCGGCTATTTGTAGTTGAAAAGCCTCAACAAGATTTGACGGAGAATCCACACAAGTCGATTTTTCACATTCATGAACCAGTTAGTTTCTTTTGAATTTCGCGAACTCTTTGGACAGCTTCTTTTACCAGCGTCAATTTTTTCTTGTACGGCGGCAAGAAACTGCAACAGCCATATTTCAAATTGTTGCAATTTAACTGAAAACCATACCGTAGAAATGGCAGTAAGTTCAACGGAGTTCCGAACAGTATTGACTTATTGAAAAAGTTAAGATTCCGTGATAAATCAGCAACTTTCTTGTCATTCAAAGAAAATGGTTTGCCCAGAAGTAAATTGCTAGCGATGCTACTTACAAAATGGGATACAAGTTCCGAAGGATCCACGGGTATGTAAAATGCTTGACTTTTTACAACCTAAGTATTGAAAAAGCAGTGATATAAAATGCATATTTTCTTTTTATAACTTACTTGAAAAAATTCTTCAACATGCGTCTTTAGCAATGTGTCAAAGGATTTCCTATTAGGAGAAAATTTAGTGGCTCCTACTGTTCTTAAAAAACTTGCCACAAATTTACGTTGGTCTTTCCATAGGTCAAGATCAGCGTGTGCAAGTCCTACAATATTAGTGAAAATTGTTCGTTATCATTTCGTTGTAGGTGATACCTTTGCCTTCAAATACAGCAGTAACTAAATAGAGAGGCGGTCTTTCAAGTGTTTCGTCTTTTGCCAATATTTTTTTTTATTATTTTAACGTCAGCTACGACCACAACACTGAGCATGCCAAGTTTGATGCTGTAAATAGGTCCATATTTTTGGACAAGTTTTGTTAACGTCAAGTAAGGTGCTTTCGGGTCAAGTTTATGTAAGTAACCTATAACGGGGAAATTCCATGGTCCTGGAAGACATTTTTTGTCTCTGAAAATGTTGACCAAAAGTAGTATTATTATAATTGTTATGATTATTATAGATACAGCTGCACCCATCTGAAAAATATTTTTTTATTTATTATTTAACAATTTTGCTTTGAACAATTAACACAAAACACATACGGTGATTTAATTTTACTCTATTGGTTCTTGAACAGACTTGATAAAGTTGGGAATTAGAAATGGTGCACTTTAACATTGCTCGATATTAATAAGGCAGATACATGCATTACGTTGCATTTTTATATATAACTAGCGGAACCCGGCAGACGTTGTCCTGCTTGTGTATATATTTACTTTGTATATATGTGGATATAAATGTATGGTCTGGAGCGCAGAATGCGTTGTAGAAAACTGAATAATAAGATAACTCATATTGATGCTATTCCATTTATTTTCATTAGTATACACAATGTACACATTTTTGTATTAGTAATTCACGTGAATGAACAAAATTTTTGACTGTTGTATGCGCTATATATGCTAGTCCAAAAGGTATAAGGTTATATGACCATTATAAAAGTAGTTGACCGCAAATAAGTACCCCCTTTGTGTGGTTCGCACTAAGCTTACCCGGTTGGCAATAAATCGTCTTCTCAACATTTCTTGCTCATATTTAACAGGGCCGGCTTTCAAAGCGAGTGGTGATTTCGGAACCCTCAGCGGTTGCAGGTAGTAAAGAAATAATGGAGTGGTGGATTTACATATTTAGTGAAAGCCGCCCCTGAACGAAACCACAACAGCCGGTCCAGCTCCATTGGACACGTTATTTACGACCCTAAAACCTTTTCTATTGTAAACAACTTAACTTCGACACAATGGGATGATTTTATGATGGCCATATAACCTTATAGCTTTTGGTCCACTATAACTGAAACAACTTGAACACATTTTAATCAATACTAACATCTATCGTAACGCTAGTGGGTAAACAATATTTTTGGTTTTTCGATTTGGTGTATAGACGTACAGAGTTTTTGGAATTCCTACTCTGGAGCAAGCAACATACAGTTGACCATGCGAAAAACATGGATTTCCTAAATTTAATCCAGCAACGCGTAGAGACTGCCCCTTGGGCTTTGTTGATTGCCATCGCGAAAGCAAGACGCACAGGAAACTGTAGTCGTTTGAATGTAAAAGGCAAATCAGTAGGAACCATTGGAATGCGCGGAATCAGTTTGATTTTTTGGATGGCATTTTCAATAATCTTTAGTAATTCACTCTTTGTTATTACTGAGGATTGTAGACAGTGAACATCACTAATGATTTTCTTTTGCGGTCAATACGATTTTTGTTGTAATACCAACGAAAACAATGCTGTCATTGGTGCCGCCATATATCTAATACTTGCTAACTCTTCAGAAGTAACATAGAAACGGTGTTCACGGACAAAGGGAGACGGAAGATATTATATTCTGTCTAGAAAAGTACCGAGGGTCTGTGCGCACGTACACAAAATAGAAGCGAACGTATGAAATGTCAAAACACAGTCACGTTATCGACTAAAAATCAAGCAAGTACGAGTATATGAACAGTACTGTTTGGTACTATAGAGAGAAAAAGAGGTCCGATATATTGCTTTGCCGTTGTGTTTTCGGACTCTTTTGAGGCCTGATAGCAATATAGTAGTATTCGATATATGGGTGCCGCTGATTCTCTAAGTTCATAATACTTTAACAGAGAGGCTGATGTGCTGCAGTGCCATCTAGTGGCAAGTTACAGCAAAATCGATAACGCGAAAATATTCTCCATGGTCAAATACCAACGTATATCCATTTTCATGAAGATCGGTTGATTGGTACAGAAGTTGATGTGTTGCAGCGCCATCTAGTGGCGAGTTACAGCAAAATGAATAGGGCGAAAATATTCTCCATAGTCAAATGCCAACGTGTACCAATTTTCATGAGGATCGGTTGAACGGTGTAGAAGTTGATGTGCTGTAGCGCCATCTAGTGGCTAGTTACAGCAAAGCGGATACCACAAAAACCTTCTCCATGAAAAACCACTTACATGTGCCAAATTTCATGGTGATCGGTCAAACGATTTCGGAGTCTATCGATCACAGATATATATATATATACGTATCCAACCGTCGTTACCAAACCCAACATATTAAACAGACGTTACCAAGCCCGGCTGTTTTTCCGAGTATAATATAATAAATTTAATGGTTTTTGCAATAACAAACTTAAAAAAAAGTAGAGGGGTAAAATTATTCCTTGAAAAAAGTTAACACCATATTCATCCAACGTTACCAGACCCACTATGTCCAACAGCTTTCTCAGTCCCATTTCAGTATAAATAACACAGTTAACCGACGTTATCAATCCCGACATTGTTGCCACATTAAATTTATGGAAAATCGCTTCACATTGTATTGATCTGTAAAATTTCTTGTGTATCTTGAAAGTTGGATTTACAACCAGTGGATATGCAAAAGTGTCACAAAAGAAAATAAGGAAAACCAAAAATATATCTTATCTGCCTGTCTTTTTGACGCCATGAGTGCCATGACAAACGGATAACTCATTAATAAAATAAACGCCAAGGAGATTTTTTTATTAACAGATATGCAAGTTTGATAGACGTTAGTAACATTTTCTTTTTACTAGTTGTACATGTCTATCGAGTTAGTTCAACCAAAATTTGGACACCTATTCCCACCTAAAATTTTAAGAAAATTTATAAAATAACATAATTTTACACTTGCGATTTATTAATGCAATTTTTATTTGACCTTAGGCTTACAGATTTGTAAAAAAAAAATGATATGTTATCTAAGCTTTTCTTACACATAACATAAATCACAAATTAAGATTTTTTAATATTAACATCCTAAAAAATCGAAATTTTTACCACAAAATGGTACAATATCTGTTAGAAACTTTAAGATTGATTTAGAGATCTAAAATTGCATATTCTTTAAGAGTAACTTTAATATTTCAAATTATTAATTAAAAAATTTAAGAACGCTAAACTAGTATTAAAAAGACCCTCTTCAAAATAGTTACAATGCTCCATAGCAATTATTTAATCAATACTTGTTAATAAGGGCGATTAATAATCGCCTATTAACAAACGAGTTGGTTGCAATTTCATACACGAAACTGCTAAAAATCAGTTTCAAATTTCATGATATTTATAACATTTAAATAAAAAATTTCACATCAAGTGCGCGGGGGTATATCTGATTGCTGTATTAACCCATTAATATATAAATCGTTTATTAATAGCCGTAATTAATGAATGATTTCGAGACAGAATCACCAAAAAATGTTTTTAAGCCTAGCTGGCAGCTTTAGAAGCACAACAAAATTCTCTATAATTTTCTGCAATTTTAAGCTTGTCTCTGTCTATATTGTTAAATAGAAAAAAATAATTTCATGAATTATCGGTAATCTTAGTGTCAAAACTCAATGCATTAATCTTAGTGTCAAAACTCAATGCATAAAACGTTTGCAAATTTACAGGCCCTCGAAGGATCTCGATCCCTTAATAATACTTAGCGTGGCAAACGCTACAATGAAATTAGTACATGTGAAGTCCATGTGTCATTTTTAGTTTTCGTGTACATATTTTGTCTGAACCATATGAATCCTGCAAAATAATCCTTATGCTTGCTGAGACACATTTTAAGACTTTCATCTTTCTCTAGATTGTCTGTCATCTAAGTATACCGGGTGTCCCACGTAACACTTTCGGGCACAATAACTCAGGTATTTTTGAACGGATTGTTATGAAATTTGAAATGTAGGTATTTTGATAGATGAGGATTAATATGAGCCGGTGAGAATAATCATTATCTTGAAAAAGTAAATTTTCCATGCCTTAATTTAATTTTGAAATAATTAACTTTAATTAATTTGCATCACTTGATTAAACATGAAAAATAAATACTGTATGCAAAATTTCATCTCCGAAATACGTCTGGTTAGCCAAACCGATAAATTATTGCGAAAATAATTCCAAAAATTATTAAAGGATAGGTTACTATGGAACAAGAAACTGCTATCCTCGCATTTTGGACACCCTTGCGGGAATTTGATACCTGTTTGCCAAGCGTTATTTTTTGAATTTTAAGAAAATACTGATTTTCAGTCATTAATTTTTTTGAGACAGCTGTATAACCAAATCTAAAAAATATTAATGCAGTGATAAATCACAAGTATAAAGTCATCATATTTTGCATATTTAAGATAGGATTTATTTAGCAAAATTTTGAGGTGATGTCATCAATTGTTTTTTAGGGTGGATGAGCAAATACATTCTGATCAAAGATTTACTATGTTTATGATAATCTTAAACATCTCCATGATTTTAAAACATTCGGTTTTGCAGTTCCTGATTAAATTAATAAAATAAATCACGCATTCAATAATTTTTTTGTGTCATCCTGTTTATGCAAATTCAAAAAATGTGAATAAAATTTATACCGCAAAATTTTGATGTTTCATAATTTTGATTTTTTTCCAAAATTCTGCACTTTTCGGATAAAACTCAATACGAAGTCATAAACTACATGTGTAGGACTATGTTATTTCACACAATTTAAAACCCATTTACTATGTGTAATTTTAAAGTGACGTCATCACATTGTTGGTGAGGACGATTAGACAAATTTTGGTTAGCGTTTTACCATCTACATGATATTCCTAATATACTCGTAAATACAAAATTTGACAACAATCGCCCCGTACTTTCGGAGATTATCTGCCTAATAAAAATCCAGGTCTGCAGACAGACGGACAGACGGAAATGGGAGACCTATTTCTTCGTCCTGTAGGGGTAACGAAAGGTCGAGAAAACGTAGAAGTAGAGAGTCGGCCGATGGACTTGATTACAATACTTCCTTTACTTACGCTCAGTAAGTAAAAAATTAACTAAATGCGAAATTCTAACGAACAGAAATAAATAAAACATTTGCCGACAAATATATTCATTAAAAAAAAGTTGAATAAAAACTAAATGTTGCTTTAAAAAGATTGTTGTCGAAATCTACCAGTAGATGTACAAATTAGATGTAGTTAAAAAATGATTTCTGTCAATTAATATTAAGTGAGAATCAATTAATTTAGAATATAATCAAGTTCCTATCTTCAAATAAAAATTAAGTAAAATATGGATACGTAGATCATTATAGCGAATTTGAAAATAAGAGAGGATTAAAAAAAAACTACACTTACAGAAGTATACAATTTTGCACTTTTCAAATTACATTCAGTTAAACGCTTTGGTGACCTAACCTGACCACGTTCATTATAACTATAAATGCTCATTCACAATGGGCATAAAGCATAAGGATGTCATAAGGATTAATGCATAAGAATTTATGTTTAGTGCTCTATTATGCTTCTATTCGTTTACAATGAGCATAATGCTTAGGACATCCTTATGCTTTATGCCTATTGTGAATGAGCACTTATGCTCATTGTGAACGAATACAACCATAGAGCACTAAACATAAATTCATATGCATTAATGCTTATGACACCTTATGCTTTATGCCCTTTGTGAATGAGCACTAAGGCATAATTATGCAAAATTTTGCGGAGTCGTTTTCTAATTTCTGAAATTAATTGTCAAATATTGTATAATTTTTATATATTTTTCAAAAAATTGACATATATCGTCTACTAAATATAAATACAACGATCTGATTTAAAAAAAATAATTTTTAACTTTCATTTGTTTTTATCTACGACATAGAACTTTTGTTTTTTAAATCACACCAGACACTCTGAATATTTTTTTAAGATTCATGTAGAGATTTTTTCTAAATTTATTGATGTATCATAGTGTACATAATACGTTAATATTTTCAAACATTAATAATTTAATACATCATATTTGCAATAAAATGTCTTGAGTTAATAATGTTTTCGTATAGAAGTTTAATTTTCAAATTTAAAACTCCTATACATTAATAAGTGTTATAAACCGTGTTAAACTTGCTATGTAACAAAAATTTTGGTACATTTTTCCGTCACAGTTACCTTGCTAAAAAAATTAAATTAATTTTTACCACAACTTTTTAACAAAATGCGAAACATGGTACATCAATGTATTCAGAAAAAAAAAATCACAAGAATTAAAAAAAATATCTAGGATGTCATTTAAAAAACAAAAGTTGAATGTCATAGGCAAAAAAAAGAAAGTTAAAAATCAGTTTTACAATTAAGATCGCAATACATTTAAAATGATTTAATTTGATCTATTCAAAAAAATAAGATAGCTACGGTCCCGGGCTTTTTTTTTTCGAACATATGGTATATTTAAACTAAAAAACCTTATCTTTATTATTTTTATTAAACATAAGGCTGAATTATGTATTTAGTTAATTAGCATTTTACCCCCGTCTCCACGATAATCCTAAACTGTATCTATAATTTCAAAATAATCTGTATAGTATATAATTTTGGAAATTGTCTCTAATAAGAACGGCGGACAAATGACAATGAAAGACATAATTTTTCATATTCTAGATCTAATAAGAGTTATGTAACATCGAGAAAACATGAAACTAGCCATTCCTCAAACGATTCATTGTAAAAATGCTTTATTAATTCAAATAACATATTTTTACTTAATGCAAGCAGTCAGATACAAGTAGAATAAGAAAAGCACTCATGATTTTCTTAAATACTGAACTGATCTGCTAGAATGCAGTGTTGCAGATTTACGGATCTGGTAACGTTGGTCCGATGTGGACGATTTTATGCAGGCAGATATTATATACAGCTAAGCGACACGACGCCCTCTGCAGAAAAGGGGAATGAACTATTTCTGTATAAAATTTGACGTTCAACAGTTTTACCAGACCCACTTTTTTATTTCAATTTTTAATTGTACTGGGCTCAAGAAGGCGATATACATGGTTAAACGTTATCAGACCCGAACCCGGGTCTGGTAACGTCTCAAAAGGTCTGGTAACGTTTACTAGATATAGCGAGTCGGGACTGTGTAAGCGGTATAACAACTATATATATACCAACATCCATTTTTATATATTAGATTGTGGAAAAATCCGTAGCCATTATAAAATAGAATTAAATTCAGGTTTTTAAACAGTTCCAAACCAAAATAGTTATTTATGTATCAAGGACGAAAAACTGTCTATTATAGTCGAGTTTGCAGATTGATAGCCGAGGCGCAACCGAGACTAGCAAGCAGGCGAGACAATAGATATAATAAACATATTTTAAAATTCTTCACCACATTAACAACAAATACGTTTCCTCGTGTATAATGAAAATATACAGGGTTATTCACGAAAAGGTCCACGCGCAAAAAAGTGTAACCAACAAAAGATCAGAATCGGAATCTCTGAAAGATATTTACCATAATTTTATTTTAATTTTTGTTTTTGTTTTAATAATTTTGAAATACATGTTTGTCTTTAGGTCAACGGCATAAACTAACCAATTCAAAACAAGAGTATAACGTAGGGGTTTTATTTTCCCAAACATTAATCAACATTAAAACAAACTTTCTAAATTTTAAAATTGCTACTTTTGAATATGAGTGCACAAAGTTTATAAATGTCAACACTATTCCAGAATTAAATTAAACAAAGTAGGGGTGGTACTAGCAATTTTTTGAGATAAATATGTGCAAGTCAAATATTTGATTGATTGATGAACGTCAGGGTCCGGATGGCACTGAGCTAATTCACTGGACGAGGATAAATGCGTTGCGCGAGGTAGTCCTCTCGTTACGGCTGGCGTTGAATAGCGGCTCTCCGCGCAATCCTTTCGTCGTAGAAGGAATTGCCTCACTCGGCGAAATCGAGGTGTCCCTTCTATCCTGGGCTATGATGACCACAAAAATAAACATGCCTAGTTTGACGCTGTAAATTGTCATAATATAATAATAATAATTGTACACAAAAAAAACTACTGAAAATGAAAATATAAAGAAAATACTAAAGCTTTTATTAAAATTTTAATGACATTATCTTTTAAATTCTATATTCTGCATTCTACATTCTACATTTTAAAGTATCCCGTCGGATCTTCGTGAAGACAAGTTTCTGTAATTTAGGGCTAAGTGCGGCACCGCAAGTACCAGTAAAATCTAACGGTAAAGAGTCAACAGGCTCGATTTTAAAATTCTGCAAAACACCAGCACAAATATTGTCGTTACCATGTTTGCTATGTCTTCGCCAACGCACATCCTTCTACCTGGAAAAAAAGTTTGTCTTTTTCACTTCTTAACATATGTGATCTTACCGCTTTGAAATGGAAGGAATGATTCAGGTTTAAAAAACTTTCCATCGCTGTCTATAAATCTTTCAGGACGAAATTCTTCCGGGTCTTTGTAGACTTTGGGATCCATGTGGATTGCCCACAATAATGGCATTATCATTGCGCCTTTTGGAATCGTCAGCCCTTCAATATATATATTTTCGGAGGTATGGTGCGGTACTCCTAGTGGTAATAAAATTCTAATTCTGGCAATTTCGACAAGAGTCGCTTTAGTGTAATGCAAATTTTCAAAATCCTCAAAGTCCAGTAATTCACCTTGTAAAACCCAAAGGAGTTCTTGTCGAATTTTGTTCTGAATTTCAACGTGTTGGGCTAAATATAGGAAGATCCAAAGTAAGGAATTTATAGTAGTTTCCGTAAAAGCAACGTAAAGATCAAACAAAAGGCGATGTAGTTGATCAAGAGTGTAAATATTGTCAGATTTGCCTTCGGATATCTGTAATTGAAAGACCTTAACAAGATTTATCTGAGAATCTTTGCAAATCGATTTTTCACATTCGTGTATCAGTTTTCCTTGAATGTCACGCACTCTATGAACGGCTTCTTTTAGCAATGTTATTTTTTTCTTGTATGGTGGTAAGAAACTGTAACAATCGAGTTTTAAATTGTTATAATTTAATTACAAACCGTACCGTAAGAGTGGCAGGAAGTTCAGTGGAGCTCCGAACATTAATAACACTATGCAACAAATTAAAAAAAAATAAAATTCACAGAATGCACAGTATGCAGTTAAAATTTCTTACCTCAAACTCAATTGAGGATTATGCTTGAAAGAATCGTATCACATCAGGTTTCAAAATGAAAAGTGTTTATTGAATTTTTTGAAATCATACAAAATTAATAAAACAAAACTTCATTTTTCATTGAAAAAGGTCTTTTTTTTCGAACGATTGGCATTCTTACTGTAGCCAGATCTCGCAGTATCCCTCTGAAGACACCAAAGGAAGTCTGCAAGCATGGGTGGATACATAAAAGCTATATTTTTACAATTAACTACAATCAAGTGTCAAAAAAAGTAAGAAAAACAAAACACCCGTTAGCTATGTTTTGTGGTGTGATATGGGTATAAAACATTTTTTTCTTTAGTATATGCAGTATAGGTACCCAACCTATCACATCAGGTTTGGAGATGAAAAGTGTTTATTGAATTTTTTGAAATCATACAAAATTAATAAAACAATACTTCATTTTTCATTGAAAAAGGTCTTTTTTTTCCGAACGATTGGCATTCCTATTGTAGCCAGATCTCGCAGTATCCCTCTAAAGACACCAACAGAACTCTGCAAGCATGGGTGGATACATAAAAGCGATATTTTTACGATTAACTGCAATCAAGTGTCCCAAAAAGTAAGAAAAACAAAACACCCGTTATCTATGTTTTATGATGTGATATGGGTATAAAACATTTTTTTCTTTACTATATGGAGTATAGGTACCCAAGCTATCATATCAGGTATCAAAATGAAAAGTGTTTATTGAATTTTTTGAAATCATACAAAATTAATAAAACAATACTTAATTTTTCATTGAAAAAGGTCTTTTTTTTCGAACGATTGGCATTCCTATTGTAGTCAGATCTCGCAGTATCCCTCTGAAGACACCAACAGAAGTCTGCAAGCATGGGTGGGTACATAAAAGCGATATTTTTACGATTAAATGCAATCAAGTGTCCCAAAAAGTAAGAAAAACAAAACACCCGTTATCTATGTTTTGTGATGTGATGTGAGTATAAAACATTTTTTTCTTTACTATATGGAGTATACCCAACCTCAAACACTATCTGAACTTTCTGTGAATTTTTTAGTGTTGCATAGTGTAATTCAGTGAATGCGCGAATATTCCGTGCTAAATCAGTAACTTTCTTGTCACTCAAAGAAAATGGTATGCCCAGAAATAAACTATTAGCGGTACTGCTTATTAAATGGGTTACCAGTTCTGAAGGATCCAATGGTTTGCAAAAGGCTGGACTTTTTAGAACCTAAGTGGTGGAAAAAATGCATGTGCCAATTTTTCTTTTTCTAGCTTACTTGTACAAACTCATCAACATTTTTTTTATCAATGTCCCACAAGTATTCCTATTAGGAGAAACTCTTGCGGCTCCTACAGCTCTTAAAAAATTTGACACGAACTTGCGTTGGTCTTTCCATAGATCAATGTTAGCATGTGCAAGACCTACAATAATCGACAAGATTTGTTGTTGTTTCGTTACAGACGGTACCTCTGCCTTCAAATACGGTATCAATCAAATAGAGAGGCGATCTTTCAAGTGTTTCGTTTCTTGCCAATACCTTTTTTAATATTCTAGCGTCAGCTAAGACTACAACGTTAAGCATGCCAAGTTTGATCTTGTAAATCGGTCCATATTTTTGGGCAAGTTTTGTCAGAGTCAAGTAAGGTGCTGATGGATCTAACTTATGTAAGTAACCAATCACTGGTAAATTCCAAGGTCCTGGAAGGTATTTTTTGTCGAGGACAATTTTCACCAAAAGCTGAATTACGATAATTATTATGATAAAAATAGTGGTGGCCATCTGAAAAACACTTTTTGATTTATCATGATTATTGCGAGAAATTTACATAAAACATATACACTACCGGTTCTTGAACAGACTAGTTGAGTATAAAAAGTGATGCACTTTAGCACCGTTCGATATTAATAACATGGATGAATTAAGTTGCAAAACAATAATTAGTTTGTCGTTTTTAATAAACAAAAGATAATTTAAGTGAAGTAAACAGTACTTACGTTTTTCAAATTGCACACTTATTTGTTTAAGTAAGAAGCAAATACTTCATTTATAGAGTTATTAATCGGCCGGTTTTCCTCCGACCGGACTAGTTTATTTTTTAAAAAGAAGAAGAGACTGGAAGCAAGTTTTTTTAAACCAGGTGCAAGTTTAACTTTTGACCTTGCACCGTTTTCTTTCACTATAAAATAATTATAATAAAAGATATTGTTCAGTATCCTTAATTATATACACATTTATATCTTTTTAAACATTATTTGCTGTGGTTTTGGAGCGAGAGAAGCCTTAGTTATGCCAGTGAAATCTATCGAAGAGAAATCAAGCGGTGCAAGTTTAAAATTCTTCACCACAATAACAACAAATATGTTCATCATCATTTTTGCTATTTCTTCGCCAGCGCACATTCTTTTACCTTAAACAAATTTCTGTTCTCTCGATCTTATACATATGCTACCTTAGTACCGGTTTGAAAGGGAATGAATGATTCCGGTTTGAAGAATTTTCCCTCATCGTCCAGAAATCGTTCAGGGCGAGATTCTCGTAAACTTTTGGATCCATGTGGATTGCCCATAATAAAGGCATTGTCATTGTATCTTTCGCAATTGTAAAACCTTTCACATAAACAATTTCGGATACCCATTGTGGTATTCCAAACGGTGCTACAGTTCTAATTCTAGCCACTTCAGCAATAGCTGCTTTAGTATAGTGTAAGTTCACAAAATCATCCATTTCTACTGTTTTACCTTGCACTACTTCTAGAAGTTTTTGTCGTATTTTATTTTGCACTTCTTCGTACTGGGCCAGATATAATAAAATCCAACCAAAGGAGGATCATGGTTGTAAATGTGTTCAGGGCTCCCTCTAGACATCTGGAGGAGAAATGCTTAAATAAGATTAGTTGCAATATCAGTTTTGACCCTGGACATGGACTCTTGACATTCAATTATTAGTTTCTTTTGAACGTCACGTATTATATGAACAAACTTTTTTAATGAAGTTAGTGTTCTTTTGAACATTGGTAAGAAACTGGAAATATTCAGAGTTTAACTTTATGTGTTTTGCCTCTAAAGCTTTCACATACCGTAAAAATGGCAAAAAATTTAATGGACCTCCAAAAGCTATGGCTTCAATTACTTTATCAAGGTTCTCTGCCAAATCAGTAACCGTCTTGTCGTCCAACGAAAATGTTTTGCCCATAAGTATCATACCAGCGATATTACTAACACAACAGGATACATATTCTGAAGGATCCATTGACACACAACGATTTCGACTTTTAAAAACCTGTACAAATTCCTCAACATGTTTTCTTATTAACGCCTCACTCGTTTTCTTATTTACTGGCTCCTATCGTTCTTAAAAAATTGTTACAAACTTCCGTTGGTCTTTCAGTTGTTCAATAGGCAATGAAAGAATCCCTACAACAATTGTAAATTTTCCAAAATTCTACTTGGATTCTGATACCTTTGCCATCAAATACGGTGTAGAAAATATAGAGGGGAGGTCTTCCAAGTGTTTCGTCCTTTGCTGACAACTTCTTCAGTATTTTTGCGTCGGCTATGACGACGGTGTTAATAGAGCCAAGTTTAACCCAATAAACAGGTCCATATTTTTGAACAAGCTTTGTTAAGGTTAAGTGTGGGCCTGCTGGATCTAGTTTGTGTAAGTAACCTAAAATTGGCAAATTAAAAGGTCCCGGAAGACATTTCTTGGCATGGAAAATCGTCCTCAAAAGTAGTGTTGTTATTATTATTAGGATAAATATAGTTAAGATCACCTGAAAAACGAATTTAGTTGTATTAATTGTATATGTACTGTACATACTGGGTTTAATTTTAGTGTTGCCATTCTTCAGTTTCATAAGCACGACACGATCTTAAAAATAATTGTAATGAAATTGTTGTACTAACACTACTAATAGTGGAAAACCAAGGATGTGTTTAGTAACCAGCTAAACGTATTTAAACCTAGCAAGGTCATTTATAATATACGTCAATAGATATAAGTAGTAATTAAAAAATTTTCTTGTTATGCTTGCATCTTAATCATGGTTTGAAATACTAAAATGCTTGTTTAATCAGGCAGTGTTTTAAAGTGGCCTAGATAACGAGAAATATTTTAATATTAGTAAAAGACAAGTAGCACTAATTTTTATTTATCTAAGAAATAAATATAAAAATTGAAATTATTATTGTTTGAAATGCGAATTAATGTATGCTTTCATCATTCTCACTGTGTGGTTGCTATTGCAAAAACAATTTTAAAGTTTAAAGAAATCACCCAAACATAGTTTGATAAGTTATATTTTTCTAAGTGCCTAATTAAATTTTTGTAAAGATTAGTTTCTGCGGTTTAGGTATTAGTGTGGCACCACAAATACCAGTCAAATCTAATGGTGTCGAGCCAACACGCTCGACTCTAAAATTCTGCAAAACACCAGCAATAAAAATTGTTGCAGTTGTTTTTGCTATCTCTTCACCAATGCACATTCTTTTACCTAAAACAAAGCTCTATGTATATTTTTCAGTTCCTTATAGATTTCTTCTTACCGCTTTGAAATGGAAGGAATGACTCCGGTTTAAAAAAATGTCCATGACTGTCTAAAAATCTTTCAGGACGAAATTCTTCCGGTTCTTTGTAAAATTGTGGATCCATATGTATTGCCCATAATAACGGCATTATCATTACACCTTTTGGAATCGTAAATCCCTCAATGCAAATTTTTTCGGAGGTACTGTGTGGAATTCCCAATGGTGTTAAACTTCTAATCCGTGCGACTTCGGCAATTGTGGCTTTAATGTATTGTAAGTTGACCAAATCGTCCACTTCCACCGTTTTATCTTCTAACACGTGGAAGAGTTCCTGTCGTATTTTATTCTGAACCTCAGGGTATTGCGCCAAATAGAGTAAAATCCAAAGTAAAGAATTTGTCGTTGTTTCAGTAAAAGTAACATAAAGGTCAAATAGAAGACGATGTAGTTGATCGACATTGTAAATGTGTTCAGGCTTGCCTTCGGCTATTTGTAGTTGAAAAGCCTCAACAAGATTTGACGGAGAATCCACACAAGTCGATTTTTCACATTCATGTACCAGCTTCCTTTGAATTTCGCGAACTCTTTGGACAGCTTCTTTTACCAGCGTCAATTTTTTCTTGTACGGCGGCAAGAAACTGCAACAGCCATATTTCAAATTGTTGCAAGTTAATTGAAAACCATACCGTAGAAATGGCAGTAAGTTCAATGGAGTTCCGAACAGTATTGACTTATTGAAAAAGTTAAGATTCCGTGATAAATCAGCAACTTTCTTGTCGTTCAAAGAAAATGGTTTGCCCAGAAGTAAATTGCTAGCGATGCTACTTACAAAATGGGATACAAGTTCCGAAGGATCCACGGGTTTGTAAAATGCTTGACTTTTTACAACCTAAGTATTGAAAAAGCAATGATATAAAATGCATCTTTTCTTTTTCTAACTTACTTGAACAAATTCTTCAACGTGCGTCTTTATCAGCGTTTCAAACGCTTTCCTATTAGGTGAAAATTTAGTGGCTCCTACTGTTCTTAAAAAACTTGCCACAAATTTACGTTGGTCTTTCCATAGATCAAGATCAGCTTGTGCAAGTCCTACGATATTAGTGAAAATTTTTCGTTATCGTTTGGTTGTAGGTGGTACCTTTGCCTTCAAATACAGTAGTAACTAAATAGAGAGGTGGTCTTTCAAGTGTTTCGTCTTTTGCCAATATTTTTTTTATTATTCTAACGTCAGCTACGACTACAACACTGAGCATGCCAAGTCTGATGCTGTAAATCGGTCCATATTTTTGGACAAGTTTTGTTAACGTTAAGTAAGGTGCTTTTGGATCAAGTTTATGTAAGTAACCTATAACTGGGAAATTCCATGGTCCTGGAAGACATTTTTTGTTTCTGAAAATGTTGACCAGAAGTAGTATTATTATAATTGTTATGATTAATACAAATACAGCTGCACCCATCTGAAAAATATTTTTTTATTTATGATTTAACAATTTTGCTTTGAACAATTAACATAAAATACATACGGTGATTTAATTTTACTCTATTGGTTCTTGAACAGATTTGATAGAGTCGGGTATTAGAAATGGTGCACTTTAACATTGCTCGATATTAATAAGGCAGATACATGCATTGCGTTGCATTTTTATAATAAGTAATAATAAATAATGTCTAATTGTGGAAAAATCCGTAGCCATTAAAGACCTAATTAAATTGAAGTTTTTAAACGGTTCGCAAGCAAAATAGTTATTTATGTACCAAGGACGAAAAACTGTCTATTATAGTCGAGTCTGCAGATTGATAACCGAGGCGCAGCCGAGACTAGCAAGCAGGCGAGACAATAGACAGCTTTTCGTCGAGGTGCATATTACATTTTTTCGTCGACCTTTATCAAAGTAAGCACTCACCTCGCCTTAAATAAATTAATTTGACGACAGCAAATGATAGTCTATGCCTATGTTTTTATCAAATCGTGGATGTACGAAAATGATCCAATCGCCGATCTCGCATAGTGCCCTATCACAGTACCCACGGCGGACGAAAAGGGTTTGCGGACGAAAAATATGTACTAGCCTTCAAAAATAGTCGATTTTTCGTTCGGGAATTAGTATATAAAATGTCATTTTTTGTAGAGATCGTAGTAGAAGGAATTGCCTCATTCGGCGAAATCGAGGTTTCCCTTCTATCCTGGACCAAGGCGACCTCTCAATTGTTTCGTGTTTTTGCTAATCACTTTTTGAATAATCTAGAGTCCAGTATGACACAACATGCCTAGTTTGATATTGTAAATTGGTCTATATTTTTGGGCAAGTTCTAGAGTCAAGTAAGTTTATGTAAGTAACCTATCACTGAGTGTAAATATTTGGTGTCCTTGTTCTACTGCTCTGTATCTGTCTCTCTATTGTCATAATATTATAATAATAATAATTGTACACAAAAAAAATACAGAAAATGAAAACATAAAGAAAATACTAAAGTTCTTATTAACATTTTAATGACAATATATTTTTAATTCTATTTTGTGCATTCTACATTCTACAATTTTAAGTACCCCGTCAGATCTTCGTGAAGACAAGTTTCTGTGATTTAGGGCTAAGTGCGGCACCACAAGTACCAGTAAAATCTAACGGTAAAGAGTCAACAGGCTCGATTTTAAAATTCTGCAAAACACCAGCAATAAATATTGTCGTTACCATGTTTGCTACGTCTTCGCCAACGCACATCCTTTTACCTGGAACAAAAGTTTGTCTTTTCCACTTCTTAACATATCTCATCTTACCGCTTTGAAATGGAAGGAATGATTCCGGTTTAAAAAACTTTCCGTCGCTGTCTATAAATCTTTCAGGACGAAATTCTTCCGGGTCTTTGTAGACTTTGGGATCCATGTGGATTGCCCACAATAATGGCATTATCATTGTGCCTTTTGGAATCGTCAGCCCTTCAAGGTATATATTTTCGGAGGCATGGTGCGGTACTCCTAGTGGTAATAAAGTTCTAATTCTGGCAATTTCGGCAAGAGTTGCTTTAGTGTAATGCAAATTTTCAAAATCCTCAAAGTCCAGTAATTCACCTTGTAAAACCCAAAGGAGTTCTTGTCTAATTTTGTTCTGAATTTCAACGTGTTGGGCTAAATATAGGAAGATCCAAAGTAAGGAATTTATAGTAGTTTCCGTAAAAGCAACGTAAAGGTCAAACAAAAGGCGATGTAGTTGATCAAGAGTGTAAATATTGTCAGATTTGCCTTCGGATATCTTTAACTGAAAGGCCTTAACAAGATTTGACTGAGAATCCTTGCAAGTCGATTTTTCACATTCGTCTATCAGTTTTCCTTGAATGTCACGAACTCTATGAACGGCTTCCTTTAGCAACGTTAATTGTTTCTTGTATGGTGGCAAGAAACTGCAACAATCGAATTTTAAATTATTATAATTTCATTACAAACCGTACCGTAAAAATGGCAGAAAGTTCATCGGAGATCCAAACATTAACAATTTAATGAAGACGTGAATATTCCGCGCTAAATCAGAAACTTTCTTGTCGTTCAAAGAAAATGGTTGGCCCAAAAATAAACTGCTAGCGGTACTGCTTACCAAATGGACGATAAGTTCTGAAGGATCCAGTGGTTTACAAAAAGCTTGATTTTTTACAACCTAAGTAGTGGAAAAAATGCATGTCACTTTTTCTCTTTCTAACTTACTTGTACAAATTCTTCAACATGTTTCTTTATCAACGTATCACAAGTTTTCCTATTAGGAGAAACTCTAGTGGCTCCTACTGTTCTCAAAAAATTTGCCACAAACTTACGTTGGTCTTTCCATAGATCAATATTAGCATGTGCAAGACCTACAATAGTAGAAAAGATTTGTTGTTTTGATTTCGTTAGAAACGGTACCTCTGCCTTCAAATACGGTATCAATCAAATAGAGAGGCGATCTTTCAAGTGTTTCGTCTCTTGCCAATACCTTTTTTAATATTCTAGCGTCAGCTAAAACTACGACGTTAACCATGCCAAGTTTGATGGTGTAAATCGGTCCATATTTTTGGGCAAGTTTTGTCAGAGTCAAGTAAGGTGCTGCTGGATCTAACTTATGTAAGTAACCAATCACTGGTAAATTCCAAGGTCCTGGAAGATATTTTTTGTCGCGGATAATTTTCACCAAAAGCAGGATTACTGTAATCATTATGACAAACATAGCGGTGGCCATCTGAAAAACAGTTTTTGATTTATCATGGTAACTACATTTCATTTAACAATTAACATTAAATATATACACTACCGGTTTTCGAACAGACTAGTTGAGTATAAAAATTGATATTAATAACACGGATGTATTAAGTTTTAATAACCAGAAGATGATTTAAGTGAATTAAATAGTATACTTACGTTTTTCAAATTGCACACTTATTTGTTTAACTACGAAGCAAATACTTCATTTATACAGTTATTACTCAGCCGGTTTTCGTACGACCGGACTGGTTTATTTTTTAAAAAGAAGAAGAGACTGGAAGCAAGTTGTTTTAAACCAGGTGCAAGTTTAACTTTTGACCTTGGCACCACTTTGTTTCACTATAAAATAATTATAAAAAAAAGATTCAGTTTTACTAATTTTGTTAATTATATACACATTTATATCTTTGTAGACATTGTTTCTTGTGGTTTTGGAGCGAGAGAAGCTTTAGTTATGCCAGTGAAATCTATCGGAGGGAAATCAGGTGGTGCAAGCTTAAAATTCTTCACCACAATGACAACAAATATGTACATCATTACTGTTGCTATTTCTTCTCCAATACACATTCTTTTACCTTAAACAAATTTCTGTACTTTCCGTCTTATACATGTTCAACCTTAGTACCGATCTGAAAAGGAAGGAATGATTCCGGTTTGACGAATTTTCCATCATCGTCCAGAAATCTTTCAGGGCGGAATTCTTCCGGTTCTTTGTAAACTTTTGGATCCATGTGGATTGCCCATAATAAAGGCATTATCATGGTATCTTTGGGAATCGTGAAACCTTCCACGCAAACATTTCCGGATACCCATTGTGGTATTCCAAATGGTGTTACAGTTCTAATTCTAGCCACTTCAGCAATAGCCGCTTTAGTATAGTGTAAGTTCACAAAATCATCCATTTCTACTGTTTCATCGTGCACTACTTCTAGAAGTTCTTGTCGTATTTTATTTTGCACTTCTTCGTAGTGGGCCAGATATAGTAAAATCCAACCAAAGGAGGTTTTGGTGGTTTCCATGAAAGCAATCTAAATGTCAAATAAAAGGTAGTGAAGTTGATTATGGTTGTAAATGTGTTCAGGGCTGCCTCTAGACATCTGGAGAAGAAATGCTTGTATAAGATTAGATGGATCAGTTTTGACACTAGACATGGACTCTTGGCATTCATTTACAAGTTTCTTTTGAACATCACGAATTATATGAACAGCCTTTTTTAGTGAAGTTAGTGTTCTTTTGAACATTGGTAAGAAACTGGAAATATTAAGTATAAGTTTATTTTAGCCAAAAGACAAAAAATACATTTTTGTATATGACACGTCAGAATTAGCAGTAGTTTAGCTTTATATATTTTGTTTCTAAAGCATTCACGTACCGTAAAAATGGCAAAAAATTTAATGGACCTCCAAAAGCTATGGCTTCAATTACTTTATCAATGTTTTCTGCTAAATCAGTAACCGTTTTGTCGTCCAACGAAAAGGATTTTCCCGGAAGTATTATACCAGCGATATTACTAACGCAACGAGATAGATATTCTGAAGGGTCCATTGATACACAACGATTTTGACATTCAATAACCTAAACATTAATTAAAACACTACTTCTTATCTTAACTCACTTGCTTGTACAAATTCCTCAACATGTTTTCTTATTAACGCCTCACACGTTTTCTTATTTGGGGTAACTCTACTGGCTCCTATCGTTCTTAAAAAATTTATTACAAACTTCCGTTGGTCTTTCAGTTGTTCAATAGGCAATGAAAGGATCCCTACAGCAATTGTAAAATTTCCAAAATTCTACTCGGAATCTGGTACCTTTGCCATCAATTACGGTGTAGAAAATATAGAGGGGAGGTCTTCCAAGTGTTTCGTCTTTTGCTAACAACTTCTTCAGTATTTTTGCGTCGGCTATGACGACGGTGTTAATAGAGCCAAGTTTAACCCTATAAACAGGTCCATATTGATGTACAAGCTTTGTGAATGTTAAGTGTGGTCCTGCTGGATCTAGTTTGTGTAAGTAACCTATAATTGGCAAATTAAAAGGTCCTGGAAGACATTTCTTGGCACGGAAAATCATCCTCAAAAGTAGTGTTGATATTATTATTACGATAAATATAGTTAATATCACCTGAAAAACGAATTTTGTTGTATTAATTGTATATGTACTGTACATACTAGATTTAATTTTAGTGTTACCATTCTTCAGTTTTATAAGCACGACACGATCTTAAAAATAATTGTAATGAAATTGTCATACTAGCACTACTAATAGTGGAAAACCAAGGATGTGTTTAGTAACCAGCTAAACGTATTTAAATCTAGAAAGGTGTTGGATGTATGATTGTTATTCATACATACGTACCGAAAAAGATTGATATAAATGATACACAAACATGTGCTGTGTAACACTGTATTTACTTGTTGTTAACGGTTCGAAGTCTATGTACAAAGTTGTTAAAATCGGAAACGATACATTGCAGGTAGAAGAGAAAGTTGGGGACGCTTGTTGACAAGGGTTGCGGTTGGTAGGTAAAACCGAAACCCGAACATGGTCCGGCGCCTTGAAAGAACTAACTTTCAACATGAAAAAGTATAACAATTGCAAATATGAATTACATAATATGTCTACATGACAGGTGCATACATTGACAATAAAATAGAGTACAGAACACAGAAAAAAAAAACAGGGGTAAATTTAGACACTGCACATTTGTTTATGTCGGAAGCACACACAGCTTAGTCACTTGCAGGTTAATCACATCATGCGCGGTTCTCACTGTCACTACGCGAATGGGGTCATGTAGACCGGGATGAACAGTAATAACGCGTCCCAGTGGTCCATATAAGCGGGGGTGTGTGGTCCTCCTTAATGACCACCAAATCGTCCACCTTATGCCCTTGTGGCTGGCCTTGGTCCATTTTGGGTGATGATGAAGTTGACCCATATGTTCTGCTGTCCACCGTTTCCAAAATTGCTGCTGAGTGCGACTGAATTGTTGCCACCTGGAGAGCCGGTTCGTTGAGACCGTGGTGACGTTATTCTCTGGAACAGCATTTAGAGGGGTTCCAACGAGGAAATGACCGGGAGTTAAAGGAGTTAGGTCATATGGATCTTTGGACATGGTGGTTAACAGGCGCGAATTCAAGCACGTTTCGACTTGTATTAGCAACGTCTGTATTTCCTGGAAATTAAATAAAAATGCACCAGTAACGCGCTTCAGCTGACTTTTCGCAGATTTGACCGCTGCTTCCCAGACATTCCCCATATGTGGTGTGGAAGGCGGAATGAAATGAAAATTCATGTGGTTAGTTGTCAAATGAGAATCATCCCGCCACAAAATTTGTTCGTATCGTCTGTCTTCGGGTTGAAATAAAATATGATGATACATGTTACAAATATCCGCAGTAAAAGCGACCTCATGCGTTATAGATTGAATTATTGCATCGGAAATGTCGTTTTGTACTTTTGACCCTGTACTGAGACAAGCATTTATGCTTTTTCCGACTGATGGTTTGACTGACCCATCAAACACTACGCAAATCTTTTCAGTGACCCCGTCAGTTTTGGAAACCGCATGATGAGGCAAAAAATGATGGGGTTTACTTTCGGTTTTTTGCTCTATAAATGAACCTAGTAAAAGCATGTGATCTAAATTAATGTTTTCTTTTATAAAATTATGATAGTTGATTTCTAACATAATATTTTTTGCGAACTTAAGTTCCGATGAGTACAATCGTTGAAGCGCGATTTCTTTCGAATTCCTCAAAATTGGGAAACTCTTGCTAAAGGTTAATTTGACTTGAAATCGTCCGTTGGACAATCGAGTGGCATTGTTAATAAAATAGTTCTCCTGTTGCATTTCAGGAGCTGTGAGCGACTTGTCATCGCTTGAATGGCTTTCAAGTTTGCAAAACTTTTCGACTTGCTTTTCTAAATTGACATTATCGACGGCGCAATGTAGATTTTGACGAGTGTTACTGGTGGGGCATCCATGCAATGGCCCTCCTACAATCCAACCTAATAAAGTTTTTTGTAATATTAAGCCATGTCCTATCGTTTGAATTTGACCTACACATAACAGTTGCCAAAATAATCCAGCTCCGATTAACAGATCGATTGGCTGTGACAAAGTGAAATTAGGATCGGCAAGTTTTACCGCTTCAGGTATGTCCAGCTCATCTTTAGAAAAGGTACGGACAGGTATGTTCTTCGAAATTTTTGGGATTACCAGACAATTTAAAGCTGTTGTAAATGAGTAATGCAACGACTCGATCTGTACCTGAACCTTTTGTCTAGCGGTCGTATTTGAACATTGAATACCTGCTACGACCACATTTGCATTTTCTGTACTTAAACCCAATTTGTTAGTGGCGGCTTCAGTAATAAAATGCGATTCTGAACCCACGTCTAACAAAGCCCGGAATTTTTGAAATTTGTTTTTACAATCCTTTATTAGAATTATTGCTGTAGAGAAAACGGCTTGTGGAAAAAGGGCGGATGAGCAATAAACTCCACTGGTACTGGGCTGGTTTTCGTTTGAATGGGAGGGTTGGTCACTATGTAAAAGTGTATTATGTTTCAATTGGCATAATTTACATGACATAGATTTACAGCTATCGGACGTATGCGATGGTTTGAGACAATTTTGACATAATTTCAACCTATCTACCTGAGACTTTCTTTCCGAAACACTGAGTTTTAAAAAGGTAACACAGTTGTAAATTAAATGAGATTTTTTACAAAAATAACAAGTGGATTGTGTACTATTGCGATTTACTGCCGCTGTAAATGTAGACACCTTTTGTGTTTTAAGTGTATTATAAAAAGGTAGCCATTCAGTATAAATTCCGCTAAACGGTTTAATAACAATCGGGAGCGACTGCACCGATGGTGACGGTGTGCTCGTAGGTGCGTTACCTTGCGGTGCAGGTGAAGATGTGTTAACGCGTTTTTGTTCAATAGCATCTTCGACATCTGCACATAAATCGTAATACGCGTTTTCAAAATAAAGTCTTGTGGTAGCTTGTTCTAAATTGGGGGTGGCGTCATCAAGAGCTTCAATCTGAGAATGGATTTTGTCAAACTGAGCCTTAATACGTACAAAATCGCGCAATCTTACTCTCAGTCCAGAAGCGGATGTACTTAGATTGTTTGTTTCAAACCACAACTTGAAACGCGATATTTCGTCGTGAATGCGATTTCTTTTTAAGAATAAAATTTGTAAATTTCCTGCATCCTCTGGTGTAGGATTTGAGTCCGAAAATGTTTCGGCATTGTCGTCACCTTCCGCGCCTGCCATGTGTGGAGTATCGAAAGTTTGCGAACGCGTCATAACCATTTGAAAAACCGCTTAGTTGAAATACGTAAAACTGGTACAGTTCGGGCAAGGTAAATGGTACTTGCCAATGAAATTCAAATAAAATGACGTGCAATTACGGTCGAATGCGTGCTTGACCGGAAATAGATAAAGAAAAGGAATAGTTGGAACCCACTCACCGCAATAAGGCCCTCTGGCACCTGGGACGGCTAGACTGATTCGCTGCTCTCCTGTCCGGTTGGGAATTTCCAATGGCTGGATCCCGTCTTCCGATGCAGGCGTCGAAAATTGCCAAAACCGTAATAAGATCACCTGGAGCCTGGGTGAATTGACTGGATGGGCTGAATTCGCTGCTCTCCTGCTCGGTAGGGAACTCCGATGGCCGGTAGGTCACGTCTCCCGATACAGGCGTCGAAAATTACCAAAAACGTGATAAGGTCACTTGGAACCTTGGATGAAACGACTGGATGGGCTGGATTCGCTGCTCTCCTGTCCGGTAGGGAACTCCGATGGCCGGTAGATCACGTCTCCCGATACAGGCGTCGAAAAATGGCACCACCGCGTTTTATTGTTGAATTCACAGCACTGGATCACACATGTGGAGAGATCCGGCTCGAAGGACCAATGTTGGATGTATGATTGTTATTCATACATACGTACCGAAAAAGATTGATATAAATGATACACAAACATGTGCTGTGTAACACTGTATTTACTTGTTGTTAACGGTTCGAAGTCTATGTACAAAGTTGTTAAAATCGGAAACGATACATTGCAGGTAGAAGAGAAAGTTGGGGACGCTTGTTGACAAGGGTTGCGGTTGGTAGGTAAAACCGAAACCCGAACAAAAGGTGATTTATAATTTACGTCAATAGATATATGTAGTAATTAAAAAATTTTCTTGTTATGCTTGCATCTTAATCATGGTTTGAAATACTAAAATGCTTGCGTAATCAGGCAGTGTTTTAAAGTCGCCTAGATAACGAGGAATACTTTAATATTAATAAAAGACAAGTAGCACTAATTTTTCTTCATTATCACTGTGTGATTCGAAGTTCATAGCGGAAAGAATAAAGCAGAACCACCTGTCTTAACGCCGGACATGCGCAAATCAAACTTGAAAAGCATTGCTATTGCAAAAACAATTTTAAAGTTTAAAATTTAAAGAAATCACCCAAACATAGTTTAAAATGTTATATTTTACTAAGTGCCTAATTAAATTTTTGTAAAGATCAGTTTCTGCGGTTTAGGTATTAGTGTGGCACCACAAATACCAGTCAAATCTAATGGTGTAGAGTCAACACGCTCGACTCTAAAATTCTGCAAAACACCAGCAATGAAAATTGTTGCCGCTGTTTTTGCTATATCTTCACCAATGCACATTCTTTTACCTAAAACAAAACTCTATGTATATTTTTCAGTTCCTTATATATTTCTTCTTACCGCTTTGAAACGGAAGGAATGACTCCGGTTTAAAAAAGTGTCCATTACTGTCTAAAAATCTTCCAGGACGAAATTCTTCCGGCTCTTTATAAAATTGTGGATCCATATGTATTGCCCATAATAACGGCATTATCATTACACCTTTTGGAATCGTAAATCCCTCAATGCAAATTTCTTCAGAGGTACTGTGTGGAATTCCCAATGGTGTTAAACTTCTAATCCGGGCGACTTCGGCAATAGTTGCCTTAATGTAGTGTAAGTTGATCAAATCGTCCACTTCTACCGTTTTATCTTCTAACACGTGGGAGAGTTCTTGTCGTATTTTATTCTGAACCTCAGGGTATTGGACCAACCCAAGCAGCAGACTGTCGTCTAATTCACGTCAATTTTTGGTCATAACTCGTCGGCGACGTCATTCGCCCAAAAAATCACGTGAAAATGACGAGATTTTTATGACTTACTTCTGACGTCAATTAATGACGTCAAAAGGCCGTCCTTTCTTCGTCATTTTTTATAGATTATATGATCAATTAGATGTGGGTCGTCGTATCCTTTAAAAAGTGGCCTTCATAATGCTTAATTATATTTAGAGCAAAAAATACAACGGCTTTGTTAGAAATACACCAAAGACAATTTTTTTCTTTCTAATAATTTCTAATAAAATAATTATTTCTGAAAACTTGTTTACTTGTGAAAGTGTTGTAAGTACCTGCTTGGCAAATTATAAATAGAACATCCGGGGTTGAGCGTATACCTGCGACACAAACAATGTCATAAAAATTCTTTGTCCATTGTCCCTAAAACGGGACAAAGTTTTGAAGAATTCCTTCGTCGAATTTTGATTTTATAAAGACGTTTATAAAGTGATGATGGTTACCAAAAAAATTCGAGAGTGATTAATATTCAGTTTTATTAAATTTATTTTTATCCGTATTTACCTACTATACAATACATCAGATGTTTGGGGTGTGCATTCGAACTTTCCCTTTTTTCGGTATTTATGTTTATTGCACTTCACAGAGAAGCATTCCAATATTTCCAGTTGGTTCTCAACCACCGAAACTTTGTCGTGTATCCGTTACTCACTTCATTTTTAACGCAGTGTGGGTTGTACTTATTTATACTAGGTAAGTTAATATCTAATAAAGTAATCATTTTAATTTTTACGTGTTTCTGTTATTTTTGATAACTGTACGTAGATAACAAAAGCAGTTTTTTCAGATAAGCTGGAAAGATCACCATTAATCACTGAAGATACTCTCACTGATTATGAAGAACTTACGGTGAATGTTTTTGAAAATGAGGCGCTATAAAATATTGAAAAGGTATGTTACTGCAATTTTTTATGAACTAATGCTAATGAACATAATTTTATTTTAGATTTGAAACAAATACAAAACACATGTGCGAAACGAAAGAAATGCTAAAGGAAACGAGTGAAAAAATCTCCAACATGGAAACGTCATCAAATCTGACAACTGAAAAAGAAAACAAAAATAGAAATTATGCCGCCAAAACCACACCTAAACAAATTTTGACGAATTACAAGATTATGTTTGCATAATAGAACAAGCAGATTTCTTTGTAAGTTAAAAAAAATACAATGAATTCATATATACATATATAACATTAATATTGGATATTATATACCGGTAGATGCCTGTAATACTACGATACTTTTTGGCAACTTACTATCTACACATACACATTTCGCTTCATTGTAAAAAGTATTGACAACGAGATTTTCCTGATAGGCTGTACGTTTTTGTCAATGCAACCATTTTACGATTATCCGTTACATTCAAGTAAATTTAGCATTTTTAAAGTACATAATTAGTTTTCTGCTTTAAGCTGTAATCCCTTAAATTTAATAATACTCAAATGTTTGCTATTGCCCATAGATGAAAAAATGAATGCATTTCCATTAATCCATGCACTCTAACGGGTTTTTCTTTTCAGTGCAATAAATTGAGGCAAACTTAAAAAACTTAGGTTATTGATATGATTGTTAAAACAGAATTAATTCTTAACGGTACTTTTTTGTGTGTTGGGGATAGTCAAGTCGTCGTGAATTAGATAGTTTTACATATACTGTGGTTTTACAGTGTATTTTCAATCAAGTAACTTCAACAATGCGATTCAATTGTCTTTTCCCTTTATTCTAGTTTTTTTTTAAATTTTTTGTAAATAGATTTGTTTGTGTTTTTAAGACTGATCTATAGTTTATTATAGTTTTTTGTTTAATATTCTTTGTAACTAAATAGATTTCTTTGTGTTTTTAAAACTGATTTTTCTTTAAATAGCTTATTTTATTGCAACGTTTATTTTTTATTAAATTGTACAATATCCTTTTTTTTGTTTATACTAATTATACTCGTAATTACCTGTATGTAGATTTGTTTGTGTTCTTAGGAGTGGTTTATCTTTAATTTGTTTAATTGACATATTTTTTATTTGTTTATTGAAGTTCATTGTTGGTTGTACAAAATTGTAGTAAATTTAATTTTTTTACACTAATTTGTTTTAGCTTTAATTAATATATACTTTGTTTTGGGCTTTACTTGGTGATTGTAACGAATTATAATATTTTATTTAAGCTAAACAATATAAAAAAATAAAATTATTTCAGCGTTTTATTTATTGCATATTTTTTTCTAAAAATCAAAATATAAAAAACGTCTTAAAATGGACAATAAATGCCGTCTCTAGGACGTCAGTAAATCACGTCAATAATTCGTTACAAAATGACGACTCTAAGACGTCAGTACATCACGTCAATAGTTCGTGAGAAAATGATGTCATCTAGACGAGACATTTGACCGTCATTGGTACGTCAATATCACGTGAAATGTTTGGTCACTATGACGTAAATGATGACCATTTATTCACGTGAAAAAGACGACATCATGTTGCCTGGGAAATAGAGTAAAATCCAAAGTGAGGAATTTGTCGTTGTTTCAGTAAAAGTGACATAAAGATCAAATAGAAGACGATGCAGCTGGTCGACATTGTAAATGTGTTCAGGCTTGCCTTCGGATATTTGTAGTTGAAAAGCTTCAACAAGATTTGACGGAGAATCCACACAAGACGCTTTTTCACATTCCTGTACCAGTTTCTTTTGAATTTCGCGAACTCTTTGGACAGCTTCTTTTACCAGCGTCAATTTTTTCTTGTATGGCGGCAAGAAACTGCAACAGCCAATTTCAAATTGTTGCAAGTTAACTGAAAACCATACCGTAGAAATGGCAGTAAGTTCAATGGAGTTCCGAACAGTATTGACTTATTGAAAAAGTTAAGATTCCGTGATAAATCAGCAACTTTCTTGTCGTTCAAAGAAAATGGTTTGCCCAGAAGTAAATTGCTAGCGATGCTACTTACAAGATGGGATACAAGTTCCGAAGGATCCACGGGTTTGTAAAACGCTTGACTTTTTACAACCAAAGTATTGAAAAAGCAATGAAATAAAATGCTTTTTATCTGTTTCTAACTTACTTGAACAAATTCTTCAACGTGCGTCTTTATCAACGTTTCAAAGGCTTTCCTGTTAGGAGAAAATTGAGTGGCTCCTACTGTTCTTAAAAAATTTGCCACAAATTTCCGTTGGTCTTTCCATAGATCAAGATCAGCTTGTGCAAGTCCTACAATATTAGTGAAAATTTTTCGTTATCATTTCGTTGTAGGTGATACCTTTGCCTTCAAATACAGTAGTAACTAAATAGAGAGGCGGTCTTCCAAGTGTTTCGTCTTTTGCCAATATTTTTTTTATTATTCTAACGTCAGCTATGACTACAACTTTTACCATGCCAAGTTTGATGCTGTAAATCGGTCCATATTTTTGGACAAGTTTTGTTAAGGTCAAGTAAGGTGCTTGCGGATCAAGTTTATGTAAGTAACCTATAATAGGGAAATTCCATGGTCCTGGAAGACATTTTTTGTCTCTGAAAATGTTGACCAAAAGTAGTATTATTATAATTGTTATGATTACTACAAATACAGCTGCACCCATCTGTAAAATATTTTTTCATTTATGATTTAACAATTTTGCTTTGAACAATTAACACAAAACACATACGGTTATTTAATTTTACTCTATTGGTTCTTGAACAGACTTGATAGAGTTGGGAATTAGAAATGGTGCACTTTAACATTGCTCGATATTAATAAGGCAGATACATGCATTACGTTGCATTTTTATATATAATAAGTAATAATAAATAATGTCTAATTGTGGAAAAATCCGTAGCCATTATAAAATAGAATTAAATTCAGGTTTTTAAACAGTTCCAAAACAAAATAGTTATTTATGTACGAAGGACGAAAAACTGATTATTATAGTCGAGTTTGCAGATTGATAGCCGAGGCGCAACCGAGACTAGCAAGCAGGCGAGACAATAGATATAATAAACATGTTTTAAAATTCTTCACCACATTAACAACAAATACGTTTCCTCGTGTATAATGAAAATATACAGGGTTATTCACGAAAACTTCCACGCGCAAAAAAGTGTAACCAACAAAAGATCAGAATCGGAATCTCTGATAGATATTTACCATATTTTTTTTTTAATTTTTGTTTTTGTTTTAATAATTTTGAAATACATGTTTGTTTTTAGGTCAACGGCATAAACTAACCAATTCAAAACAAGAGCACAACGTAGGTGTTTCATTTTCCCAAACATTAATCAACATTAAAACAAACTTTCTAAATTTTAAAATTGCTACTTTTGAATATGAGTGCACAAAGTTTTTAATTCTCAACACTTTTCCAGAATTAAATTAAACAAAGAAGGGGTGGTACTAGCAATTTTTTGAGATAAATATGTGCAAGTCAAATATTTGATTGATTGATGAACGTCAGGGTCCGGATGGCACTGAGCTTATTCACTGGGCGAGGATAAATGCGTTGCGCGAGGTAGTCCTCTCGTTACGGCTGGAGTTGAATAGCGGCTCTCCGCGCAATCCTTTTGTCGTAGAAGGAATTGCCTCACTCGGCGAAATCGAGGTGTCCCTTCTATCCTGGGCCATGATCACCACAAAAATAAACATGCCTAGTTTGACGCTGTAAATTGTCATAATATAATAATAATAATTGTATACAAAAAAACTACAGAAAATGAAAATATAAAGAAAATACTACAGCTTTTATTAAAATTTTAATGACATTATATTTTAAATTCTATATTCTGTATACTACATTCTACATTTTAAAGTATCCCGTCAGATCTTCGTGAAGACAAGTTTCTGTGGTTTAGGGCTAAGTGCGGCACCGCAAGTACCAGTAAAATCTAACGGTAAAGAGTCAACAGGCTCGATTTTAAAATTCTGCAAAACACCAGCAACAAATATTGTCGTTACCATGTTTGCTACGTCTTCGCCAACGCACATCCTTTTACCTGGAACAAAAGTTTGTCTTTTTCACTTTTTAACATATCTCATCTTACCGCTTTGAAATGGAAGGAATGATTCAGGTTTAAAAAACTTTCCATTGCTGTCTATAAATCTTTCAGGACGAAATTCTTCCGGGTCTTTGTAGACTTTGGGATCCATGTGGATTGCCCACAATAATGGCATTATCATTGTGCCTTTTGGAATCGTCACCCCATCAAGGTATATATTTTCGGAGGCATAGTGTGGTACCCCTAATGGAACTACGGTTCTAATTCTGGCAATTTCGGCAAGAGTTGCTTTAGTGTAATGCAAATTTTCAAAATCCTTAAAGTCCAGTAATTCACCTTGTAAAACCCAAAGGAGTTCTTGTCGAATTTTGTTCTGAATTTCAACGTGTTGGGCTAAATATAGGAAGATCCAAAGTAAGGAATTTATAGTAGTTTCCGTAAAAGCAACGTAAAGGTCAAAGAAAAGGCGATGTAGTTGATCAAGAGTGTAAATATTGTCAGATTTGCCTTCGGATATCTGTAATTGAAAGGCCTTAACAAGATTTGATTGAGAATCCTTGCAAGTCGATTTTTCACATTCGTGTATCAGTTTTCCCTGAATGTCACGCACTCTATGAACGGCTTCTTTTAGCAATGTTATCTTTTTTTTGTATGGTGGCAAGAAACTGTAACAATCGTGTTTTAAATTATTATAATTTTGTTACAAACCGTACCGTAAGAATGGCAAGAAGTTCAGTGGAGCTCCGAACATTAATAATTCATTGAATGCGCGAATATTCCGTGCTAAATCAGTAACTTTCTTGTCACTCAAAGAAAATGGTTTTCCCAGAAATAAACTATTAGCGGTACTGCTTATTAAATGGGTTACAAGTTCTGAAGGATCCAATGGTTTGCAAAAAGCTGGTCTTTTTAGAACCTAAGTGGTGGAAAAAATGCATTTGCCAATTTTTCTTTTTCTAACTTACTCGTACAAACTCGTCAACATGTTTTTTTATCAATGTCCCACAAGTTTTCCTATTAGGAGAAACTCTTGCGGCTCCTACAGCTCTTAAAAAATTTGACACGAACTTGCGTTGGTCTTTCCATAGATCAATATTAGCATGTGCAAGACCTACAATAATAGACAAGATTTGTTGTTTTGATTTCGTTAGAAACGGTACCTCTGCCTTCAAATACGGTATCAATCAAATAGAGAGGCGATCTTTCAAGTGTTTCGTCTCTTGCCAATACCTTTTTTAATATTCTAGCGTCAGCCAAGACTACGACGTTAAACGTGCCAAGTTTGATCTTGTAAATCGGTCCATATTTTTGGGCAAGTTTTGTCAGAGTCAAGTAAGGTGCTGTTGGATCTAACTTATGTAAGTAACCAATCACTGGTAAATTCCAAGGTCCTGGAAGATATTTTTTGTCGAGGACAATTTTCACAAAAAGCAGGATTACTATAACCACTATGATAAATATAGTGGTGGCCATCTGAAAAACAGTTTTTGATTTATCATGGTAACTACGTTTCATAGAGCAATTAACATAAAGTATATACACTACCGGTTTTCGAACAGACTAGTTGAGTATAAAAGTGATATTAATAACATGGATGTATTAAGTTTTAATAAACAGAAGATGATTTAAGTGAATTAAATAGTATACTTACGTTTTTCAAATTGCACACTTATTTGTTTAACTACGAAGCAAATATTTCATTAATGGAGTTATTAGTCAGCCGGTTTTCGTCCGACCGGACTAGTTTATTTTTTAAAAAGAACAAGAGACTGGAAGCAAGGTCTTTTTAAACAAGGTGCAAGTTTAACTTTTGACCTTGGCGCAATTTTCTTTCATCATAAAGTAAGTACAGTATTACTAACAGTAACAGTATTAATTACATAGACATTTATATCTTCTTAAACATTATTTCCTGTGGTTTTGGAGAGAGAGAAGCTTTAGAAACGCCAGTGAAATCTATCGAAGCGAAAATAGGCGGTGCAAGTTTAAAATTCTTCACCACAATGACAACAAATATGGACGCCATCATTTTTACTAATTCTTCTCCAATACATATTCTTTTACCTTAAACAAATTTTTAGACTTTCTGTTTTATGCATATTCTACCTTAGTACCGGTCTGAAAAGGAAGGAACGATTCCGGTTTGAAGAATTTTCCATCATCGTCTAGAAATCTTTCAGGGCGAAATTCTCCCGGTTCTTTGTACACTGTTGGATCCATGTGGATTCCCCATAATAAAGGCATTATCATTGTATCTTTGGGAAATGTAAAACCTTCCACGCAAACATTTTCAGATACCCATTGTGGTACTCCCAAAGGTGCTACAGTTCTAATTCTAGCCACTTCAGCAATAACTGCTTTAGTATAGTGTAAATTCACAAAGTCATCCATTTCGATAGTTTTATCTTGCACTAGTTCTAGAAGTTCTTGTCGTATTTTATTTTGCACTTCTTCGTACTGGGCCAGATATAGTAAAATCCAACCAAACGAAGTTTTCGTGGTCTCCGTGAAAGCAATATAAATGTCAAATAAAAGATAGTGAAGTTGATCATGGTTGTAAATGTAATCAGGGCTGCCTCTAGACATCTGGAGGAGAAATGCGTGAATAAGGTTAGATGGAACATCAGTTTTGACCCTGGACATGGACTCTTGGCATTCATTTATAAGTTTCTTTTGAAGATCATGAATTATATGAACAGCCTTTTTTAGTGAAGCTAGTGATTTTTTGAACTTTGGTAAGAAACTAGAAATACTCACAATTTATCTGTATGCCTTCTGCCTCGACAAAAATTCACATACCGTAAAAATGGCAAGAAGTTTAATGGACCTCCAAACGCTATAGCTTCCAATACCGTATCAAAGTTCTGTGCTAAATCAATAACCGTCTTGTCATCCACCGAAAATGTTTTGCCCAGAAGTATCATACCAGCGATATTACCAACACAACGGGATAGAGATTCTGAAGGATCCATTGATACACAACGATTTTGACATTTAATAACCTGATTATTGAAACTATTATTATAGAAATAATTCTGTTAACCCACTTACTTGTACAAATTCTTCAACATGTTTTCTTATTAACGTCTCACACGTTTTCTTATTTGGGGAAGCTCTACTGGCGCCTATTATTCTTAAAAAATTTGTTAGAAACTTACGTTGAACATTCCATTGCTCAATAGGCAACATAAAGAACCCTACAACGACTGTAAAGTTACCAAAGTAGGTGGTTTCGAATCTAGTACCTTTGTTATTAAACACGTTGTTCATAACGTAGAGGGGCGGTCTCCTAAGTGTTTCATCTTTTGATAAGACTTTTTTTAGTAATTTAGCATCAGCTATGACGGTCACGTTAATCGACCCAAGTTTGACCCTATAGAGAGGTCCATATTTTTGAACGAGTTTTGTTAAAGTTACGTGTGGTGCTGCTGGGTCCAGTTTATGTATGTAACCTACAATGGGCAAATTCCATGGTCCTGGAAGACAATTTTTATCACGGAAAATCGTGAACAAAAGGAGTAATGTTATTATTATGACTATAAATATCGTCACGATCATCTGAAAAACGATTTTTTGTTTGTTTATTGTATTTATGTTCTACATACTGTATTAATTGTAGTGTTGTATTTCTTCAGTATATTGAAACGATGGTTTGTAAAGACGGTCTGATATGGAATAAAGTTGTTTAAACCAACTAAGAAAATTAATAATGCAAAAATCAGATAGTTAAATACTTAAACGATGTACTTAAACCTAGCAAGGTCAAGTACAATTTATGTTAATAAATAAAAGTTGTAATTAATAGACTTTCTGATTAAACTCGTATTTCCTCCATAATCCTGTATTAAACAAGCAGATGCGTGCATAATGAGGCCTTTAAAACAATAGTGTTATACTGAGCAAGACAATCAACAATGACAAAAACAGGTAGCTATTTAAACGAGAATCCTAAATTTAGCAAGACTAACATACCCAGACGATTCTAACAAATGTTCCGATGTATTTTCTACTATACCAATTTTTTTCAAAACATTAGTCAACACTGATATCAAATCTAGATATAGAATTTTCAATGCCATTCGATAATTAAGTTAAACAGGCACTTTTATTTTTATAAAAACTGGTTTTGCTGGAAACATTATTTTTGTTTATAAAAAGACAAGCTACATTATTGTTAGTTATTTTGCATTATTTTCTGTCAGTGGAAGAAGTGATGAGTAATTGTATAATAACTCGTATTTTCACATTGTCATGGATGTTTGAAGATTTGTTTTAGATTGTTGCATTTGCATTGGTACTGTTTATACAACTGAGTGATAGTACAACTAGAGTATAGGCTAATAGAAAAATTGACAAAAAACTTGGTTTTCTGGTTTTTAATACACAAATCCAACTTTTAGAACACGTAAACTACCCATACCAATATAATTAATATTACTACCAATTTTAATAATTACTCAATTATATTTTCGTAAACATTATTTTCTGTGGTTTTGGAGAGAGGGAAGCATTAGAAACTCCAGTGAAATCTATCGAAGAGAAATCAGGCGGTGCAAGTTTAAAATTCTTCACCACAACAACAACAAATATGTTCATCATCATTTTTGCTATTTCTTCGCCAGCGCACATTCTTTTACCTTAAACAAATTTCTATTCTCTCCGTCTTACACATATTCTACCTTTGTACCGGTTTGAAAAGGAACGAATGATTCCGGTTTGAAGAATTTTCCCGCATCGTCCAGAAATCTTTCAGGGCGAAATTCTTCCGGTTCCTTGTAAACTTTTGGATCCATGTGGATTGCCCATAATAAAGGCATTATCATTGTATCTTTCGGAATTGTAAAACCTTCCACGCAAATATTTCCGGACACCCATTGTGGTACTCCCAATGGTGTTACAGTTCTAATTCTGGCCACTTCAGCAATAGCTGCTCTAGTGTAGTGTAAGTTCACAAATTCATCCATTTCTACTGTTTTATCTTGCACTACTTCTAGAAGTTCTTGTCGTATTTTATTTTGCACTTCTTCGTACTGGGCCAGATATAATAGAATCCAACCAAAGGAGGTTTTGATGGTTTCCGTGAAAGCCAAATAAAGGTCAAATAGAAGGTAGTGAAGTTGATCATGGTTGTAAATATGCTGAGGGCCACCTTTAGACATCTGGAGGAGAAATGCTTGAATAAGATTAGATGGAGCATCTGTTTTGAGACTCGACATGGACTCTTGGCATTCGTTTATAAGTTTTTTTTGAACATCACGAACTATATGAAGAGTTTTTTCTACTGAATCTACTGATTTTTTGAACTTTGGTAAGAAACTGAAAATATTCAAATTTTAACTTTATGTATTTTGCTTCTAAATCATTCACATGCCGTAAAAATGGCAAGAAATTTAATAGACCTCCAAATGCTACGGCTTTAACAACTTCGTCGAGGTTCTCTGCTAAATCAATAACCGTCTTGTCGTCCATCGAAAACGATTTGCCCAGAAGTATCATACCGGCGATATTACTAACACAACGGGCTACATATTCGGAAGGATCCATTGACACACAACGATTTGTACATTTAAAAACCTGTACAAATTCCTCAACATGTTTTTTTATTAGCGCCTCACACGTTTTTTTATTTGGGGAAACTCTACTGGCTCCCATTATTCTTAAAAAATTTGTTACAAACTTACGTTGATCTTTCCATTGTTCAAGAGGCAGTGTAAGTATCCCTACAAATACTTATAAAATTTCCAAAATTCTATTCCGAATCAAGTACCTTTGCGATTAAATACGGTGTTTAACATATAGAGTGGAGGTCTTTCAAGTGTTTCATCCTTTGCTAACAACTTCTTTAGTATTTTTGCGTCGGCTATAACGACGGTGTTTAAAAAACCAAGTTTAACCCTATAAACAGGTCCATATTTTTGAACAAGTTTTGTTAATGTTAAGTGTGGTTCTACTGGATTTAGTTTGTGTAAGTAACCTATAATTGGTAAATTAAATGGTCCTGGAAGACATTTTTTATCACGGAAAATAGTGATAAAAAGTAGTGCTGTTATTATTATTACGATAAGTATAGTTAAGATCACCTAAAAAGCGAATATTGTTTTATTTATTGTATTTGTACTGTACATACTGAATTTAATTTTAGTGTTGTCATTCTTCACTAAATTAACGCGTGGTTTGGTAAGGAAGACACGATATTAAATACAATTGTAATGAAATTGTTATACACAGCAGTACCACTGATAGTACGACAACAAAGTAGCTGGTTAGAAGGAGGTATACCTTAAACCTTGCAAGGTTAAATGCAATTTACATCAATAAATATAGTAATTAAACATGTTTTAAACTTTATTATTAAACTTGCATCATAATTATGGTTTGAAATACGCAAATTCTTGCGTAATCAAGCTTTTCAAACACCGGTGTTTTAAAGTCGTCCAGATATCACGAAACGCTTTAATGAAGACGAAGAAATAGGTCTGTCCGTCTGTCTGCCGTCCCGAATTTTTATTAGACAGATAATCTCCGAAAGTACTAGGCCGATTGTTATCAAATTTTGTATTTACACTAGGTATATCATGTAGATGGTAAAACAATAACCAAAATTTGTCTAATCATCCCCGCCACTAATGTGATGACGTCACTTCAAAATTGTACATAGTAAATAGGTTTTAAATTGTATCAAATAACATAGTCTTACAAAAAAAATCAAAATTGGGAAACCACATTTTGACATTTAATTTGAAATCTGCAAAACATCTGCTTCTGGCTTTCCAATTGTGCATCATTTTTAATAATTTACAGAAATAGTCTTTTTTTCAGCGAGACTAACACTTAAAAATTATTAAAAATATTGTTATTATTATGTCGTGGATATGGATTTTAAAATCATCAACTGACATTCAGTTAAGGTTAGTTTTCTCATAATTTTCACTGGTTATGTAGAATTGCGGATCTCCGCGCAATTCACTCTTCGCTGACGGAATTGCGTCACTCGGCGCAGTCGCGTCAGTGCGAGCACTCCGTAAACTTCTTAAGAACAATCGTCGTTGAGATGCAAAACCGTAATAAAAAGACGACTTTCCATAAAAATATAATCTTTATTGAATTCTAGATAGGTTACAACCCAAACATAGATATACACACACAAATATTGTTTGTTATGTTATATTTTACTTAGTGCCTAGTTAGATTTTTGAAAAGATCAGTTTCTGCGGTTTAGGTGCCAGTGTGACACCGCAAATACCAGTAAAATCTAATGGTGTAGAGTCAACTTGCTCAATTCTAAAATTCTGCAACACTCCAGCTATAAATATCGACGTCATTATTTCTGCTACATCTTCACCAATGCACTTCCTTTTACCTAAAACCAAAACTCTAAATTTTTCAGTCGTCCATAACTTTCATCTTACCGCTTTGAAACGGAAGGAATGATTCCGGTTTAGAAAATTTTCCATCGCTGTCTAAAAATCTTTCAGGATGAAATTCTTCCGGCTCTTTATGAAACTTTGGATCCATATGGATCGCCCATAATAAAGGCATTATCATTACACCTTTTGGGATAGTAAATCCATCAACGCAAATTTTTTCGGAGACGCTGTGTGGTATTCCTAACGGTATTAAAGTTCTATTTCTGGCAACTTCGGCAATAGTTGCTCGAATATAGTGTAAGTTTGCAAAATCGTCCACTTGAACTGTTTTATCTTGTACCACGTGGTAGAGTTCTTGTCGCATTTTATTCTGAACCTCGGGGTATTGGGCTAAATAGAGTAAAATCCAAAGTAAGGAACACATCGTAGTTTCAGTGAAAGTGACATAAAGGTCAAATAAAAGATAATGTAGTTGATCCATATTGTAAATATGTTGAGGCTTGCCTTCAGATATCTGTAGTTGAAAGGCGTTAACAAGATTCAACCTAGAATCCACACAAGTCGATTTTTCACATTCATCTATCAGCGTTGCTTGAATTTCATGAACTCTACGAACGGCTTTTTTCAGCGATTTTAATTTGTTTTTGTATGGTGGCAAAAATCTGCAACTATCGTATTTTAAACTATTATTATTTAATTACAAACCATACCGTAGAACTGGCAGGAAGTTCAGTGGAGCTCCGAACATTATCAATTTAGTAAATACGTGAACATTCTGTGCTAAATCAGCAACTTTGGTGTCATTCAAGGAAAATGGTTTACCTAAATATATACTGCTAGCGGTACTGCTTACCAAATGGGTTATAAGTTCCGACGGGTCCAGGGGTTGACAAAAAGCTTGATTTTGAACAACCTAATTGAAAAAATAATAACACATGTGTCACTTTTTTCTTTTTCTAACTTACTTGTACAAATTCATCGACATGTTTTCTTATCAATTTTTCACAAGCTTTTTTGTTGGGAGAAACTTTAGCGGCTCCTACTGTTCTCAAAAAATTTGCCACAAACTTACGTTGGTCTTTCCATACGTCAATAGGAGCATGTGACATTCCTACAACAATAGGAAAAATTTCTCGTTGGAACTTCGCTGTGAAAGGTACCTTTGTGTTCGAATGAGGTATTTATCAAATAGAGAGACGGTCTGATAAGTGTTTCGTCTTTTGATAACACCTTCTTCAATAGTTTGGCATCAGCTATGACTACAACTTTAACCATGCCGATTTTGATGCTATAAATGGGTCCATATTTTTGCGCAAGTTTTGTTAAAGTCAAGTAAGGTGCTATTGGATCTAACTTATGTAAGTAACCTATTACTGGTAAATTCCAAGGTCCTGGAAGAGTTTCCTTGTCGTGAAAAATTTTCACCAAAAGTAGTAGTATTATTATTATTATTAAGACGACTACAGTTGTGGCCATCTGAAAAGATTTTATCATTTATAATAAATATTATATTTAGTTTATAGCACTTAAGCAAAATACAAACGCTGCTTACATTTTTGGGCGAAGGTAGCACTCCTGAACCGAATAATGCACTTTAACTCATGCGATATTAACAAAATGCACTATGTTCACATTTATTATTAATAATGATGCAAATAATCTCTGTAGAAAAATCCGTAAACATGATAAAGTATAAATAAAATTCAGGCTGTTAAACTCTTGTACTCCATTTAATAGACAAATCCACCTTGGTACATACCATAAAACTATTGATAAATTCTCTAACACACAAAAACCCTATTTAATACCCTATATCGGTTTAAAGACTATTTTTTGGGGTTTAGGAGACACAGTAGAATTACAAATGCCGGTGAAGTCTATCGGGGAAGAGTCAGTAGGTGCAAGTTTAAAATTCTTCAACACAATACCAACAAACATCGACAACATCATCTGTGTTAAGTCGTCTCCAATACACATTCTTTTACCTTAAACAAATTTCTGCACTTCTCGTTTTATGCGTTTTCTGTCTTACCGGTCTGGAACGGAAGGTACGATTCCGGTCTGAAAAATTTTCCATCGTTGTTTAGAAATCGTTCAGGGCGGAATTCTTCCGGTTCTTCGTAAACTTTCGGATCCATGTGGATCGCCCATAACATCGACATTATCACTGCGCCTTTTGGAATGGGAAATCCTTCCACGCAAATATTTTCGGAAACCAATTGTGGTACGCCAATTGGTACTACACTTCTAATTCTGGCCACTTCAGCGAGAGTCGCTTTGGTGTAGTGTAAGTCTGCAAAGTCATCCATTTCTACCTCTAGTAGTTCTTGTCGTATTTTATTTTGTACTTCTTCGTACTGGGCCAAGTATAATAAAATCCAACGAAAGGAGGTTTTGGTAGTTTCAGTGATGGCAAGATAAAGGTCGAATAAAAGGTATTGTAGTTGGTCATGGTTGTAAATGTGCTCAGGGCTGCCTCTAGACATCTGGAGGAGAAATGCTTGAATGAGATTTGACGGAACTTCTGTTTTATTACTAGACATGGATTCTTGGCACTCATGTATAAGTTTCTTTTGAATATCACGAATGACATGAACGGATTTTTTTAAGGAAGCTAGTGATCTTTTGTACTTTGGTATGAAACTGGAAACATTCATATTTTAAATTTTCGTGTTTTCCTCTAAACCGTTCACATACCGTAAAAATGGCAAGAAGTTTAATGGACCTGCAAATGTCATGCGTTTAACTACCTCATCAAGATTCTGTGTTAAGTCGGTAACTGTTTTGTCGTCCAAGGAATATGATTTACCCAGAAGTAGCATTCCAGCGATATTATTAACACAGTGGGCTATATATTCTGTAGGATCCATTGTTACACAATGATCTTCACTTCTAATAATCTGAACAGTGGAAGGAAATTTATCAAAGAATCTTCCGTTAACTCACTTACTTGTACAAATTCTTCCAAATATTTTCTTATTAACGCCTCACAGGTTTTCTTATTTGGGGAAACTCTACTGGCTCCTATTATTTTAAAAAAATTTATCAAAAACTTATGTTGATCTTTCCATATGTCGACAGGCAACATTAAGATCCCTACAATGACTATCAAGTTTTCTATATAGTTTATTCGGAATCTAGTACCTTTTCGATTAAATACCCTGTCTAAAAGATAGAGCTGCGGTCTTTCAAGTGTTTCGTCCTTTGCTAACACCTTTTTTAGTATTTTAGCGTCAGTTATAACGACGGCGTTAACAGAACCAAGTTTAACACTGTAAACAGGTCCATATTCTTGTCCAAGTTTTGTAAAAGTTAAGTGTGGTGCTGCTGGATCTAGTTTGTGTAGGTAACCTACAATGGGCAAATTCCATGGTCCCGGAAGACATTTTTTGTCACGGAAAATCGTGAACAAAAATAGTGTTGTTATAATTATGACGATAAATATCGTCACGATCATCTGAAAAAAATTTTGGTTTATTTGTTCTATTTGTACTGTACATACTGTATTGTTTTAGTGTATATTTCTTCAGTTGTACTTAAACGATGTCTTGTCAACACGGTGAAAATAATTTGTAATGAAGTTGTTTATACTCAACAAGACTATCAACAATGTAAAAAGCCTAAAAAGAAAATAGCGATTTTGACGATAAATGTAGACATAGCAAGGCTAAATAAAATTTACATTTATTAGCATGCTGATTATCAATAAGTGTGTATATCACGTCCCTAAAATTACAACAAATGTTACGTTGTATTCCTGCGCCATAAAACCAACGTGATTTATAGTTAGTTGGATCATATTTTAATTTAGTTTAGGGTACTCCATTTTGCAAAACATTAATACATACTCGTATTTAACGTTTACATTTTTCCAAAAACTGGTTTTACTGCAAATAGTGCAACATAATAAAAGTCCGTTGAATAAAAAGACAACCAATTTTAAAATTTTGTTTTTATTGTAAACAAATATTCACATAGATAATTATACAACTCATATCTTTGTGGAAGTTATTTTTTGAATTTTGGACATTAGCGGAAAATCACAAATAGATGTAAAATTTATCGGATCTAAAATCTATTGAAGAAGTCTGCAAAAGCGTCTACAATTTCACATGGATTATATTATATTATATAACTCATTGACTTTCTATTCTAGAATCTAGATGTTCTTTTTTGCTTTGAATAAAGCTCCAGAACTTTTTGGAATCAACAGGTATGGATTGTTCTAAGTCAGATAAGTATTTTTTGTAAGCAATATTAATAAGTAAGTTGTTTGGAGTTGAAATGAAGACGTTTAAATGCGTCTTATGATTGTGAAGATCCACTCTTTTTGTACTTATTTCTTAAAAGCACTATTTTTTTACCGAATAGAATTAATGACGTCACTACTAAACCAAGCAGGGATTTAATACTGGCGTTGGAGATTTGAGAAAGAATATTTGGACATGGTTGAGTCAAATAAACTGTACAGAGTATCATAAAATTCGGAATATGCTTCTTCAACATTATCAATATTATTTATAAAACTCCAATCAATATCAAATGCCTATAAAGGACTCTGCAAAGAAAGTTAAACTTAGCCCCGCCCACCTACCCGTTTTCTCATTTTCTTGTTACAAAATAAGAACTAAATCTTAAGGTAAATAATATAACAAAAAAATTACTGTTAGGCCTTTTTTTTAACAGCCGCACTCCTATTCTACAGTTGAACATATAATTAACCCCGCCCACCCACCCCGCCTTCATTTCAGAGATCCATTTTATCTGCTCTGAATGAAAGTGGATCCCATATTGAACAGAAATAAAATTAGTCCTTAGAACGAGAATAGCGTGGGTGGGTGGGCGGGGCTAGTACTTGCTAAGATAAGACTAAACAATATTAAGAGTAGTAAAGAGAAGGGGAATCGACGGGGCTATTCCTTGGTTATAGAGGACTCTGCAGAGGAAAATATATTTACCCCGCCCAACCGCCCCGCCTCCATTTCAGTGATTAATTTTATCTGGTTTGAATTAAAGTGGATCCAGTAATGAACAGAAATAAAATTTGTCCTTAGAATGAGAATAGCGTGGGTGGATGGGCGGGGTTAGTACCTACTTGCTAAGATAAGACTCACTTTGGCAATTGACCTACCATCTAAGAAAATAGAGGGTGAGTGGGTGGGTCTACCACCTGCTAAGATAAGACTGATTTTGGCAAATGACACACTTTACGACATAGAGGGCGGGCAGGCGGGCGGGGTTAGTACTTACTCAGATAAGAGTAAACAATATTAAGAGTGGTTAATAGGATGAACAGGCGGCGAATGGGCGGGGCTATTCCTTGTTTATAAAGGGCTCTGCAAGAAAAAGTTAAACTTAGCCCCGCCCACCCACCCGTTTTCTCCTTTTCTTCTCACAAAATAAGAAATAAGTCTTAAGATAAATAGTATAACAAACAAAAACTGTTAGGTCTTTTTTTCTTTTTTAATAGCCGCATTCCCATTCTGAAGAAAAAAATATAATTAACCCCGCCCACCCACCCTAGCTCCATTTCAGAGATTCATTTTATCTGCTCCGAATGAAAGTGGATCCCACACTGAATAAAAATAAAATTAGTCATTAGAATGAGAATAGCTTGGGTGGGTGGGCGGGGTTATTAATTGCTAAGAGAACCCCCACTTTGGCAAATGATATACCCTCTAAGAAAATAGAGGGTGACTGGCCGGGTCAAGCACCAGCTAAGATATCACTGATTTTGACAAATGACACCATTTAAGACAATAAAGGGCGGGTGGGCGGGGCTAATACTTGCGAGGATAGGACTAAACAAACTTAACAGTAGTTACTAGAATGACGGGGAGGCCAATGGGCAAGGCTATTCCTTGCTTATAAAGGACTTTGCAAGAAAAAGTGAAACTTAGCCCCGCCCACCCACCCGTTTTCTCTTATTTTTTTCTTACAAAATAAAAAATAGATCTTAAGGTAAATAGTATAACAAAAAAAACCTGTTAGGCCTTTTTTTCTTTTTTTAACAAGTGCACGCCCATTCTGTAGAAAAAAATATAATTAACTCCACCCACCCACCCCGTCTCCATTTCAGAAATTCATTTTATCTGAACAGAAATAAAATTAGTCCTTAGAATGAGAATAGCGTGGGTGGTTGGGCGGGGCTAATACTTGCTAAGATAATTAGTCCTTAAAATAAAATTAGTGTGTGTGGGTGGGCGGGGTTTATAATTGCTAAGACAAGACTGACATACCCTCTAAGAAAATAGAGGATGAGTGGGCGGGTCTAGCACCAGCTAAGACGAGACTGATTTTGGCTAATGACACCTTTTGCACAACATAGAGGGCGGGTGGGCGGGGCTAGTATTTGCTAAGATAAATCTATACAATATGAAGAATAGTTACTAGAGCGAAGAGGAGGCGAATCGGCGGAACTACTCCTTGCTTCTAAAGGATTCTGCAAAAAAAAGTTAAATTTAGCCCCTCCCACCCACCCGTTTTCTCATTTTCTTCTTACAAAATAAGAAATAAATCTTAAGATAAAGAGTATAACAAAAAAATTACTCTTTTTACTTCCCGAGCGTAAGCAAAGGAAGTATTGTAATCGAGTCCGTCGGCCGACTCTCTACTTTTACGTTTTCTCGATCTTTCATGACCCCTAGAAGACGAAGAAATAGGTCTCCCATTTCCGTCTGTCTGTCCGTCTGTCCGTCTGTCCGTCTGTCCGTCTGTCCGTCCGTCTGTCCGTCCGTCTGTCCGTCTGTCCGTCTGCCGTCCCGGATTTTTATTAGACAGATAATCTCCGAAAGTACTCGACCGATTGTTGTGAAATTTTGTACTTATATTAAGAATATCATGTATATGGTAAAACGCTAACCAAAATTTGTCTAATCATCCCCACCACTAATGCGATGACGTCACTTCAAAATTGTACATAGTAAATGGGTTTTCAATTGTATAAAATAACATAGTCCTACACATGTAGTTTACAACTCTGAATCGACTTTTCACCCGAAACGTCCAGATTTTTGGAAAAAAAATCAAAATTATAAAACAACATTTTGAAATTTAATTTTTAATCTGCTAACCAGAATGCTTTGAAATGTTGCAGATGTTTTAAGGCTATAAAGAGCATCATAAATCTTTAGTCAAAAAATATTTGCTTATCCCCTCCAAAAACTTGATGACGTCAGTTCAAAAGTTTGTGGAATAAATCATATCTAAAATGTACAAAATATGATGAGTCTGTACTTGTGATCTATCACTCCATTCATATTTTTTGGATTTGCATATACAGGGTGACTCAAAAAAATTAATGAATGCGTAAATATATTTTATTGATTTAATCAGGAACTACAAAACGGAATGCTCTGAAATCTTGCAGATGTTTTAAGGTCATAAAGAGCATAATAAATGTTTAGTCAAAATATATTTGCTTATCCCCTCCAAAAACTTGATGACGTCAGCTCGAAAGTTTGCCGAATAAATCATATCTAAAATGTACAAAATATGACGAGCCTGTACTTGTCATTTATCATATTTTTTGGATTTGCATATACAGAGTGACTCAAAAAAATTAATGAATGCGTAAATTTATTTTATTGATTTAATCAGGAACTACAAAACGGAATGCTCTGACATCTTGCAGATGTTTTAAGGTTATAAAGAGCATAATAAATGTTTAGTCAAAATATATTTGCTTATCCCCTCCAAAAACTTGATGACGTCAGCTCGAAAATTTGCCGAATAAATCATATCTAAAATGTACAAAATATGATCAGTCTGTACTTGTGATCTATCACTCCATTCAAATTTTTTGGATTTGCATATACAGGGTGATTCAAGAAAATAAATGAAAGCGTAAATTTATTTTACTGATTTACTCAGGAACTACAAAACCGAATGCTTCGAAATCTTGAAGATATTTTAAAATTATCATAAGCATGGTAAATTTTTGATCAAAACGTATTTGGTCGTCCCCCCTAAAAAATTTAAGATGTCACCACAAAATTTTGCTGAATAAATCCTACCTAAAATGTACAAAATATGGTGAGTCTCTTCTTGTGATTTATCATTCCATTCAAATTTTTTCGATTTGCATATACAGGGTGACTCAAAAAAATTAATGAATGCGTAGATTTACTTTATTGATTTAATCAGGAACTACAAAACCGAATGCTTTGAAATCTTGCAGATGTTTTAAGGTTATAAAGAGCATAATAAATTTTTAGTCAAAATATATTTGGTTATCTTCTACAAAAAACTGATGACGTCAGCTCAAAAGTTTGCCGAATAAATCGTATCTAAAATGTACAAAATATGATGAGCCTGTACTTGTGATTTATCATTCCATTCATATTTTTGGATTTGCATATGCAGGGTGACTCAAAAAAATTAATGAAGGCGTGAATTTATTTTATCGATTTAATCAGGAATTACAAAACCGAATGCTTTGAAATCTTGGGAATATTTTAAAGTTATTATAAGCATGGTAAACTTTTGTTCAAAATGTATTTGTTCATCGCTCCTAAAAAAATTGATGACGTCACCCTTAAATTTTGCTAAATAAATCCTATCTAAAATGCAAAAAATATGATGAGTTTGTACTTGTGATTTATCATTCCATTCATATTTTTTAGATTTTCTTAAGAGGTGGTTCAAAAAAATTAATGAAGTCAATTTATTTTATTGATTAAATTAAAGGCAACACTTATTATTAGTATTACACCCCAACCAACCCAATTTGGTAGACACAAAATTTGTTAAAGGAAAAACTCGGTTGAAACATAAGGGTAGCACGCTTATTTACATCGACTTTAACATTACAGACCTGCATTTGTTTTATGCGCTCACTTGGTTCCGCGAATGTGAAATAGACATGATAATCAACCAATTGTGAATTTCACCGTCAAGAATTAAAATAAAACCCAATGTTTTATATAATAAGCGGAAGTCGAAGCAATAAAACCGATGGTCGTTTTGTTTACAGTTTCTCTGTTTGACTCTCACGTATGCTGTTACGCCTGTCATCTTAAATTAAGAATGTTTATACATACACGATTTTCAGTTGCCTCTGATACGTATACGTGAGTAAATTGTTTCGTTATTTTATTGATTATGACAAATCAATATTCAAAACGACCCAATTCATTTTCCCGAAAATTTGAGAATACAATAATTTTATTCTTAGTATTACACTACATCTATCCCAACTGATATACGTGTCCTTGCAAAAATGTAATGAGAAAAAAAACACAATAGGCATGCAGTCGTCAAGTTTCCGACAGCGAGGGAAGTACTGTCTAAACTCTTTAGACCAATTTTTTTAACAGCCGCACTCCCATTCTGCAGAAGAATATATAATTAACCCCACCCACCCACCCTGTCTCCATTTCAGAAATTTATTTTATCTGCTCTGAATGAAAATGGATCCCATACTGAACAAAAATAAAATTAGTCCTTAGAATGAAAATAGCGTGGGTGGGTGGGCGGGGTTATTAATTGCTAAGATAAGCCTCAGTTTGGCAAATGACATACCCTCTGAGAAAATAAAGGGTGGCTGGTCGGGTCAAGCATCAGCTAAGATAAGACTGAATTTGACAAATGATACCATTTAAAACAATAAAGGGCGGGTGGGCGGGGCTAATACTTGCTAAGATAACATTAAAAAAAATTAACAGTAGTTGCAAGAATGAAGAGGCTTCAAATCCGCGGGGCTATTCTTGGCTTATAAAGGACTCTGCAAGAAAAATTAAACTTAGGCCCGCCCACCCATCCGTCTTCTCATTTTCTTCTTACAAAATAAGAAATAAATCTAGAGGTAAATAGTAGGAGTATAACCAAAAAAATTACTGTTAGGCTTTTTTTTTTTTTTTTTTAACAGCCGCACTCCCATTTGCAGAAGAACATATAATTAAACCCGCCCACCCACCCCAGCTCCATTTCAGTGATTTATTTTATCTGCTCTGAATGAAAGTGGATCCCATACTGAACAGAAATAAAACTAGTCCTTAGAATGAGAATATCGTGGGTGGGTGGGCGGGGTTATTACTTGCTAAAAATAAGACTAACTTTGGCTAATGACACTCTTTAAGACAATATAGGAAGCGGGTGGACGGGACTAGTACTTGCTAAGATAAGACTAAACAATATTTCCAACACATTTAGAACGCAACCCGCGTAAATATTGACAGAAAAGCTGTAGAGGGAATGCCAAAAGAAGAAGAGTTTGGGGGTTTATCAGAGGTAGAAACCCAAGTTTGGGGTTTTAAATTGGTCCCACCAGTGCAAGTTGAAATCGAGATATTGACTTAATTTAAAGAAATGATCTTTAAGGATGCCTTTAATATAACGAATTTTTAAATTTGTTTCTGTTTTCTATGTAGGAGAATTTGATTAACTGCTTCCGAATCACTCTCTAAGATGACTTTTATTGGGCAACTACGTAGGTTGTTGATATTGAACTTCCCGAGCCTAGAAATGTTTACATCTTGTTTAATTGATTTTAAAAGATTCGACTGTTACTCTCCTCCCTATTAGCGATAATTTTATCAACTTGTATCTGTAAGGAAACAAAAACTTTCACTGAATATATAAAAATCCCGTATTATTCTGTCTAAACAACATTAATAATTTTATTCCTAAAAGTGAATTATAAAATACTCCTAGATGTTATTATTATGTAACTTTGTAGCCGACTTTAGCAAATTTGCACTTATATCTTCTTAAAAATGATCTTCTGTGGTTTAGGGGTCAGCGAAGCACCACAAACACCAGTAAAATCCAACGAACAACCCTCAGGACGTCCGATTTCAAAGTTCTTCAAAACATTAACAACAAATATTTGCAACATCATGTGAGCTAGGTCTTCGCCAACGCACATTCTTTTACCTTAAACAGAAGTCTGCACTCTCAGTTTTCTACAAATTCCGTCTTACCAGTCTGAAACGGAAGGAACGATTCCGGCTTAAAAAAATTTCCATCGCTGTCCAGAAATCTTTCAGGACGAAACTCATCCGGGTCTTTGTGGACTTTCGGGTCCATGTGGATTGCCCATAATAGCGGCATTATCATTGCACCCTTGGGAATGTTAAAATTTTCAACGGAAATATTTTTAGCCGCATAGTGTGGTATTCCCAACGGTGCTAAGGTCCTAATTCTACTCACTTCAGCAATCGCTGCTTTAGTGTAATGTAAATTTGCAAAATCTTCCATTTCCATCTCTAGGAGTTCTTGTCGAATTTTATTTTGCACGTCCTGGTACTGAGCCAAATATAACAGTGTCCAACGTAAAGTGGTTATGATACTTTCAGTGGAGGCCAGAAAAAGGTCAAATAGGAGGTAGTGTAACTGGTCAAGGTTGTAAATATGTCTAGGAGCTCCTTTGGACATTTGCGACAGAAATGCCTCAACAGCGCTCGATGGAGTGTCTTCACTGAAAGACGTTTGACACTCGTCTATCACTTTTCGTTCAATTTTACGAACCCTGTTCATTGCTTCTTTTAACTCGTTTATTGATTTTCTGAATTTTGGTAGGAAACTTGAAGGAAAAAATTAAATTGTGTGATAGGACTACAAGTTTACACATACCTTAAAAAAGGTAAAAAGTTTAAGGGACCTCCAAACGCTATGGATTCAGCTACTTTATCAAGACTTTCTGTTAAATCAGCAGCCGTCTTTTTATCCAATAAAAGCTGTTTGCCCAGAATCAAGCTCCCGGCGACGTTATTTACATAGAGGGTAACAAATTCTGAAGGATCCAATAGTACAGAATGGTTTTGACTTTCCACAGCCTAAATATTTAGTCAACAAATCTTCAATTGAAACAATGTTTTATCAACTCACTTGTACAAATTCTTCTGCATATTCTCTTATTGATGCTTCACACGCCTTTCTATTTGGTGAAACTCTGACTGCTCCCACTGTTTTCAAAAAATTTGCCACAAATTTGCGTTGGTCTCTCCAGAGATCGAGAGCCGCAAATGCAAATCCTAGAATAACGGTAGGTAAATTTTTCAGACTATGTTTTTTCCAAAAGTAGTACCTTTGTTTTCGAAAATCGTGTTTAACATATAGAGAGGCGGTCTTGTAAGAGTTTCGTCTTTTGCTAAAACCTTTTTCACTATTTTCGCATCAGCTTTAGCTACAACATTAATTAGGCCAAGTTTAATGGTATAAACAGGACCATATTTGTCGACAAGTTCTGTTAAAGTTAAATAAGGTGCCGTTGGGTCTAGTTTGTGTAGGTAACCTATAATTGGCAAATTCCATGGTCCTGGGAGACTTTTTTTGTCACGAAATAGAGTAAAAAGAAGTAGTGTTGTTATAATTATTACGACAAATATTGTTCCAATCATCTGAAAAATTTTCATTTGTGTATTGTATTTGGACTGTGCATACATACCGTATTTAAATTTAATGTTATAATTCTTCAGTATAGTACAACGAGGTACTACAATCACGGTACGATATTGAAGGTGTATGTAATGCAGTTGTTCATACTCAACAGTGAAAATATCAACAGGTATCTTTTCAAAACTAGCAAGGTCAAGTAAAATTTACATGCATTAGTAGACAAAAATGTATCTGCATGGTTTTATTGTAAACATTTTTAATGCACAAAATAAAAATCTTAAAAAAAAACACCAATTTTAACATTTCATTTAACAAATATTTATATTTTTAGTTATTCTGCATGGTTCACTTTACTAATGCGACAAATATATGATTCGCACATGGTAACGGTACTATTAACGTACCTTTGGGAATTGTAAACCCGTCGACGGTTTTATATTGCAGAGGTGCAAGTTCTTCTCGAACTTTATTCTGCACGTCTACGTACTATGCTAAATATAGGAAAAGAAGGAGATTGCCTTGGAACAAAATGTTTAGCATATAGAGAAATATTATTATTGCCAAGTGGTAGAAGTACCACAATGTTTCACAAAGTTATAACTTTTTAAATATAATTTTCTGTGCTTTAGGGGTTAGCAAAGCACCACAGACACCAGTGAAATCTATTGGAGACGAGTCAGGACGTTCGATTTTAAAATTCTTCAACACATTAGCTATTAATATCGACATCATGATTTGTGCTATATCTTCTCCAATACAGACTCTTTTACCTAAAACAAATCTCTATACGTTTCAATCCTTTGTAAACTCATTCTGTATTACCGCTTTGAAACGGAAGGAATGATTCCGGTTTAACAAAAAATCCATCATCGTTCAAAAATCTCTCAGGACGAAATTCCTCCGGCTCTTTGTGTACCTTCGGATCCATGTGAATTGCCCACAATAATGGCATTATCATTGAACCTTTCGGAATAGTAAAATTTTCAACGCAAATATTGTCGGACGCACAGTGTGGTATTCCCAGAGGTGCCACAGTTCTGATTCTTGTTACTTCAGCAATAGCTGCTTTGGTGTAATGCAAATTCACAAAGTCCTCCATTTCTGCTCTTTTATCTTGCAAAACCTCTACAAGTTCTTGTCGTATTTTAGTTTGCACTTCGTCGTACTGCGCCAAATATAGCAAAATCCAAACTAAGGTACTTATGGTGGTTTCAGTGAAACCAATGAAGGTGTCAAAGAGAAGATAATGCAGCTGGTCAAGGTTATAAATATGTTTAGGAGCTCCTTTGGACATTTCTAGCAGAAATGCTTTTATAAGACCTAATGGAGGATTTGTGTTGACGTTACAGACGGATTTTTGGCATTCGGTTATCAGTGTCTTCTGAATTTCACGAACTCTACTAACGGCTTCTTTGAGTGCTGTTAATGATCTTTTATATTTTGGTAAGAAACTTAAAGAAACGATAAAATTAATAGTATGACTATCGTAAATCCATAGCATACCGTAAAAAAGGCAAGAAGTTTAGTGGGCCTCCAAAGGCTACTAATTTAATTATGGTGTTGATATTGTGTGCTAAATCGGCAACCGTTTTGCTATCCATTGAAAATTGTGTCCCCAGAAATAACCTGCTGGCGATTCCACAAACGTAATTGTTAAGCAATTCTAAAGGGTTCAGTGGTACACAAGCTTGACTTTTCACAACCTGAAAATTGACACCAAAAGAAAATTTTCCACTTCACGACTTCTTCCAATTACTCACTTGTACAAATTCTTCAGCCTGGGTTCTGATTAACCTTTCACACTCCTTCTTATTTGGCGAAACTCTAGCGGCTCCGACTGTTCTTAAAAAATTTGCCACAAATTTGCGTTGATCTTTCCACAGATCGATGGGTGTGAAACCGAGTCCTACAATGACAGTGAAGTTTTCGATGTTTGTTCTGGTCCAAAAGTAGTACCTTTGTTTTCGAATGTCGTGTTTGTCATATACAGAGACGGTCTTTCGAGTGCTTCATTCTTTGCTAACACCTTTTTCAATATTTTCACTTCAGCTATGACTACAACGTTGACGAAGCCGAGTTTAATGCTATACACAGGACCGTATTTTTTGGCAAGTTCGGTTAAAGTCAAGTAAGGCGCCGCCGGATTTAATTTATGTAAGTAACCTAAAACTGGCAGATTCCAGGGTCCTGGAAGGCACTTTTTATGATAAACATTTTTCCAGAAAATTACTGACAATATTATTGTTAGTACAAATAGCGTTACGATCATCTGCAAACAAATGTCGGTTTGTTTATTATTATTTGTTTTATAGTATTGGAGAAATAAAACAAAGCACATTGCTATTTATATTCACCATTCTTTACCTTGAACACATCAAGTTAATATTAAAAAATGTTTTTCTGGAAATGTGTTGAAGTATTTATAATATACTTACTACGTCAATAAAGAACACCGTATGCAAAAATTAGTACCTATTAAAAATAATGGGGTTCCAAAGGCCAAATACAATGTAGGTACCACTTTACAAAAAATGTGTTAAGTCCACTGTGAACACTGAAAGTCAATTTAGAATAAACAATGATACAACGTAGGTACCATATGACCGAAGAAAAAATCCTCTAGTTAGCTACAGGTAGGTCCTTCATTTGTTAGACTATACAATAGAAGACCAGAAATTTTGATAAGATCATCTAGAAGAAACTGTAGATGAATAAAATAAACATGCAGACATGTTTGAAATTGTACAAGAAGAAAGTAGGGAAAATTAGAGAAAAGACAATAATTTATTACGCACTAAGTTTATTTTAAACCAGCCCCAATCCATTCACACTCATATTTTTGTAAAAATTATTTGTTGGGATTTAGGTTTTAGCGTACAACCATAATGACCGTCAAAATCTAGACAGTCACTACGTTCTATTTTAAAGTTCTGTAAAACAGTAGCAACAAGCACTGACATAATTATTATTGCTAGTTCTTCTCCAACGCAGATTCTTTTACCTTGAAAAAAATTTACATTTTAGTTAGTCTACAAGTCTTATCTTACCAGTTAAAAAAGGAAGAAGTAGCTCCGATTTACAAAATCTTCCATCCTTGTCCAAAAATCTTTCAGGACGAAATTCTTCCGGGTCTTTGTAAACTTTTGGATCCATGTGAATGGCCCATAATAATGGCGTTATCATTGTGCCTTTAGGAATTGTAAATCCTTCAACGCAAATATCTTCAGAAGCGTAGTGCGGTATTCCTAAAGGTGCTATAGTTCTAATTCTCATCATTTCGGCAATAGCTGCTTTAGTGTAGTGTAAATTTTCAAAGTCTTCCATTTGTACCGTTTTATTTTGCAATATTTCTAGGAGTTCTTGTCGCATTGTATTTTGCACGTCTTCGTACTGGGCCAAATATAGCAAACCCCAGGATAAGGAACTTGTAGTACTACTAGTAGAACCAATAAAAACGTCATACAAAAGGTAATTCAGCTGCTCGATGTTGTAATTATGCTTAGAACTTTCTTTAGACACTCGTAACAGAAACGCTTCAATAAGATTCGAGGGAGAATCCTTGGTACACATGGACTTTTGACATTCATTGATCAGGTGGGTGTGAATTTCAGCAACTTTGTTCACGGCGTCTTTTAGTGCTGGTACTGCGTGTTTGAACTGTGGGAAGAAACTAAAAAAAATCACCACGTTTTAAATTTAAATATATAATCTAAGTATAAATCATATATACCGTAAAATGGGTAAGAAATTTAGTGGACCTCCAAATCCCACTGATTTAGCTATCATGTTAAAACTCTGTTGTAAATCAGCAATCATCTTGTTATTTAACGAAAATGGTTTACCCAAAAACAACATTCCCGCGATATCGCTTACGTAATTGGTGAGCAGTTCTAAAGGATCTACTGGGACGCACAAGCTTTACTTTTCACAGTCTAAAACATTGCTTCTGTATTTACAACAATTTCTAGAAGACCATTTTTTTTTCTATAACTTACTTGTACAAATTTTTCGGCGTGCTTTTTTATTAACTCCTCACACGCTTTCTTATTGGGTGAAACTTTAGCAGCTCCGACTGTTCTTAAAAAAATTGCCAGAAATTTACGTTGCTCTCTCCATAGATCAACAGACGCAAAAGCCACTCCTATAAGAAATTTGAAGCTTCCAGAATACGTTTTTCTTGATGCTAGTACCTTTATGTTTGAAAGCTGTGTTTATCATGTAGAGAGGCGGTCTTTCAAGCGTTTCGTCAATAGCTAACACCTTCTTCAATATTTTGGCATCGGCTATGACTGCAACGTTAATCGAGCCGAGTTTGATGCCATAAACAGGTCCATATGTTTGGACAAGCTTTGTTAAAGTCAAATAAGGTGCCACTGGGTCCAGTTTGTGTAAATAACCTATAACTGGCAAATTCCATGGCCCGGGAAGACACTTCTTGTTACGAAAATTTACCAACAAGAGTATTGTTAATATTGTTGTTATTACGATAGACAGAGCTGTGATCATCTGGAAAGTAATTGTCGGTATATTTGTCATTATTTTCTACTTTTACAAGATTGGTTTTATTTTAAATATTTGCTATGTTACCTTTGTGCGGTATTTATTTTATAACACTGTATTAATGACCTCCGTAGTGTGACTAAGTCAAAATATCTTATCTACGCAAATGTGATGTATGCTTGCGCTATTTCACTGTCGCGACCTTACTTGTTGAGACATAATAATCCTACTTCAAGTGGTTATTTTTTACAATAATTTAGTTAGTTTAGTTCCCAAAAGTGGCCTCTATTTAAAGCCATATTCCCTTCTAGAGGTTCCGCAGTCGAGGTCTTTCGAGATTGCCCATCACGACTTCCACTTCCAGACTTTTCTCCAGCCGCCATCACCAGCAATGAGTCATCATTGTCGTACACACTAGAAACGCACAGGCGTGCCCTTCCTTAGTGCTGATCGTCACTCTATCTTCCATACATTCCTGTACTGATTTCTCGAACTCACTCTTGAGTTGATGTTCGACTTCCTCTTTTATTTTTCGATCCATTAAGACCACATTTTCTCCGACAAGATTTTGTATAACCTTCAAGTTAATTTGTTTCTATGTCCATCATTTGTTTCTTAAATCCTGTTATTTCACTTTTGTTGGTAATGTAATATTCAACATTCATATGCCGTGTTATATTCGGTAAGGGAAATTTATCGTCCTCAATTTTTTGATTAAGTAACCTATAATCGATAACTACTCTCCATTTCTTTTCCCCATTTTTATCATTTTTCTTTGGAACTAGAAGAAGTGGTGACGAATATTCGCTTTTAGATTCTTCTATTATATCATCCTTTAACATGTTACGTATTTGTTTTTCGATTTCTAGTTTTTGTGTTTGTGGAATCCTATAGGGTTTGACATAAATAGAACTTGTATTATCCTTCAGTTTAATGGATTGTTTTTATATAAATTAGTAGTCGATAATTTATCTTCTGGTAAATGAAATATATCAGCGTATTTAGCACAAATATTTTCAATTGTTTTATGTTCTTGTGGATTTAACGACTTTAAGTTTAACAAATTTAATAAATTTTCTACTCTATCAACCAGAACTGTATTTCTCTCAAATTTACATATGTTATATTCACATAATCTTTGCAACTCAGGTACACAGTTTTTCAAACATACTTCAGTTTCACTTGTATTGAGAATTTTGACCGGAATTTTACCATTTTTTGGTCTAACAATACTGTTGGCAATAAAGACTTCAGAACATAATTCTTTTGACACAATAACACAATCTTCTTTAATTTTTGTCGATAACCAAAAAACAAACTCACATCGCGGTGGAATTGCAATAATATCATCATTATCAGAACGTAACGGTATTATAGTTTTTTTATTAAAATGTGACAGAAGTAAAGTATCCTTTTCAAAATCAATAACTCCTCTAAACTTTTTCAGAAAATTTTTACCTATAATGCCATTTGTTGAACACGATAAATTTTTAAATACGTAAAATTTTTGAACAAAATATTTTCCATTATATTTCAATTTTAAATGAACGTACCCTTCTGAAAAAATATAACCTGTAATCCCCTTAATTTTCAATTTTTCTTTTATTATTTCAGTATCGCTAGATAAACATTCATGCTTAATAGCACACAATGAAGCTCCCGTATCTACTAAAAAAACTAAAATTATTATCGTTTACTCCAAAATTTACCCATGAGGTGCCATTGCATTCACAAATTTCATTAATTATTACTTTCTCGAAAAAACTGGTGGTTACGGGTTCCTACTTCTGTGTTTTGTTTCGTCGTTTCTTGGACATGATTAATTTGTTTATTTGATTGGTATTTACGAAATGAATTGTTGTTATGGTTATGATTAAAAACTTTCCCTGTTGAGTATTTGTTTCTATTAAAATTACGATTTGTGTTTGATGTATTCCCTCTTGCATAACTTGATCCATTTGCGTTATTATCTCTACTAAATTTGTGTGAATAGTTCCAATTTTTATGTGAATAATCCGAACCTTGGTTTGATTTATATTTCTTGCTAGCGTTATTATAATTCCGTTTATTGTGATTTGCTGTCATAATTTGATTTTCTGGACCGAAGCGTGATATTTCTTCATCCTGCGCTACTTGAATCGCGTCTTTAAGAGATGAAAAATTTCTAGATGCAACAATGGTACTTAATTTTTGATTACGCAAGCCATCCGCGAATCTTTTAATAGCATTTTTTTCATTCACTGATTTTAAAATATTAAATGCTGTCGAATCGCCATTAGCTTGTGATATAGTAAGATTAACAAATATTTCTTCTATTTCTTTACCAAAATCTGAAACGGATTTATTTCCTTGTGTGGCGCGCATTAATTTCGTTTGCAAAGCGGTATCGCTTTTCCTTGTAATCAAATGTGTTTTCATATCCGATATGAGCAAAGCAACACTATCGTAATTCGATTTAAGTCTAAGTTTCGCACCAACTGAAAGACGTGTTTTCAAGACAAAATTTATTAAAGAAGGTTTACCGGTTGATTCTAACATAGTATCGTAAAGTTCTATTGCGTCAATCAATTGCATTGTTACAGCCTCATCATCATTCATGACAGGTAATAGACTAACAGCCGTTTTAAGATCAAATGCCATCTTGGGGCCGACACTCGTACTGGTACTTTTTGAAAAATTTAAAATTTCTTTGTATATCTTTCGTATCTCACCATTTAGTGCATTTAATTTTTGAATATCTTCGTCAGTATACTCCTTATTTGTTACCTCTAATTTAACCTGCTTGTTTACCTGATCTAAACATTTATAAGTTTGATTTGCTTCATTTATCTTCCTATTTACACACTCAATAGTGCGCCTATCCCGACCGATTTTTATTAAATAAGTTCTTATCTCTTTTAATTTGTTATGAATGCCCGTTAAGTTTAACTCCATCAAAAGTTTCTCAACCTTTCATACCAAATTAGCATATTAAACATTTTACGATAAATCAAACAATAATTACAACGATCAGCAATAACAATGAACCCAAGTTTTATATCTAACATGCAAAAACAAAAAATTCTCGATGCAATAACTAGTTAAATTTGCTGAAGTTCCAATTTTCATTTCCTACGAGTGAAAATGTACTTTGCACTTCCTTTGACCGATGTTAACCCGACATATTTCCTTTTTGAAAACCTGTTACAATACCTTATGCGCAATTTCACGAACTTAACCACTTTTTCCCACTTTCAATAGATTAAAACTTAACTTGATTTTCACTTTCCATTCAATCACTGCACTGTAACACTACATCACTATGCCTCTGTAGTAGCGTCCCTGGAATGCTCCAATTCATTCTTATGGATTTCTTGACGTACCACTTTTCTTAGCATTTTCTTACACTTTTTGATTCCCAGCCATAGTAATAAAATTACCAACACAACCGTCAAACAGATTAAAATCCAATCCGTCTTCGTTATGGTCGCATCCCCGCTTGCTGTTTGCGCAATTATGACTTCTTCTTTCGACGTTTTACTGCCCATGTCTTTTTTTCCTCTGACAACGGGTTTCAGTTTCAATTATCCTGGAATCATCATTTAGGTCCTGTCACGGTCGCCATGTAATATTCAACATTCATATGCCGTGTTATATTTGTTGTCTGCTTACATTTTAGGCACTGAGTACGGGGGGGGAGGGTCACAGAAACGCAGGTTGCGTTTTAGAACTTTATTCTAACACTACCTAATCCACACTATCCAACTGTACAATCACCTCTTATATATATTCCTTACGTTAACAATTTTCCCTACTCATTTTATTGACACTATACTACAGCTTCCACTTCCTTTTGAAATTTTTCAGTTAGGCTGCTGATTATGTCATCTTTTTGTTTGTCTATTTTTGCGTCCATCATTTCCATTTTTTCGTCCATTTTCTCCATTTTTGCCAGTGTTTCGTTGCACGGGTGATAATTATCGGCGTGGGTTAAACACCACTGATTTCACAGCGATTATGTACAAAATAAATTTGGCGCAACTTGACTGTACTCTCGTGGACTGAACTCGCTGAATAATAATCGTTCCTGCAGGTGGACTCTGTTTAGACGCATACTGTCCTTCTACAGGTTTTGTGATCGAGGTCTTTTTGGAATCCATCGCGAGTTCCGCTTCTAGGACTTTCTTTAGCGACACGATGAGTCATCATCGCCGTACATAGGTACCCATAGGTGTCGTACCGGGGCGGCATATGGGTTCCTGACGTAACAGTACTATGGATTTTAGAAGAAGTGAGGTGTAATAGATACATTATTTTCACGGTTGTGGATAAACATAATACATTCGTATAAGTATAGTGAACCAAGAGTTATAAGGTTATATGGCCATCATAAAATCATCCCATTGTGTCGAAGTTAAGTTGTTTACAATAGAAAAGGTTTTAGGGTCGTAAATAACGTGTCCACTGCAGCTCGACCGGCTCTTGTGGTTTCGTTCAGGGGCGGCTTTCACTAAATATGAAAATCCACCACTCCACTATTTCTTTACTACCTGCAGCCGCTGAGGGTTCCGAAATAACCACTCGCTTTGAAAGCCGGCCCTGTTAAATATGAGCAAGAAATGTTTAGAAGGTGATTTATTGCCAACCGGTAAGCTTACTGCGAACTACACAAAGGGGGTATTTATTTGCGGTCAACTACTTTTATGATGGCCATATAACCTTATAGGTCTTGGTTCACTATACTATGTTGTAATAATATTTATACCTAGTCATTACCTGTCACTACAACTAAAGTCCAAATAAACTTACATCTCTTACTGGAAAATTACATTTATTATTAACAAAAACAACGACACGTGATAGAACAGACAATAATGTTTCAGGAAGTTACAACTTTTTAAATATAATTTTTTGTGCTTTAGGGGTTAGCAAAGCACCACACACACCAGTGAAATCTAAGGGAGACGAGTCAGGACGTTCGATTTTGAAATTCCTCAGCACATTAGCTATTAATATCGACATCATGATTTGTGCTATTTCTTCTCCAACACAGACTCTTTTACCTAAAACAAATCTCTAGACGTTTCAGTTCTTTGTAAACTCATTCTGTATTACCGATTTGAAACGGAAGAAATGATTCGGGTTTGACAAAAGATCCATCATCGTCCAAAAATCTCTCAGGACGAAATTCCTCCGGGTCTTTATGGATTTTCGGATCCATGTGAATTGCCCACAATAATGGCATTATCATGGAACCTTTCGGAATAGTAAAATTTTCAACGTGAATATTTTCGGATGCCCAGTGTGGTAACCCTAGGGGTGCTACAGTTCTGATTCTTGTTACTTCAGAAATTGCTGCCTTCGTGTAATGCAAATTTACAAAGTCCTCCATTTCTACTCTTTTATCTTGCAAAACTTCTACAAGTTCTTGTCGTATTTTAGTTTGCACCTCGTCGTACTGAGCCAAATATAGCAAAATCCAAAGTAAGGTACTTATGGTGGCTTCAGTGAAACCAATGAAGGTGTCAAAGAGAAGATAATGGAGCTGGTCAAGGTTGTAAATATGTTTAGGAGCTCCTCTGGACACTTCTAGCAGAAATGCCTCGATAAGACCCATCGGAGAATTCGTGTTGACATTGTTAGACATAGATTTTTTGCATTCGGTTATCAGTGTCTTCTGAATTTCACGAACTCTACCAACGGCTTCCTTTAGTGCTGTCAATGTTCTTTTATATTTTGGTAAGAAACTAGAAGAATAATCAACAAAATGATAAAATTAATAGTTTGACTATAAATCCACGACGTACCGTAAAAAAGGCAAGAAATTCATTGGGCCTCCAAAGGCTATTAGTTTAATTATGGTGTCGAGATTGTGTGCTAAATCGGCAACCATTGTGTTACCCATTGAAAATTGTCTGCCAAGAAACAACGTGCTGGCAATTCCACATACGTAATTGTTAAGCAAATCTAAAGGATTCATTGGTACACTATAACCTTGACTTTTCACAGCCTGAAGATTGAAACGAAAAAAAATTATCCACATCACGACTTCTTCCAATTACTCACTTGTACAAATTCTTCAGCCTGGATGCTGATTAACCTTTCACATTTCTTTTTATTTGGCGAAACTCTAGCGGCTCCGACTGTTCTTAAAAAATTTGCCACAAATTTGCGTTGATCTTTCCATAGATCGGTAGGTGTGAAAGCGAGTCCTACAACGATAGTGAAATTTTCGATGTTTGTCTGGTTCAAAAGTAGTACCTTTGTTTTCGAATGTCGTGTTTGTCATATACAGAGACGGTCTTTCGAGTGCTTCATTCTTTGCTAACACCTTTTTCAATATTTTCACTTCAGCTATGACTACAACGTTGACGAAGCCGAGTTTAATGCTATACACAGGACCGTATTTTTTGGCAAGTTCGGTTAAAGTCAAGTAAGGCGCCGCCGGATTTAATTTATGTAAGTAACCTATAACTGGCAAATTCCAGGGTCCTGGAAGGCACTTTTTACGATAAACATTTTTCCAGAAAATTACCGGCAATATTATTGTTAGTACAAATACCGTTACGATCATCTGAAAACAAATGTCGGTTTGTTTATTATTACTTGTTGCAGTACTGGAGAAATAAAATAAAGCACATGGTTATTTAAATGAATTATTCTTTACCTTGACACACCAATTTAATACTAAGTAATACTTTTCTGCAAACGTATTGAGGTATTTATAATATATTTACAATGTTAAGAAAGGCCAAGGTATGAAAAAATTAATAGCGATTAAAAATAATGAGGCTGGAAAGGCCAAATAAAATTGAACACCGAGGGTCAATTTAGAATAAACAGTGACACAACATTGGTACCATATGACCGAAGAAAAACTTCTCTAGTTGGCTATTTGAAAAACAATTTGACTATTATTTGACCGTAGGTGTCATAGAGTATTTCATTTTACCATCCACAATTAGCGTTATTTTTTTTTCAGTTGTTACAATACAGGAGTTTTGTAACTATTTTGAGAAACTGTAATACAAATTTGAAACAATGTAAACAAGTAGAAAAAAACAACAAGTAAACTATTTTGGAATCTCGCTAAAAGACACTCATATTTTGACAAACATTATTTTTTGGGGCTTTGGTTTTAACGTAACACCGTAATCACCAGTAAAATCTATTTCAGAGGAATCAAGACGTTGGATTCTAAAATTCCGTAAAACAGTAGAAATAAACAGTGACATTATCATCATTGCCAGCTCTTCCCCAACGCAGAACCTTTTGCCTTGAAAAATATTATTATTACTGTATTGTCCACGTTTTATCTTACCGGATAAAAAAGGGAGAAGCGATTCCGATTTACAGAATTTTCCATCGTCATCTAAAAATCTTTCAGGACGAAATTCTTCGGGTCGTTCGTGAATATTTGGATCCATATGGATGGCCCATAATAGTGGCGTTATCATTGTACCTTTACGGATTGTAAACCCTTCAACGCAGATATCTTCAGAAGCGTAGTGCGGTATCCCTAAGGGTGCTATGGTTCTAATCCGGGTCACTTCGGCAATAGTTGCTTTTGTGTAATGTAAGCTTTCGAAGTGTTTCATTTCCGCTGGTTCATTTTGTAGTACTTCAAAAAGTTCCTGTCGTACTTTATTTTGCACTTGGTCGTACTGGGCCAGATATAATAACATCCAAAATAAAGAAGTTGTGGTACTACTAGTAGAACCAATAAAAACGTCTAATAAAAGAAAATTTAGCTGCTCGATATTGTAAATGTGTTGAGGACTTCCTTTGGACATTCGCAAGAGAAAGGCTTCAATAAGATTGGAGGCAGAATTTGTGGTACCCATGGCTTTGTTACATTCGTCTATCAGCTGATTTTGAATTTCAGTAACTCTTGTAACGGCTTCGTTGAGTGCTGATGTTGTGTTTTTGAACTGTGGTAAGAAACTTAAAAAAATTTTAAGTTTGCATAACTTAAGCATACATTGCACGCGTACCGTAAAACAGGCAAAAAGTTTAATGGTCCTCCAAATGCTACCGATTTAGCTATCACGTTAAAGTTTTGCTGTAAATCAGCAATGATCTTGTTATCCAATGAAAATGGTTTGCCCAGAAGCAACATTCCAGCGATATCGCTTACGTAATTTAAAAGCAATTCTAAAGGATCTATTGGGGCACTACTTTTCACGGCCTAAAAGAATTGCTAAAAATTCCATTTCGTACTTTGATATATACATTTTACTTGTACAAATTCTTCGGCGTGCTTTCTTATTAACGCCTCACATGCCTTCTTCTTTGGTGAAACGTTAACAGCTCCGACTGTTCTTAAAAAAGTTGCTAAAAACTTACGTTGCTCTTTCCATAGATCCACAGGTGCGAAAGCCAATCCTACAACAATGGTACCGTTTCCAAAGTATGTTTTTCCTGATGTTGATACCTTTATGTTTGAATGCAGTGTTTATCATATAAAGAGGCGGCCTTGCAAGCGTTTCGTCTTTTGCTAACACTTTCTTCAATATTTTGGCATCAGCTATGACTGCAACGTTAATCGAGCCAAGTTGAATGCCATAAACAGGTCCATATTTTTGGACAAGCTTTGTTAAAGTCAAGTAAGGTGCCAATGGGTCTAGTTTGGGTAAGTAACCTATAATTGGTAAAGTCCATGGCCCTGGAAGGCGCTTTTTGTTGCGAAAATTTACCAAGAAGAGTATTGTTAATATTGTTGTTATTACGACAGACACAGCTGTGATCATCTGGAAAATAAATGTCGCAATATTTGTTATTATTCTCTATTTTTAGACGAATATGTAGTTTAATTTTAAATGTTTGCTTTGTTACCTCTGTACGGTATTTACAACACTGTACTGGTAACCTCTGTAATGTGACTAAGTTCAAATATCTTATCTACGCAAATATAATGTATGTTTGCACTATTTAACAGTCGCGACCTTCTTTTTTTAGAGATAATAATCCGACTTCAAGTGGTTGTTTTTGATAATAATAATTTAGTTGCTTGTTTGGCGGTCGTGCACTTTTTCGAATTATGTACATCCTAGTACTCAGATGGGGTCAACAATATGGGTCTCCGCCTCATTATAGTCTTAATATTCAATATCTTGGGACGATACCTTTTCGATCCACAACGTGTTCTTTTAATACAAAATAATTAGCGATATTTATAGAATTGTTTATTAAGTATAATTGTACATTACTATATTTTAAACCAGCACCAATAGACTCAATCCATTTGTAAAGCAATTATAAATTAATGTAATTACGCAATGTTTAGTAATGTAGAACCTTGCTAATATGACACTCATATTTTTGTAAAAATTATTTGTTGGGATTTAGGTTTCAGCGTACAACCATAATGACCGTCAAAATCTAAACAATCACTACGTTGAATTTTAAAGTTCTGTAAAACAGTAGCAATAAGTACTGACATAATTATTATTGCTAGTTCTTCTCCAACGCAGATTCTCTTACCTTGAAAAAAAAAATTACATTTTAGTTAGTCTACAAGTCTTATCTTACCAGTTAAAAAAGGAAGAAGTAGCTCCGATTTACAAAATCTTCCATCCTTGTCCAAAAATCTTTCAGGACGAAATTCTTCCGGGTCTTTGTAAACTTTGGGGTCCATGTGAATGGCCCATAATAATGGCGTTATCATTGTGCCTTTAGGAATTGTAAATCCTTCAACGCAAATATCTTCAGAAGCGTAGTGCGGTATTCCTAACGGTGCTATAGTTCTAATTCTCATCATTTCGGCAATAGCTGCTTTAGTGTAGTGTAAATTTTCAAAGTCTTCCATTTCCACCGTTTTATTTTGCAGCACTTCCATGAGTTCTTGCCGTATTTTGCTTTGCACGTCTTCGTACTGGGCCAAATATAGCAAACCCCAGGATAAGGAACTTGTGGTACTACTAGTAGAACCAATAAAAACGTCATACAAAAGGTAATTCAGCTGCTCGATGTTGTAAATATGCTTAGCACTTTCTTTAGACATTCGTAACAGAAACGCTTCAATAAGATTCGAGGGAGAATCGTCGGTAGACATGGACTTTTGACATTCATTGATCAGGTGGGTGTGAATTTCAGCAACATTGTTCACGGCGTCTTTTAGTGCTGGTACTGCGTGTTTGAACTGTGGTAAGAAACTTAAAAAAAATCACCACGTTTTATTAAATATGTAATCTAAGTATAAATCATATATACCGTAAAATGGGTAAGAAATTTAGTGGCCGTCCAAATCCTACTGATTTAGCTGTCATGTTAAAACTCTGTTGTAAATCAGCAATCATCTTGTTATTTAACGAAAATGGTTTACCCAAAAACAAGATTCCAGCGATATCGCTTACGTAATTGGTGAGCAGTTCTAAAGGATCTACTGGGACGCAAAAAGCTTAATTTTTCACAGCCTAAAATATTTTTACTGTATTTACAACAAGTTCTAGAAGACCACCTTTTTTCTAAAACTTACTTGTATAAATTTTTCGGCGTGCTTTTTTATTAACTCCTCACACGCTTTCTTATTTGGTGAAACTTTAGCGGCTCCGACTGTTCTTAAAAAAATTGCCAGAAATTTACGTTATTCTCTCCATAGATCAACAGACGCAAAAGCCACTCCTACAAGAATTTTGAACTTCCTAGAGTATGTTTTTCTTGATGCTAGTACCTTTATGTTTGAATGCTGTGTTTATCATGTAAAGAGGCGGCCTTTCAAGTGTTTCGTCCTTTGCTAACACCTTCTTCAATATTTTGGCATCAGCTATGACTGCAACGTTAATCGAGCCGAGTATGATGCCATAAACAGGTCCATATTTTTGGACAAGCTTTGTTAAAGTCAAGTAAGGTGCCACTGGGTCCAGTTTATGTAAGTAACCTATAACTGGCAAATTCCATGGCCCGGGAAGGCACTTATTGTTACGAAAATTTACCAACAAGAGTATTGTTAATATTGTTGTTATTACGATAGACAGAGCTGTGATCATCTGGAAAGTAATTGTCGGTATATTTGTCATTATTTTCTACTTTTACAAGATTGGTTTTATTTTAAATATTTGCTATGTTACCTTTGTGCGGTATTTATTTTATAACACTGTATTAATGACCTCCGTAGTGTGACTAAGTCAAAATATCTTATCTACGCAAATGTGATGTATGCTTGCGCTATTTCACTGTCGCGACCTTACTTGTTGAGACATAATAATCCTACTTCAAGTGGTTATTTTTTACAATAATTTAGTTAGTTTAGTTCCCAAAAGTGGCCTCTATTTAAAGCCATATTCCCTTCTAGAGGTTCCGCAGTCGAGGTCTTTCGAGATTGCCCATCACGACTTCCACTTCCAGACTTTTCTCCAGCCGCCATCACCAGCAATGAGTCATCATTGTCGTACACACTAGAAACGCACAGGCGTGCCCTTCCTTAGTGCTGATCGTCACTCTATCTTCCATACATTCCTGTACTGATTTCTCGAACTCACTCTTGAGTTGATGTTCGACTTCCTCTTTTATTTTTCGATCCATTAAGACCACATTTTCTCCGACAAGATTTTGTATAACCTTCAAGTTAATTAGTTTCTATGTCCATCATTTGTTTCTTAAATCCTGTTATTTCACTTTTGTTGGCTTCCACTTCCTTTTGAAATTTTTCAGTTAGGCTGCTGATTATGTCATCTTTTTGTTTGTCTATTTTTGCGTCCATCATTTCCATTTTTTCGTCCATTTTCTCCATTTTTGCCAGTGTTTCGTTGCACGGGTGATAATTATCGGCGTGGGTTAAACACCACTGATTTCACAGCGATTATGTACAAAATAAATTTGGCGCAACTTGACTGTACTCTCGTGGACTGAACTCGCTGAATAATAATCGTTCCTGCAGGTGGACTCTTTTTAGACGCATACTGTCCTTCTACAGGTTTTGTGATCGAGGTCTTTTTGGAATCCATCGCGAGTTCCGCTTCTAGGACTTTCTTTAGCGACACGATGAGTCATCATCGCCGTACATAGGTACCCATAGGTGTCGTACCGGGGCGGCATATGGGTTCCTGACGTAACAGTACTATGGATTTTAGAAGAAGTGAGGTGTAATAGATACATTATGTTCACGGTTGTGGATAAACATAATACATTCGTATAAGTATAGTGAACCAAGAGTTATAAGGTTATATGGCCATCATAAAATCATCCCATTGTGTCGAAGTTAAGTTGTTTACAATAGAAAAGGTTTTAGGGTCGTAAATAACGTGTCCACTGCAGCTCGACCGGCTCTTGTGGTTTCGTTCAGGGGCGGCTTTCACTAAATATGAAAATCCACCACTCCACTATTTCTTTACTACCTGCAGCCGCTGAGGGTTCCGAAATAACCACTCGCTTTGAAAGCCGGCCCTGTTAAATATCAGCAAGAAATGTTTAGAAGGTGATTTATTGCCAACCGGTAAGCTTAGTGCGAACTACACAAAGGGGGTATTTATTTGCGGTCAACTACTTTAATGATGGCCATATAACCTTATAGGTCTTGGTTCACTATACTATGTTGTAATAATATTTATACCTAGTCATTACCTGTCACTACAACTAAAGTCCAAATAAACTTACATCTCTTACTGGAAAATTACATTTATTATTAACAAAAACAACGACACGTGATAGAACAGACAATAATGTTTCAGGAAGTTACAACTTTTTAAATATAATTTTTTGTGCTTTAGGGGTTAGCAAAGCACCACACACACCAGTGAAATCTAAGGGAGACGAGTCAGGACGTTCGATTTTGAAATTCCTCAGCACATTAGCTATTAATATCGACATCATGATTTGTGCTATTTCTTCTCCAACACAGACTCTTTTACCTAAAACAAATCTCTAGATGTTTCAGTTCTTTGTAAACTCATTCTGTATTACCGATTTGAAACGGAAGAAATGATTCGGGTTTGACAAAAGATCCATCATCGTCCAAAAATCTCTTAGGACGAAATTCCTCCGGGTCTTTATGGATTTTCGGATCCATGTGAATTGCCCACAATAATGGCATTATCATGGAACCTTTCGGAATAGTAAAATTTTCAACGTGAATATTTTCGGATGCCCAGTGTGGTAACCCTAGGGGTGCTACAGTTCTGATTCTTGTTACTTCAGAAATTGCTGCCTTCGTGTAATGCAAATTTACAAAGTCCTCCATTTCTACTCTTTTATCTTGCAAAACTTCTACAAGTTCTTGTCGTATTTTAGTTTGCACCTCGTCGTACTGAGCCAAATATAGCAAAATCCAAAGTAAGGTACTTATGGTGGCTTCAGTGAAACCAATGAAGGTGTCAAAGAGAAGATAATGGAGCTGGTCAAGGTTGTAAATATGTTTAGGAGCTCCTCTGGACACTTCTAGCAGAAATGCCTCGATAAGACCCATCGGAGAATTCGTGTTGACATTGTTAGACATAGATTTTTTACATTCGTTTATCAGTGTCTTCTGAATTTCACGAACTCTACCAACGGCTTCCTTTAGTGCTGTCAATGTTCTTTTATATTTTGGTAAGAAACTAGAAGAATAATCAACAAAATGATAAAATTAATAGTTTGACTATAAATCCACGACGTACCGTAAAAAAGGCAAGAAATTCATTGGGCCTCCAAAGGCTATTAGTTTAATTATGGTGTCGAGATTGTGTGCTAAATCGGCAACCATTGTGTTACCCATTGAACATTGTCTGCCAAGAAACAACGTGCTGGCAATTCCACATACGTAATTGTTAAGCAAATCTAAAGGATTCATTGGTACACTATAACCTTGACTTTTCACAGCCTGAAGATTGAAACGAAAAAAAATTATCCACATCACGACTTCTTCCAATTACTCACTTGTACAAATTCTTCAGCCTGGATGCTGATTAACCTTTCACATTTCTTTTTATTTGGCGAAACTCTAGCGGCTCCGACTGTTCTTAAAAAATTTGCCACAAATTTGCGTTGATCTTTCCATAGATCGGTAGGTGTGAAAGCGAGTCCTACAACGATAGTGAAATTTTCGATGTTTGTCTGGTTCAAAAGTAGTACCTTTGTTTTCGAATGTCGTGTTTGTCATATACAGAGACGGTCTTTCGAGTGCTTCATTCTTTGCTAACACCTTTTTCAATATTTTCACTTCAGCTATGACTACAACGTTGACGAAGCCGAGTTTAATGCTATACACAGGACCGTATTTTTTGGCAAGTTCGGTTAAAGTCAAGTAAGGCGCCGCCGGATTTAATTTATGTAAGTAACCTATAACTGGCAAATTCCAGGGTCCTGGAAGGCACTTTTTACGATAAACATTTTTCCAGAAAATTACTGGCAATATTATTGTTAGTACAAATACCGTTACGATCATCTGAAAACAAATGTCGGTTTGTTTATTATTACTTGTTGCAGTACTGGAGAAATAAAATAAAGCACATGGTTATTTAAATGAATTATTCTTTACCTTGACACACCAATTTAATACTAAGTAATACTTTTCTGCAAACGTATTGAGGTATTTATAATATATTTACAATGTTAAGAAAGGCCAAGGTATGAAAAAATTAATAGCGATTAAAAATAATGAGGCTGGAAAGGCCAAATAAAATTGAACACCGAGGGTCAATTTAGAATAAACAGTGACACAACATTGGTACCATATGACCGAAGAAAAACTTCTCTAGTTGGCTATTTGAAAAACAATTTGACTATTATTTGACCGTAGGTGTCATAGAGTATTTCATTTTACCATCCACAATTAGCGTTATTTTTTTTTCAGTTGTTACAATACAGGAGTTTTGTAACTATTTTGAGAAACTGTAATACAAATTTGAAACAATGTAAACAAGTAGAAAAAAACAACAAGTAAACTATTTTGGAATCTCGCTAAAAGACACTCATATTTTGACAAACATTATTTTTTGGGGTTTTGGTTTTAACGTAACACCGTAATCACCAGTAAAATCTATTTCAAAGGAATCAAGACGTTGGATTCTAAAATTCCGTAAAACAGTAGAAATAAACAGTGACATTATCATCATTGCCAGCTCTTCCCCAACGCAGAACCTTTTGCCTTGAAAAATATTATTATTACTGAATTGTCCACGTTTTACCTTACCGGATAAAAAAGGGAGAAGCGATTCCGATTTACAGAATTTTCCATCGGCATCTAAAAATCTTTCAGGACGAAATTCTTCCGGTCGTTCGTAAATATTTGGATCCATATGGATGGCCCATAATAGTGGCGTTATCATTGTACCTTTACGGATTGTAAACCCTTCAACGCAGATATCTTCAGAAGCGTAGTGCGGTATTCCTAAGGGAGCTATGGTTCTAATTCGGGTCACTTCGGCAATAGTTGCTTTTGTGTAATGTAAGCTTTCGAAGTGTTTCATTTCCGCTGGATCATTTTGTAGTACTTCAAAGAGTTCCTGTCGTACTTTATTTTGCACTTGGTCGTACTGGGCTAGATATAATAACATCCAAAACAAAGAAGTTGTGGTACTACTAGTAGAACCAATAAAAACGTCTAATAAAAGAAAATTTAGCTGCTCGATATTGTAAATGTGCTTAGGACTTCCTTTGGACACTCGCAAGAGAAAGGCTTCAATGAGATTGGAGGCAGAATTTGTGGTACCCATTGCTATGCTACATTCGTCTATCAGCTGATTTTGAATTTCAGTAACTCTTGTAACGGCTTCGTTGAGTGCTGATATTGTGTTTTTGAACTGTGGTAAGAAACTTAAAAAAAATTTAAGTTTGTATAACTTAATCATAAATCACACGGATTGGTACCGTAAAATAGGCAAAAAGTTTAATGGTCCTCCAAATGCTATCGATTTAGCTATGACGTTAAAGTTTTGCTGCAAATCAGCAATCATTTTGTTATCCAATGAAAATGGTTTGCCCAGAAGCAACATTCCAGCGATATCGCTTACGTAATTTAGAAGCAATTCTAAAGGATCTATTGGGGTACTACTTTTCACAGCCTAAAAAAATTGCGAAAAATTACATTTCGTATTTTGATCTATACATTTTACTTGTACAAATTCTTCGACATGTTTTCTTATTAACGCCTCACATGCCTTCTTCTTTGGTGAAACTTTAACAGCTCCGACTGTTCTTAAAAAAGTTGCTAAAAACTTACGTTGCTCTTTCCATAGATCCATAGGTGCGAAAGCCAATCCTACAACAATGGTACCGTTTCCAAAGTATGTTTTTCCTGATGTTGATACCTTTGTGTTTGAATGCAGTGTTTATCATATAAAGAGGCGGCCTTGCAAGCGTTTCGTCTTTTGCTAACACCTTCTTCAATATTTTGGCATCAGCTATGACTGCAACGTTAATCGAGCCGAGTTTGATGCGATAAACAGGTCCATATTTTTGGACAAGCTTTATTAAAATCAAGTAAGGTGCCAATGGGTCTAATTTGGGTAAGTAACCTATAATTGGTAAAGTCCATGGTCCTGGAAGGCGCTTCGTGTTGCGAAAATTTACCAAGAAGAGTATTGTTAGTATTGTTGTTATTACGACAGACACAGTTGTGATCATCTGGAAAATAAATGTCGCAATATTTGTTATTATTCCCTATTTTTAGACGGGTATGTAGTTTAATTTTAAATGTTTGCTTTGTTACCTCTGTACGGTATTTACAACACTGTACTGGTAACCTCTGTAATGTGACTAAGTTCAAATATCTTATCTACGCAAATATAATGTATGTTTGCACTATTTTACAGTCGCGACCTTCTTTTTTGAGAGATAATAATCCGACTTCAAGTGGTTGTTTTTGATAATAATAATTATGTACATTCTAGTAATTAGATGGGGTCAACAAGATGGGTCTCCGCCTCATTATGGTCTTAATATTCAATACCTTGGGACGATAACTTTTCGATCCACAACGTGTTCTTTTAATACATAATAATTAGTGATATTTATAGAATTGTTTATTAAGTACATTAATATATTTTAAACCAGCACCAATAGACTCAATCCATTTGTAAAGCAATTAAAAATTAATATAATTACGCATGTTTAGTAATGTAGAACCTTGCTAAAATGACACTCATATTTTTCTAAAAATTATTTGTTGGGATTTAGGTTTCAGCGTACAACCATAATAACCGTCAAAATCTAGACAGTCACTACGTTCTATTTTAAAGTTCTGTAAAAGAGTAGCAATAAGTACTGACATAATTATTATTGCTAGTTCTTCTCCAACGCAGATTCTTTTACCTTGAAAAAAAATTACATTTTAGTTAGTCTACAAGTCTTATCTTACCAGTTAAAAAAGGAAGAAGTAGCTCCGATTTACAAAATCTTCCATCCTTGTCCAAAAATCTTTCAGGATGAAATTCTTCTGGGTCTTTGTAAACTTTTGGATCCATGTGAATGGCCCATAATAATGGCGTTATCATTGTGCCTTTAGGAGTTGTAAATCCTTCAACGCAAATATCTTCAGAAGCGTAGTGCGGTATTCCTAATGGTGCTATAGTTCTAATTCTCATCATTTCGGCAATAGCTGCTTTAGTGTAGTGTAAATTTTCAAAGTCTTCCATTTCCACCGTTTTATTTTGCAACACTTCCATGAGTTCTTGTCGTATTTTGCTTTGCACGTCTTCGTACTGGGCCAAATATAGCAAACCCCAGAATAAGGAACTTGTGGTACTACTAGTAGCACCAATAAAAACGTCATACAAAAGGTAATTCAGCTGCTCGATGTTGTAAATATGCTTAGGACTTTCTTTAGACATTCGTAACAGAAATGCTTCAATAAGATTCGAGGGAGAATCGTCGGTAGACATGGACTTTTGACATTCGTGGATCAGGTGGGTGTGAATTTCAGCAACTTTGTTCACGGCGTCTTTTAGTGCTGGTACTGCGTGTTTGAACTGTGGTAAGAAACTTAAAAAAAATCACCACGTTTTATTAAATATGTAATCTAAGTATAAATCCTAAATCCCACTGATTTAGCTATCATGTTAAAACAATGTTGTAAATCAGCAATCATCTTGTTATTTAACGAAAATGGTTTACCCAAAAACAAAATTCCAGCGATATCGCTTACGTAATTGGTGAGCAATTCTAAAGGATCTACTGGGACGCACAAAACTTTATTTTTCACAGTCTAAAAAATTGCTTCTGTATTTACAACAATTTCTAGAAGACCATCTTTTTTTCTATAGCTTACTTGTACAAATTTTTCGGCGTGATTTTTTACTAACTCCTCACACGCTTTCTTATTCGGTGAAACTTTAGCGGCTCCGACTGTTCTTAAAAAAATTGCCAGGAATTTGTGTTGTTCTCTCCATAGATGAACAGGCGCAAAAGCCACTCCTACAAGAATTTTGAAGTTTCCAGTGTATGTTTTTCTTAGTGCTAGTACCTTTATGTTTGAATGCTGTGTTTATCATGTAGAGAGGCGGCCTTTCAAGCGTTTCGTCTTTTGCTAACACCTTCTTCAATATTTTGGCATCAGCTATGACTGCAACGTTAATCGAGCCGAGTTTGATGCCATAAACAGGTCCATATTTTTGGACAAGCTTTGTTAAAGTCAAATAAGGTGCCACTGGGTCCAGTTTGTGTAAATAACCTATAACTGGCAAATTCCATAACCCGGGAAGGCACTTCTTGTTACGAGAATTTACCAACAAGAGTATTGTTAATATTGTTATTATTACGACAGACACAGCTGTGATCATCCTGAAAATAAATGTCGGTATATTTGCCTTTATTCTCTACTTTTAGTTTAAGTAGACTAGTTTAATTTTAAATGTTTGCTTTGTTACCTTTGTACGATATTTATTTTATAACGCTGTAGTAATGAGCTCCGTACTACGACTAAGTCAAAATATGTTATCTACGCCAATATGGTGTATACTTGCGCTATTTTACAGTCGCGACCTTCCTTTTTGAGACATAATAATCGTACATCAAATGGTTGTTTTTGACAATAATTTAATTGCTTTTTTTGAGGCCGTGCACTTTTTCGAATTTTGAAGATCCAGGTCGTTAATGCTCAGATGGGGTCAACAAAATGGTACTCCGCCTCATTATAGTCTTAACATTCGATACTGTTTGGACGATAATTTCGCACTGTTAAATCCATCTATAGCTAATCATGCTATATTTTTGGAATCAGCACGTCACTATCTATTACCCTGAATTTTTTGAGGATTTTTAGATGACTTCTGGACTCTGGATCAGCATTCGCTAACCTCCCCCTGACTACGGCCTTGTCTAGGGGTTATGAAATATCGAGAAAATATGAAAGTACCAAATTGCTCGATGAACTACATTATTGTACGTCCTTAGGTTATCTTCGAAAAGAAAAACAACTTGAAGGTGTTTATGTTTATACATCGGAAGAATGTCACGTAGAAATTCGTTTGATTTGAATGAGTTCGTCCCCTCAAAACCGAGGATCAAAACTATTAAATAGTAAGCTACAATTGACAAAATGTTCTGAATGTCATTATTATATTCTTATTAAATCAAGACGTTTGTATTTTCACATTTTCGGGAAAATGGGGTGACTCGTTTTTAACTTGATCAATAAAAAATATGAATGCAATGATGAATTACAAGTAAAAACTCACATTTTAGGTACAATTTATTCGGCAAAATTTTGAGCTTACGTCATCAATTTTTGGAGGGGATAAGTAAATATACTTTGATTAAAAATTTATCGTGCCTATCAAATCTTTTCGTTTGTATAAACCAGCTCTGGATAATTTTTATTCCAGAAGGAAACCAGAGAATTTTTACCGTTTTTTTTTCCACCGGACACTTTCAAAATCCATGCATTTCACTGAAACCCATTTTTACTTACATAGTTGCAGAGTTATTTTCTAATAGTCTTCAACCTGGCTTTGTGTAAATAAATAAAATTTTAACAAATTCTTAAGTGTTCAAAGTCGGTTATGGTAAAGAAAAATTTACAACTCGTAGTTAATGGTTTTTTTTAAGCGCCCATTACCAACTTTGACGTAAATAACAATTTACAACACGTTTATCTAATAAATATTTCTTGTTTCAGCTTATTAAATGCCGATTTTTTGTAAAGTGGAATCAAGTATTTACGTGCACACTTTTATTAATTACTCATCTATATAAGACCCAACTAATAATATTAATAATAATAATAATAACATATTTGTGCTTTTACATAATATGAATAAATGCTTGCACACGTCATTTCTTACAGGTGTTATAGCATATAAAGTGACACATTACTTAAGTACAATCACATCGTTCAAAAATTCATGATAAGAGTAGTAACTTTTTGTGAGCAGAAATTTTTTGACAGTGTTTTTGAATAAATTAATATTATAAGTTTTTACGTTTTTACTACACAGAAGAATAAAATTTACACTACTTAACTAAAAACCAAATCTTTCAGATGATTTCCACGGTGTTTATTTTAATAATACTAACAATAATTATTCTGAAACTTTTCCGTAAAAAGACAGACCTTCCAGGACCATTAAATTTACCAATTATAGGCTACTTACACAAACTTGATCCATTAACACCTCATCTGACTTTTACAGAACTTGCTAAAAAATATGGACCAGTTTATAGCATCAAACTTGGCATGGTGTCTGCAGCGGTTATAGCCGACGCTAAAATACTAAAAAAATTGTTAACAAGACAGGACACAGTTCTAAGACCCCCTTTCTACGTACTAGACATCGTATTCCAACGAAAAGGTATCAAATTAGGGGAAAACCACACTGGAAGCTTTCTTGTTTTTGCAGGACTCATATGCACAGACGTAGATCTATGGAAAGACCAACGTAAATTTGTTCAAAATTTTTTGAAGGTAGTGGGAGGTTCCAGGGCTTCGCAAAATAAGAGCACATGTGAGGCGTTAATAAGAAAGCACTCTCAAGAATTTGTACAAGTAAGCAAAAGTTTCACATTTTGCTATTAACAATTTTTCCGATCTTAGGTTGTAAAAAACCATGACGGTGTAGCTATAAATCCGTCGGAACTTATAAGTCACTATATTGTGAATATTACTGGTACGCTATTTGTGGGCAATTCATTTTCAATGAACAAGAATACGGTCACTGAGTTTTCACACTGTTTGGAGGAAATAACTAAAGCACTGGCAAGTCCGTTAAACTTTTTTCCATTTTTACGGTACTATGACTATTTATGACTCATGGTGAGGCACAAATTTAAAGTTGATTTTGCAGCTTTTTGCCGATATTCAAAAAACACTTAACTTTGATAGACCAGGTTCTCCACAGAATTCGTAAAATTCAAAACCAACTGTTAAGTCAGTGTGAAAAATCTAACAGTAAAACTGATCTTCCGTCGAGTCTTATCGAAACTTTTCTGATGCAGATGTCCAAAGACAATCAACACATTTACAACCTTAATCAGCTGCACCACCTTTTGCTTGACCTATCTCTAGCTTTTTTTGACACCACTACAACTTCCCTTCAGTGGATCGTACTATATTTAGCCCAACATGAAGAAGTGCAAAATAGAGTGCGACAAGAAATTCTTGATAGACCAGTGGACGACTTTTTAAATTTACATTATACTAGGGCAACCTTGGCCGAAGTAGCTAGAATTAGATCTATAGCGTCCATAGCATTCCCGCACTACGCTTCTGAAAATATTAGCATCGAAAATTTTACCATCCCGAAAGGTACGCTGTTAATGCCACTCTTGTGGGCGATTCATATGGACCCACACGTCTTCGCAGAGCCAGAGGAATTTCGTCCTGAAAGGTTTTTGGACAGCGATGGAAAATTTTTTAAACCAGAGGGATTCGTTCCATTTCAATGTGGTAAGGTGGAAGTTTTACGTGGTTGGAGGGTGAAGGTGTTTGTTTAAGGCAAAAGGATGTGTCCTGGGGAAGACATAGCACAGATGATTATGTCAATATTTGTCGTCGATGTCCTGAAGAACTTTCAAATTCAACGAACTGACACTTCTCCAGTTGATTTAAGTGGTACTTGTGGTGCCTCGTTACGCCCTAAACCACAAGAAATTGTTTTTAGAAAAATATAAGATCCGTGTTTTCTATGTTCTATGTATGTTCACATTTTCTATTTTTTAAAATATATTATACCTATGACTGCAAAAATCTGTTTAGTGAAAAGTTTAGTTTAGTTTAGCATGAAATGTAAAAATCTATTGTTACGAAATAAACCCATACGCCGCTTATGAAGTCGCGATGGGTATTCCAGAAAGACCTCGACTGCGGAACTTAAATAATAAATAAACCCACATTTGCTTTCAGAGGATCGTAATCGTATTCGTCGTACAAACAATACTATCATCAATAATAATATTCTGAAAAAATTTCCATGGAAATGCCATGGGAATGATAATAATTTACTGGAAATTTCCAGTGTTAATATGTTTTTTTGGAAAATTTTTGGCAATTATTTTTCGTGTTTCTGTTGGGTTGAAAATCCCCCATAAATAGGAATGCTTTTCTATTCGAATAAAGACATTTTCAGTTTTCTTTGGAATATTTTTGGAAATTGTTTTGCTATTTTTTACTGTCATTTGAAAATCTTGGGAGAAAATTGTTCAAATACTTAATTTGCAGAAAACTCTATAGGGACAGCAATTGTTCCTACTTAAATCAACCGGTTTCAACATTTTTTGGAAACTACCTTTTCTGTTCTCCTCAGTTATTTAAAAAATTGCCATGAAAATAATTTTGTTCTTTTTTTGTCGTCTTATTTCCGGTTTTTATTTGTGTTTTTTGGAGCTTTTTGTCGTTTTATTTGGCACTTTTTGTTTTCTATTTTAAATAGCTTTTTTCGCTTTTATTTCCTTAATTTTTTAGTAGTTGATTTTTTTCGCCTTGTCTGTCATTTTCCTTTGACGACTTGTTGTGTCGCTTTTTCCCATTCTTTGCTCACATTTTTGTGGCCTCTTTATTTGTGACCTTTATTGGTTATTTTTCTTCTCTTTTATGCCAATTTTTTTTATCAGGTTTCCTTGTTTCTAATTTTTATCGCCATTTTTTTATATTTTTGCGTACCTCTTTGTGCAGCTTTTTGTTGTTGGCATTTTTTACCGCATTTTTTGTTACATTTTGACTGTTTTTTGTATCGTTTTTTACTACTTTTTTAGTTGCTTTCTTTGGAGATTTTTTAATTACATATATTAAAGTATTGATAAGATGTAAATTAAATTTCCTAACCAACTCCTATTCATATAGTAGGAAAAAAGGTCCCAAATAAATAATAGCATAGGTCCCTAAGAATCTAGAACCGCTCCTGGGGGTTCCCGAGGGAAATTCTGTTGAAATAACTTTCCACTAATTGCTTTTACACTGTTTTATTTAGCACTTTTTTAAAGCATCTTTCTGTCGCTTTTTGTGGCCCTTTTTGGCTTTTTTACTTCATTTTGTATTATTGTCACATTTTTATGCCCTTTTTGACTCCTTCTTTTAGCCCTATGTTTTTGTTACTCTTCTTTAGAGTCTTTTTATTCTTTTTTGTAGCTTTCTTTGAAACTTTTCTTTGTCTCGTTCTTTTAGTTCTCCTTTATGGCGCATTTTTTTGTCATCTATCTGGGGCCCTTTTGCCATCTTTTTATGTATTTTTTGTCACTTTTTGACTACCCTTTTTAGCCTCAATTTTTTTGCTGTCTTCTATTTTGTACTTTTTGGTGCATTTTTATTGTTTTTGGCGTTTTTCTGTGGCGCTTTTTTTGTCGCCGTTTTTCCGCCTTTTTTCCGCCTTGTTATGTATGTCCCTTTTTGTTGCCACCTTTTTTGTTGTTTTTTTTTAGTAAAAATTTTGTTTGCTTCTTTGTCGCTTTTTGATTCCTTTCTTCACATTTTCTTGTCGTCCCCTTTTGTCTCTTTTCTTAATTGCTTTTCATCGTTTTCCATATTTTTGTTCATTGTTTTGCATTTTTAGCGCTCTTTTCATTCCTGAGCGTAAAAACTGGAGGAGATAGCAGATAAGTGTTATTATATTTATATTATAAAACATACTGAGACATTTGTGTTGCTTCAATTCTTGATTAACTTTGTCCTAAATCCATTCTTGTCCATTTATAAAGAAAAAATTTTTTTTGTCTTTCTTTCATAGCGTTTCCATTTAACAACTTCTGTATTTTTCGTTATTTTTCTGTTAGGTTATTGTCGATGTATTCCATGGCTCATTTCTCAGTTCGGTACGAGGCCTATGGGGTTTCTAGTATGTGCGGCGGTGATAGGTGACTCATTGTCGGTGACGGCGGCCGGGCGGCGTTCGCTAAAGAAAGCCTGGAAGCCGAAGTCGCGATGGGTATTCAAGAAAGACCTCGATCACGGAACCTCTAGAAAAGGAGTATGGGTTTATACAAACTTCTACGACTTCCCTTTGTTGAATTTTTGATTTCTCAATTTTTCAGGTTTTTAGATTCTCAGCTTTTGGATATTTCTGTTTTGAGATTTTTCAGTTTCTTGAAATTTTAGTTTTGAGATTTATCAGTTCATTTATTATTCAATTTTTCAATTTTACAATTTTTCAATTTTCCAATTTCACGATTTTCAGTTTTTAGATTTTTCGATTTTTCAATTTTTAACTTTTATAAATTCTCAATTTTTCGATTTTTCAATTAATCGATGTTTTGAGCTTCCCATTTCTTGAATTTCGACTGTTTCGATTTTTCAGTTTTGCAATTCCTCAATTTTTCGATTTTTCAGGTTTTTGATTTTTCAATTTTTCTGTTCTTTAAGGTTTCAATTTTTGGAATTCATTTTTTTGATTTTCCGATTTTTCAGTTTTTTAATTTCTCAGTTTTTGGATATTTCAGTTTTGGGATTATTCAGTTTTTTGTTCATTTTTCAACTTTTCGAAATTTCAGTCTTAGGATTTTTAGTTTATTTATTATTTTAATTTAATTTTTCAGTTTCACGATTTTCCATTTTTCAAGTTCTCAATTTTCCGATGTATCAATTTTACGTTTTTCCAATTTTTCTCTTCTTCAATTTTGCGATTTTTAAATATTCCGAATTTTCAATTTTTCAAATTTGGCTTTTATAAACTCTCGCTTTTTCGATTTTTCAATTCTACAATTCTTCAATTTTTCAGTCTTTTAGGTGTTTTATTTTTCAATTTTTCAATTGTTGAAGGTTTCTATTTTTCGACTTCACTTTTTGACTTATTGATTTCTCAATTTTTCAATTTCTCAGTTTTTGGATATTTCAGTTTTGAGATTTTTCAGTTTTTTTCTCATTTTTCAATTTTTCGAAATTTCAGTTTTCGGATGTTTCAGATTATTCGTTATTCAATTTTTCGATTATTAATTTTCCGATGTTTCAGTTTTACGTTTTTTCTATTTTTCTCCTCTTCAATTTTACGATTTTTAAATATGTATTTCGATTTTTTGATTTTTCAATTTTTGACTTTTCTAAATTCTCAAGTTTTCAAAATTTCAATTAATCGATGTCTTGATTTTTTCATTTCTTGACTTTCCACTGTTTCGATTTTCCAGTTCTTCAGTTCTTCAATTTTTCGATTTTTCAGGTTTTTGAGTTTTCAATTTTTCGTATTTTAAGGTTTCGATTTTTCGACTTCAATTTTTTAATTTCTCAATTTTTCAATTTTTTAGATTCTCAGCTTTTGGACATTTCTGTTTTAAGATTTTTCAGTCTTTCTTTCACTTTTCAATTTAATTTTTCAATTTCAAATTTTTTAATTTCCGATATTTCAATTTAACACTGTTTTCTCGTTTTATTTAGCGTTTTTTTAAAGCACCTTTTTGTCGCTTTTTGTGGCCTTTTTTTTGGATTCGTTCCTTTTTTTTACTTTATTTTGTATTATTGTCACATTTTTATGCCCTTTTTAACTCCTTCTTTTAGCCCTATGCTTTTGTTACTCTTCTTTAGAGTCTTTTCATTCTTTTTTGTAGCTTTCTTTGAAACTTTTCTTTACCTCGTTCTTTTAGTTCTCCTTTATGGCGCCTTTTTTGTCATCTATCTGGGGCCCTTTTGCCATCTTTTTATGTATTTTTTGTCACTTTTTGACTTCCCTTTTTAACCTCAATTTTTTTGCTCTCTTCTATTTTGTACTTTTTGGTGCATTTTTATTGTTTTTTGGCGTTTTTCTGTGGCTCTTTTTTGTCGCCATTTTTCCGCTTTGTTGTGTATGTCCCTTTTTGTGACCACCTTTTTTGTTGTTTTGTTTTAGTAAAAATTTTGTTTGCTTTTTTGTCGCTTTTTGATTCCTTTCTTCACATTTTCTTGTCGTCCTTTTTTGTTTATTTTTTTAATTGTTTTTTTTTTGCATTTTTGGCGCTCTTTTCATTCCTGAGCGTAAAAACTGGAGCAGATAGCAGATAGTGTTATTTATTATATTTATGTTATAAAACATATTGAGACATTTTTGTTGCTTCAATTCTTGATTAACTTTGTCCTAAATCCATTTTTGTCCATTTATTAAAAATATTTTTTTGTCTTTCTTTCACAGCGTTTCCTTTTAACAACTTCTGCATGTTTCGTTATTTTTCTGTTAGGTTATTGTCGATGTATACCAAGGCTCATTTTTCAGTTCAGTAGGACGCCTATGGGGTTTCTAGTATGTGCGACGATAATGGGTGACTCATTGTCGGTGACGGCGGCCGGGCGGCGTTCGCTAAAGAAAGCCTGGACGCGGAAGTCGCAATGGGTATTCAAGAAAGACCTCGATCACGGAACCTCTAGAAGAGGAGTGTGGGTTTATACAAAAGCCACCTTCGGGAACGAGGATTATTATTACACACTACATTATTTTGTAAGTTATATTTCTTTAAATATTACTTTCTGTGGTTTAGGAGTTATTGAAGCACCACAAGTATAAGTCAGATCTATAGGACATGACTCAGGATGTTCGATTATAAAGTTCTTTAAAACATTAGCAACAAATATTAACGTCATCTCTTGTGCTAGTCCTTCTCCGACACACATTCTTTTACCTTAAACAAACACCGTTACGTTACTACTATGTACATTTTCCGCCTTACCACAAGAAAATGGAACAAATGATTCCGGTTTAAAGAATTTTCCATCGTCGTCCAAAAATCTCTCAGGACGAAATTCTTCCGGCATTTCGTAAACACTCGGATCCATGTGGATGGCCCATAACAACGGCATTATCATTGCACCTTTTGGAATTGTCAAACCTTCAATGCAGATATTGTCGGAGGCGCAATGTGGTGCTCCAAGTGGTACCACAGTTCTAATTCTAGCAATTTCAGCAATGGTTGCTTTAGTGTAATGTAAGTTAGCAAAGTCATTTATTTCCACTGTTTCAGTACGTAACACATCAAAAATTTCTTGTCGTACTTTATTTTGGACTTCGTGGTACTGCGCCAGGTATAATATAACCCACAGTAGAGACGTTGTGGTTGTTTCAGTAAAAGCTATAAAAACGTCGAATATGAGGTAGTGTAGTTGATCAAGGTTGTAAATGTCTTTAGGACTGTCTTTGGACATCTGTAGTAGAAAGGCCTCTACTAAGCTTGGCACTGAGTCTTTATTGTCATCATGCATGGATTTTTCACACTCGTTTACCAGTTTGGTTTGTACTTGACGCACTTTATGAACGGCGTCTTTTAGTGTAGCTAGTGTTCTTCTGAACTGTGGTAAAAACCTAAAAAATAACCAATGTATAATAATTTGGCTACAAAGTTTTCCCTCACCGTAGAAATGGCAAAAAATTCAGTGGGCCTCCAAAAGCTATGGTTTTAACCACATCGTCAAGATTGCGTGCTAAATCAGTAACCGTGGTGTCTTCCAACGAAAATGGTTTGCCCAAAAGTAACACACAAGCTAGACCACCTACGAAATGGGTCACCAGTTTTGAAGGATCCAGTGCCACACAATCAGCCTCATTTTTGACAACCTAATAATTGCAAAAATAGTTACTCAGATTTCATAGTACCAACCAACTCACTTGTACAAAATTTTCGGCATGCTGTGTTATCAACGCTTCACATTTTTTCTTGTTTGGTGAGACTCGAGTGGCCATTTTCAAAAAATTTGTTACAAATTTACGCTGATCTTTCCATCGTTCCACAGACGTGAAGAGGATTCCTGCAAGAACAACACAGCTTCCAATGTGGATTTTTTTTCGAGGTTGGTGGATACTGGATACCTTTGTTTTGGAATGCAGTGTTTGTCATGAAGAGTGGCGGTCTTGCAACAGATTCGTCCTTTATTAGGACTTTTTTTAATATTTTGGCGTCAGCTATGACAACAACGTTGATCAAGCCGAGTTTGAGGCCATAAACGGGTCCGTATTTTTTCACAAATTGGGTTAAAGTCAAGTGTGGTGCTTTTGGATCGAGTTTGTGGAGGCAGCCTACAATGGGTAAATTCCAAGGGCCTGGAAGGTGTTTTTTGCCGCGGAAGTAATTCAATAGAAGTATTAGTATTGTTATTATTAAAACATAAATGGCCATAACCATCTGAAAAATATTTATATATATTATTTATATTTTCTGGTGCAAGTAAAATACATACCTTTTGGAAATATTTCTTTTCGTTTCTTTAGGTGGATTATTTTCGGAGCACGTCACGATAGTGATAAAATTTTCACTTTACTTTACTTAGAAATTTAAAAAAATCAAACAAGTTCAGGTTCGAGTATAATAAAATTGTAATTGTTTTTTTATTACTGCACCCAAAACGTCGCAGAATTCGACTTACAAGGCAGCAAAATTTAACTCGCTCTATAAAGAGTTTGTTTTTATCATTTTGCATAAAATAACTACGAACTCAAACAAGTTTGTGGTTAAGACATCAAGCTATAAATATAATACTTGCTCACCCAAATACACTTTTGAATATAATTTATGTTAATGATATTTGTATTAGTGGTACCTGTTTCATTTTACTAGTTTGTCAATGAATGTTTTAACATTTATGAATTTATCTATTCTTCTTTTGGTATTTCTAGTAATTCTATACAGTTTCTGTATCAAAATGTACGGGGATTGCGTTCGAAATGTGTTGAATTTTCTCAATTTTCCGAAATTTTTGTTTTGGAACTTTTCAGTTTATTTATTATTCAATTTTTGGATTTTATGTTTTTCCAATTTTTCTCCTCTTCAATATTAGGATTTTTAAATATTTGGATTTTTCAATTTTTGACTTTTATAAACTCTCAATCAATTTTTCCATTTTTCAATTAATCGATGTCTGGATTTTACCATTTCTTGAAATTCGACTGTTTAGATTTTTCAGTTTTCAATTCTTCAATTTTTCGATTTTACAGGTTCTTAATTTTTCAATTTTTCAATTTTTTTATTTCTCAGTTTTTGGAAATATTAGTTTTGGGATTTTTCAGTTTTTCTTTCATTTTTTAATTTTTCGAAATTTCACTTTTGGAATTTTTCAGTTTATTCAATTTTTCGATTTTTAGTTTTTCAATTTCACGATTTTCAATTTTTCGATATCTCAATTTTCCGATGTGTCAATTTTACGTTTTTCCAATTTTTCTCTTCTTCAATTTTATGATTTTTAAATATTTCAATTTTTCAATTTTTCAAATTTAACTTTTATAAACTCACACTTTTTCGATTTTTCATTTCTTCAATTCTTCAATTTTTCAATTTTTAGGTTTTTAGTTTTTCAATTTTTAATGTTTTGATTTTTCGACTTCATTTTGATTTTTTGATTTCTCAATTTTTCAATTTTTCGAAATTTCAGTTTTGGGATGTTTCAGATTATTTGTTTTTTCAGTTTTTAAATTCTTCAATTTTTCGATTTTTCTGCTTTTTGATTTTTCAATTTTTCGTATTTTTAAGGTTTCGATTTTTCGACTTCAATTTTTCGATTTTTCGATTTCTTAATTTTTCAATTTTTTAAATTTTCAACTTTTGGAAACTTCAGTTTTGGGATTATTCAATTTTTCGATTTTACAATTTTTCAATTTCACGATTTTCAATGTTTCGATTTCTTTTTTCCGATGTTTCAATTTTCCGTTTTTCCAATTCTTCTCTTCTTCAGTGATTCAGCGATTTTTAAATATTTAGATTTTTTAATTTTCAAATTTGAGTTTCATAACCTCCTACTTTTTCGATTTTTCATTTCTTCAATTCTTCAATTTTTCAATTTTAAGGATTTTGATTTTTCAATTTTTTAGGGTTCCAATTCGACTTTACATTTTTGACTTTTTAATTTCTCAATTTTTCAGTTTTTTAGAATCTCAGTTGTTGGATATTTCAGTTTTGGGATTTTTCAGTTTTTCTTTAATTTTTCAATTTTTCAAAATTTCACTTTTTGGGATTTTTCAGTTTATTCAATTTTCCGATTTTCAATTCTCAATTTCACGATTTTCAATTTTTCGATGTCTCAGTTTTCCGATGTTTCAATTTTACGTTTTCCAATTTGTCTCTTCTTCAATTTTACGATTTTTGGATATTTAAATTTTTCGATTATTCGAACTTGACTTTTATAAACTCACTTTCGATTTTTCATTTCTTCAATTCTTCAATTTTTCAAATTTTAGGTTTTTAATTTCTCAATTTTCTGATTTTTCGAATTCACTTTTTTGACTTTTTGATTTCTCAATTTTTAAATTTTTCGAAATTTCAGTTTTGGGATGTTTCAGATTATTTGTTTTTTCAGTTTTTAAATTCTTCAATTTTTCGATTTTTCAGGTTTTTGATTTTTCAATTTTTCGATTTTTTTAAGGTTTCGATTTTCGACTTCACTTTTTTGAATTTTCGATTTCTCAATTTTTCAGTTTTGTAATTTCTCGGATTTTGGATATTTCAGTTTTGGGATTTTTCAATTTTTCTTTTATTTTTCAATTTTTCGAAATTTCGCTTTTGGGATTTTTCAGTTTATTCAATTTTTCGATTTTCAATTATTCGATATCTCAATTTTCCGATGTTTCAGTTTTACGTTTTACAATTTTTCTCTTCTTCAATTTTACGATTTTTAAAAATTTCGATTTTTCAATTCTTCAATTCTTCAATTTTTAGGTTTTTAATTTTTCATTTTTTTAAGGTTCTGATTTTTCAACTGCACTTTTTTGACTTTTTGATTTCTCAATTTTTCAACTTTTTAATTTCTCAGATTTTGGATATTTCAGTTTTGAGATTTTTCAATTTTGTTCTCATTTTTCAATTGTTCGAAATTTCAGTTTTCGGATGTTTCAGATTATTTGTTATTCAATTTTTCGATTTTTAATTTTCCGATGTTTCAATTTTACGTGTTTTCAATTTTTTTCCTCTTCAATTTTACGATTTTGAAATATTTCGATTTTTGAATTTTCCAATTTTTGATTTTTTTTAAATTTTCAATTTTTCGATTTTTCAATTAATCGATGTCTTGATTTTCCCATTTCTTGACCTTCCACTGTTACGATTTTCCGGTCCTTCAATTCTTCAATTTTCCGATTTTTCAAGTTTGGATTTTCCAATTTTTCGAAATTTTTAAAGTTTCGATTTTTCGACTTCACTTTTTTGAATTATCGGTTTCTCAATTTTTCAATTTTAGATTCTCAGCTTTTGGATATTTCAGTTTTGTGATTTTTCGGTTTTCCTTTCATTTTTCAATGTTTCGAAATTTCAGTTTAACTATTATTCAATTTTTCGATTTTACAATTTTTCAAATTTTCCATTTTACGATTTTCGGTTTTTTAATTTTCCGATGTTTCAGTTTTACGTTTTTTCAATTTTTCTCTTCTTCAATTGTACGATTTTTTTAAACATTTCGATATTTCAATTTTTCAAATTTGACTTTTATAAACTCTCAGTTGTTCGATTTTTCATTTCTTCAATTCTTCACCTTTTTAGGTTTTTGATTTTTTAATGTTTCAATTTTTTAAGGTTTTGATTTTACGACTTTACTTTTTGAATTTGATTACTCAATTTTTCAAATTTTTAATTTCTCAGGTTTTGGATATTTCAGTTTTGGAATTTTTTAGTCTTTCCATTCTTCAATTTTACAATTTTTAAATATTTCGATTTTTCGACTTTTCAATTTTTGACTTTTTTAAATTCTCAGTTTTTCGATTTTTCAATTAACACATATTTTGATTTTTCCATTTGTTGATATTCGACTGTTTCGATTTTCCAGTTCTTCAATTCTTCAATTTTTCAATTTTGTAGAATTTTTGATATTTCAGTTTTGAGATGTTTCAGTTTTTCTTTCATTTTTCAATTTTTCCAATTGAAAAATTTTTCAATTTGACTTTTATAAACTCTCAGTTTTTCGATTTTTCATTTCTTCAATTCTTCAAGTTTCCAATTTTATAGGTTCTTGATTTTTTTAAGGTTTTTATTTTGCGACTTCACTTTTTGACTTTATGATTACTCAATTTTTCAACTTTTTAATTCTTGTTTTTGAATATTTCAGTTTTAAAATTTTTCAATTTTTCCATTCTTCAATTTTACAGTTTTAAATATTTCGATTTTTCGATTTTTTAGTTTTTGACTTTTCTAAATTCTCAATTTTTCGATTTTTCAAATAATGCATGTTTTACGTTTTTTCAATTTTACGATTTTTCAATTTTTAAATTTGACTTTTATAAACTCTCAGTTTTTTGACTTTTCATTTCTTCAATTCTTCAATTTTCCAATTTTTTAGATTTTTGATGTTTTAATTTTTCAATTATTTAAGGTTTGATTTTTCGACTTCACTTTTTGATTTCTCAATTTTTCAGTTTTTTAATTTCTCTGTTTTTGGTTATTTCAGTTTTGAGATTTTTCAGTTTTTCCAGTTTACAATTTTTAAATATTTCGGTTTTTCGATTTTTCAATTCGTGACTTTTCTAAATTCTCAATTTTTCGATTTTTCAATTAATCGGTGTTATGATTTTCCCATTTCTTGAATTTCGACTAATTAGATTTTCCAGTTTTTCAATTTTTCGATTTTTCAAGTTATTGATTTTTCAATTTTTTTAAAGGTTTCGATTTTTGGACTTCACTTTTTGATTTTTAGATTTTTCAATTGTTAAATTTTTTAGATTCTCACCTTTTGGATATTTCCGTTTTGCCATTCTTCAGTTTTTCTTTCATTTTTCAGTTTTTGGGATTTTTTAATATTTCGATCCGACTTTCCGATTTTTGACTTCTGGATTTTTCAATTTTAGATTTTTAGATTTGTAGATTTTTCATTTCAATTTTTCGAATTTTTCAAATTCATATTTCAATTTCTTAATCTTTAGATTTTTCGCCTTCCCGGTTTTAATTTTCTCTTTCTCAACTTTTCGTTTTTTCAAATTTTCGACTTTTTTATTCTATTTTTTAAATTCGGTATTTTAATTATTCAGTTTCTCTATTTATCAGTTCTGCAATTTATAACGTTTCCATTTTTTATTTTAGCCTATTTCGGTTTCTCAGTTTTCAGTTTTTTTGTTTTTTTTATTCTCCAATTTTTTAACTTTTAACTTTTCCTTTTTCAATTTTGGCCTATTTCGGTTTCTCAATTTTTCGATTTTCCGACTTCAGCAGGACTTCGATTTCTCGATCTTTTGATCTTTCGATTTTTTTGATTGTTCAGTTTATCGATTTATCAATTTTTCTACATATTTTTAACTTTTCGATTTTGGCCTACTTTTGTTTATCAATTATTTTTTTTTACTTTTCGGATATTCATTTTAATGTGCAGTTATTTAATTTTTTGTCAATTTTCTAATTATGTTTTGTAGAAGTTTGGTTAGGATCAATTAGGGTATTAAGGAATCCAGTTTATGTAGTCGTAAGCGACCTATAACTGGAAGATTCCATAACGAAATAAAATATAACGTAGATATACCTTGATATAGAATTCTAAGGAAGGATTTCTACATTTTGGGGTTACATAGACTATGAAACACAAAAGTACAAACTACAAAACAAGAAAAAAACCTACTAAAATGACACTATTTAGTATTTTCCATGTCACAAGGTTTATATTTCTTTAAATATTATCTTCTGGGGTTTAGGGATTAGCAAAGCACCACACACACCCGTGAAATCCAGCACCGACGACTCAGGACGTTCGATTTTAAAATTCTTCACGACAGTAGCAACAAAAATCGACATCATCGTTTGCGCTATTTCTTCTCCAAGACACATTCTCTTCCCTGAAAAAAAGTCAACCCTCCTCATTTCTTCACAACTTCTTCTATCTTACCACTCTGAAACGGAACGAACGTATCCGGCTTGAAAAATTGTCCTTCGTCGTCCAAGAACCTCTCAGGACAAAACTCCTCCGGGTTTTCGTACACATCTGGATCCATATGAATCGCCCACAACAATGGCATTATCATTGCGTCTTTGGGAATCGTAAAACCCTCAACACAAATGGTTTCGGTCGCATAGTGCGGAAGTCCAGTTGGTGTTAAACTTCTGATTCTAGTGGCTTCAGCAATGGCTGCTTTGATGTAGGGTAAGTGGGCAAAGTCGTCCATTTTTACTTGTTCACTTCGCGATACTTCAAAGAGTTCTTGGCGTATCTTGGTTTGGACTTCGTCGTACTGAGCTAAATATAGCAAAATCCAGAGGAAAGTGGTTATTACAGCTTCAGTGAAAGCTAGAAAAATGTCAAACAAGAGGAAATCTAGTTGGTCGAGATTGTAGATATGGCTAGGGCTGCCTTTAGACATTTTCACAAGAAACGCGTCGATTAAATTTGGCATGGGATCTTCACCGGTGGATTTTTCACATTCGTTTATCAAGATCTGTTGATTTTCAATTTTCCGATGTTTCAGTTTTACGTTTTATTCCAATTTTTCTCCTCTTCAATTTTACGATTTTTAAATAAGTATTTCGATTTTTCAATTTTTCAAATTTGACTTTTGTAAACTCTGTGTTTCGATTTTTCATTTCTTCAATTCTTCAATTTTCAAATTTTATAGGTTTTTGATTTTTTAATGTTTCAATTTTTTAAGGTTTTGAGTTTGCGACTTCACTTTTTGGTTTTATGATTTCTCAATTTTTCAACTTTTTAATTTCTCAATTTATGGATATTTTAATTTTGAGATTTTTCAGTTTTTCGAATCTTCAATTTTACAACTGTTAATCATTTCAATTTTTCGATTTTTCCTCTTCACTTTTTTGATTTTTTGATTTCTCAATTTTTCAATTTTGGATATTTCAGTTTTGGGATTTTTCAGTTTTTCTTTCATTTTTCAATTTTTCGAAATTTCAGTTTTTCAAATTTAACTCGGTGTTTCGTCTTTTCATTTATTCAATTTTCCAATTTTATAGATTTTAGATTTTTTTAATGTTTCAGTTTCTTAAGGTTTCGAGTTTACGACTTCACTTTTTGACTTTCTGATCTCTCAATTTTTCAACATTTTAATTTTTCAGTTTTTCTAATCTTCAATTTTACAATTTTTAAATATTTCGATTTTTCGATTTTTCAGTTTTTGGCTTTTCTAAATTCTTAATTTTTCGATTTTTTAATTTTTGGATTTCTTTAAGGTGTCGATGTTTCCTATTCACTTTTTTGATTTTTCGATTTCTCAATGTTTGAATTTATTAGATTCTCAGCTTTTGGATATTTCAGTTTTGGAATTTTTCAGTTTTTCTTTCATTTTTCAATTTTTTGAAATTTTAGTTTTGGGATTTATCAGTTTATTTATTACTCAATTTTTCGATTTTTCAATTTTTCAAATTTGACTTTTATAAACTCTCAGTTTTTTGATTTTCATTTCTTCCATTCTTCAGTTTTCCAATTTTATAAGTTTTTGATTTTTTAATGTTTCAATTTTTTAAAGTTTTGAGTTTGCGACTTCACTTTTTGGTTTTATGATTTCTCAATTTTTCAACTTTTTAATATCTCAATTTATGGATATTTCAATTTTGAGATTTTTCAGTTTTTCTAATCTTCAATTTTACAACTTTTAATCATTTCGATTTTTCGATTTTTCAATTTTCGACTTTTCTAAATTCTCATTTTTTTTATTTTTCAATTAATACATGTTTTAATTTTCCCATTTGTTGATTTTCGACTGTTTCGATTTTCCAGTTCTTCAATTCTTCAATTTTTCGATTTTCCCATTTTCCAGTTTTTCAATTCTTCAATTTTTCGATTTTTTTTGAGGTTTCGATTTTTTCTCTTCACTTTTTTGATTTTTTAATTTCTCAATTTTTCAATTTTGGATATTTCAGTTTTGGGATTTTTCAGTTTTTCTTTCAATTTTTCGAAATTTCAATTTTTCAAATTTGACTTTTATAAACTCTCAGTTTTTCGACTTTTTATTTCAATTTTCCAATTTTACAGATTTTTGATTTTTCGGTTTTTTAATGTTTCGAGTTTGCGACCTCACTTTTTGACTTTCTGATCTCTCAATTTTTCAACATTTTAATTTTTCAGTTTTCTAATCTTCAATTTTACAATTTTGTAAATATTTCGATTTTTCGATTTTTCAATTTTAGACTTTTTTAAATTCTCATTTTTTTTATTTTTCAATTAATACATGTTTTAATTTTCCCATTTGTTGATTTTCGACTGTTTCGATTTTCCAGTTCTTCAATTCTTCAATTTTTCGATTTTCCCATTTTCCAGTTTTTCAATTCTTCAATTTTTCGATTTTTTTTGAAGTTTCGATTTTTTCTCTTCACTTTTTTGATTTTTCAATTTCTCAATTTTTCAATTTTGGATATTTCAGTTTTGGGATTTTTCAGTTTTTCTTTCATTTTTCAATTTTTCGAAATTTCAATTTTTTAAATTTGACTTTTATAAACTCTCAGTTTTTCGACTTTTCATTTCAATTTTCCAATTTTACAGATTTTTGATTTTTCGGTTTTTTATTATTTCGAGTTTGCGACCTCACTTTTTGACTTTCTGATCTCTCAATTTTTCAACATTTTAATTTTTCAGTTTTCTAATCTTCAATTTTACAATTTGTAAATATTTCGATTTTTTGATTTTTCAATTTCTGACTTCTAAATTCTCAATTTTAAAATTTTTCAATTAATACATGTTTTGATTTTCCCATTTGTTGATTTTCGACTGTTTCGATTTTCCAGTTTTTCAATTCTTCAATTTTTGGATTTTTCAATTTTTTGATTTTTCGATTTCTCAATTTTTCAATTTTTTAGAATCTCAGATTTTGGATATTTCAGTTTTGGGATTTTTCAATTTTTCTTTCAGTTTATTTATTATTCAATTTTATAATTTTTCAATTTTTCATTCACGATTTTTAATTTTCCGATGTCAGTTTTACGTTTTTCCAATTTTTCTCCTCTTCAATTTTACGATTTTTAAATATTTCGATTTTTCAATTTTTAAATTTGACTTTTATAAACTGTCAGTTTTTCGACTTTTCATTTCTTCAATTCTTCAATTTTTCAATTTTTTAAGCTTTTGACTTTGCGACTTCAATTTTTGACTTTTTGATTTATCAATTTTTCGATTTTTTAATTTCTCACTTTTTGGATATTTCAGTTTCGAGATTTTTCAGTTTTTCCATTTTTCAATTTTACAATTTTTAAATATTTCGATTTTTCAATTAATCGATGTCTTGATTTTCCCATTTCTTGACTTTCGACTGTTCCGATTTTCCAGTTTTGAGGTTTTGGATTTTTCGAATTTTCAGGTTTTTGATTTTTTCAATTAGATTCTCACCTTTTGGATATTTCAGTTTTGGGATTTTTCAATATTTCGATATGTCGATTCTTTTACTTTTTCGATTTTTTATTTTTAGATTTTTCGATTTCTTGATTTTTCATTTCAATTCTTCCATATTTCAATTTTTCAATTTTTCAAATGTTTCAATTTCTTAATCTTTTCGATTGTCAAATTTGTGCTAGTTCGATTTCTCAATCTTTTCACTTTACGATTTTCAGTTTTTCGGTTTTCAATTTTCCGATGTTTCAATTTTACGTTTTTTCAGTTTTTCTCTTCTTCAATTTTACGTTTTTTAAATAAGTATTTTGATGTTTAATTTTTCAAATTTGACTTTTATAAACTCCCAGTTTTTCGAATTTTTGATTTCTTCAATTTTCCAATTTTATAGATTTTTGATTTTTTAATGTTTAAGTTTTTTAAAGTTTTGAGTTTGCGACTTCACTTTTTGGCTTTATGATTTCTCAGTTTCTCAACTTTTTAATTGCTCAGTTTTTGGTTATTTCAGTTTTTCCATTCTTCAATTTTACAATTTTTAATAATTTAGATTTTTCGACTTTTCAACTTTTGACTTTTCTAAATTCTCAATTTTTCGGTTTTTCAATTAATACATGTTTTGATTTTCCCATTTATCGGTTTTCCAGTTCATCAATTCTTCAATTTTTTTATTTTTTTGAGGTTTCGATTTTTCCTCTTCAATTTTTTGATTTTTCGATTTCTCAATTTTTCGAAATTTCAGTTTTTCAAATTTGACTTTTATAAACTCTCAGTTTTTCGACTTTTCATTTCTTCAATTTTCCAATTTTATAGATTTTTGATTTTTTAATGTTACAGTTTTTTAAGGTTTCGAGTTTGCGACTTCACTTTTTGACTTTCTGATCTCTCAATTTTTCAACATTTTAATTCTTCAGTTTTTCTAATCTTCAATTTTACAATTTGTAAATATTTCGATTTTTTGATTTTTTTGAGGTTTCGATTTTTCCTCTTCAATTTTTTGATTTTTCGATTTCTCAATTTTTCAAGTTTTCGAAATTTCAGTTTTTCAATTTCTGACTTTTCTAAATTCTCAATTTTTCCATTTTTCAATTAATACATGTTTTGATTTTCTCATTTGTTGATTTTCGACTGTTTCGATTTTCCAGTTTATCAATTCTTCAACTTTTCGATATTTCAATTTTTCGATTTTTTTGAGGTTTCGATTTTTCCTCTACATTTTTTTGATTTTTCGATTTGCCAATTTTTCAATTTTTTATAATCTCAGATTTTGGATTAATCAGTTTTGGGATTTTTCAACTCTTCTTTCAGTTTATTTATTATTCAATTTTTCAATTTTACAATTTTTCAATTTTTCAATTTTTCATTCACGATTTTTAATTTTCCTATGTTTCAGTTTTACGTTTTTCCAGTTTTTCTCCTCTTCAATTTTACGATTTTTAAATATTTCGATTTTTCAATTTTTAAACTTGACTTTTATAAATTCTCAGTTTTTCGACTTTTCATTTCTTCAATTCTTCAATTTTACAATTTTTTAGGCTTTTGATGTTTTAATTTTTCAATTTTTTAAGGTTTTGATTTCCCAACTTCACTTTTTTGACTTTTTGATTTTTCAATATTTCAGTTTCTCAATTTTTGGATATTTCAGTTTCGAGATTTTTCAGTTTTTCCATTCTTAAATTTTACAATTTTTTAATGTTTCGATTTTTCGTTTTTTCAATTTTTGACTTTTCTAAATTCTCAATTTTTCAATTTTTCAATTAATACATATTTTAATTTTCCCATTTTTTCCGATTTTTCAGGTTTTTGATTTTTCAATTTTTCAATTTTTTTAAGATCGCGATTTTTCAACTTCACTTTTTTTATTTTTCCATTCTTCAGTTTTTTTTTCATTTTCCAGTTTTGGGATTTGTCAACATTTCGAATCTTCGACTTTTCGATTTTTGACTTCTGGATTTTTCGATGTGTCGAATCTTTTAATTTTGGATTTTTCAATTTTAGATTTTTCGATATTTCATTTTGATTCTTCGATATTTCAATTTTTCAAATGTTTCAATTTCTTAATCTTTCGATTTTTCGACTTCCCGGTTTTAAATATTTCGATTTTTCAATTTTTAAATTTGACTTTTATAAACTCAGAGTTTTTCGACTTTTAATTTCTTCAATTCTTCAATTTTCCAATTTTTTAATATTTCGATTTTTCGTTTTTTCAATTTTTGACTTTTCCGAGTTCTCAATTTTTTGATTTTTCAATTAATACATATTTTAATTTTTCAACTTTTCATTTTTTTTAAGGTCGCGATTTTTCAACTTCACTTTTTTGATTTTTAGATTTTTCAGTTTTTAAATTTTTAGGGTCTCACCTTTTGGATATTTCAGTTTTTCTTTCATTTTCCAGTTTTACGATTTCAGTTTTGGGATTTTTCAATATTTCGAATCTTCGATTTTCCGATTTTTTACTTCTGAATTGTTGGATGTGTCGATTCTTTTACTTTTTCGGTTTTTCAATTTTAGATTTTTCGCTTTCTCGATTTTTCATTTCAATTCTTCGATATTTCAATTTTTCAAATGTTTCAATTTTTCGTTTTTAAAATTTTCATTTTTTTTTTTTATTTATTAAATTTTTCGATTTTTCAGTGTTGTGATTTCCCGATTTATCGAAATTTGGAAGTTTCGATGTTTTAATTGTTCAGTTTCCCGATTTATCAATTTTCCTATTTTTGACTTTTCGATTTTTCGATTTTGGCCAATTTCAGTTTCTCAATTTTTCGACTTCTCGATTTCTCGATCTTTTCATTTTTCGATGTTTCAATTTAATGCGCAGTTACTTTTTGTAGGAGTTTGGTTAACTAACCTATAATTGGAAGATTCCTTAATAAAATAAAATATAACGTTGATACCTTGATATAGAATTCTAAGGAAGGATTTCTATATTTTGGGGTTACATTGACTATGAAACACAAAAGCACAAACTACAAAACAAGAAAAAACCTACTAAAATGACACTATTTAGTATTTTCCATGTCAAAAGTTCCACATCTATATTTCTTTAAATATTATCTTCTGGGGTTTAGGGATTAGCAAAGCACCACAAACACCCGTGAAATCCAGCACCGACGAGTCAGGACGTTGGATTTTAAAATTCTTCACGACAGTAGCAACAAAAATCGACATCATCGTTTGCGCTATTTCTTCTCCAAGACACATTCTCTTCCCTAAAAAAAAGTCAACCCTCCTCTTTTCTTCACAACTTCTTCTATCTTACCACTATGAAACGGAACGAACGTATCCGGCTTGAAAAATTGTCCTTCGTCGTCCAAAAACCTCTCAGGACAAAACTCCTCCGGGTTTTCGTACACATCTGGATCCATATGAATCGCCCACAACAATGGCATTATCATTGCGTCTTTGGGAATCGTAAAACCCTCAACACAAATGGTTTCGGTCGCATAGTGCGGAAGTCCAGTTGGTGTTAAACTTCGAATTCTGGTGGCTTCAGCAATGGCTGCTTTGGTATAGGGTAAGTGAGCAAAATCGTCCATTTTTACTTGTTCACCTCGCGATACTTCAAACAATTCTTGTCGTATCTGGGTTTGGACTTCGTCGTACTGAGCTAAATATAGCAAAATCCAGAGGAAAGTGGTTATTACAGCTTCAGTGAAAGCTAGAAAAATGTCAAACAAGAGGAAATCTAGTTGGTCGAGGTTGTAGATATGGCTAGGGCTGCCTTTAGACATTTTCACAAGGAACGCGTCGATTAAATTTGGCATGGAATCTTCACCAGTGGATTTTTCACATTCGTTTATCAAGATCTGTTGAATTTCGCGCACTCTGCCGACGATTTTGTCTACCGACTTTAGTGTGGCTTTGAACTAGGGTAAAAAACTACAAAAAATGATACGTTCAAGACAATATAGTTTGGTTATAAATTGTCTGCATACCGTAAAAGGGGCAAAAAGTTTAATGCACCTCCAAAGGTTACAAATTCCACTAGTTTATCAAGATTGTGTACCAAATCGGTGACCAGTTTGTCATCCAGCAAAGACGCCTTGCCCAAAAATAACCCACCAGCGATACTGCTGACGCACTGAGTGACAAGTTCTGCAGGATTCACTGGTACACCAGGAGCTTGAGTTTTCACAGCCTAGTTGCAAATTCGAGTGAAAAGTTCTAAACTTTTTGTCAACCAACTTACTTGTACAAATTTTTCAATTTGTTTGGTCACCATCTCCTCCCAGTTTTTCTTATTTGGTGAAATTTTAGAGATCCCTGCTCCTTTCAGAAAATTCGCTACGAATCTACGCTGGTCCTTCCATACATCAAGGGATGTGAATACGAGTCCTGTAAAAATATACAGTCTTCAAACTTTTCTATAGAAGCAGTACCTTTGTTTCCGAATACAGTGTCTATCATGTAAAGATGAGGTCTTGCAAGCGCTTCGTCCTTTGCTAACACCTTTTTTAATATTTTGCCATCACCGATAACGACAACATTAAGCGAGCCAAATTTGATTTTATAAACGGGTCCATATTTTTGGACAAGGTTTGTTAAAGTCAAGTGAGGTGCTTTTGGATCCAGTTTGTGCAAGTAGCCTACAATGGGTAAGTTCCAGGGGCCTGGGAGACATTTTTTGCCAGTTTTCGGCAGAAGTATTAGTACCACTATTATTATTATTAAGAACCACAAAGCCGCGATCATTTTTGACGACTGGGTTATAATAATGTCCTCATTCGCCTTCAATTTTCCACAAGGTACATAAAAACTTAAATCATAAAGTATCTAGTAGAACAAGTATTTTCGTTGCTTCGTTTGAAATAATAAGAATCATTATTAAAACAAGTTTAGTACTACGCAGTTGTTCTCACACTTATTTCGTAGCTACCACCAGTCGACACTAATCACTTCTACCAATCACTTTTTTGACGAAAGCAATATACAGGGTTTTTCAAAGGTTTCACTAAACTTCTCTTCAAATCCAACCGCCCTTTTGCCCGCTTCCACTCTCATTTTCTCCCTTTTTGTTTCTTCTCTCACTATGTACCCCAGCGTATACTTTTTTAATCCCAATGTCCATTTTAAGTTTTTCAGTTTTTAACTTTTCTGTTTTTCGGTTTTGGCTCTTATGATTTGTCGGTTTTTTAATTTTCAGTTTCTCGTTTTCGATTTTTGGATTTTTTAAATTTGCGATTTTTCGACTTCGATTTCTAAATTTTTCAGTTTCTCGATTCTTCAGTTTTTGTTCGATTTTGCAATTTTTCGATATTCAGTTTTGGGATTTCTCACTATTTCGATTCTTCAATTCTTGATTTCTCAATTTTGATGTTTCGATTTCTCAAATTTTCGGTTCTTAAATTTTAGATAATTCAATTTTTCGCGTTTCTACTTCAATTTCTTTTTTGGTTTGTAAATTTTTTGTTTTATGCGACTTTTGAACTTTTGGATTTCTGGATTTTCAGTTTTTCAATTACCCAACTTTTCGATTTTTCAATTTTTGATGTTTCTAAACTATCAGTTTTTCGATTTCTCATTTTCTCGATTAATCAATTTTTGGTTTTTCCCATTTTTCGAATTCTCGACTTTTCAGTTTTTCAGTTCTTCAGTTTTTGGAATTTTTAGGTTTTTTAGGTTTTCAGTTCTTCGTTTTTCTTAAATTTTCGATTTTTTTGCTTCGATTTTTCAACTTTTCGATCTCTAGATTTTTCAGTTTTGAAAATTTTCAATTTTTCGTTTCTTCAATTTTTCTCCCATGTTTCAATTTTCCAATGTTTCAATTTTCCAATGTTTCAATTTTGGAATTTTTCAAATATTTCGATTTTTCAATTTCTGAAATATTTGGTTTTCCGAGTTTTAAATTCTAGATTTTGAATTTTTCGGTTTTTGAAGTACAATTTCTCGATTCTCAATTTTTCGATTTTTTAGATTTTCGATTTTTCGTCTCTGATTTCTAGATTTTTCAGTTTTTCGATATTTCAGTTTTGGGATTTTCACTATTTCGATTCTTCAATTTTGACTTTTTCGATTTTTTAAATTTTCAGTTCTTAAATTATAGATAATTAAATCTTTCGCGTTTCTGCTTCGATTTGAGGAATTTTCCGTTTCCCCATTTTCGATTTTCGATTTTTTTTATTTTAAATTTTTAAATTTTTGAGTTTTTAAGTTCTCAATTTTTTGATTTAGCTTTGCAATTTTTTTGATTTTTTTACTTTTGTAGTTTTTGATTCCCGGATTTTCAGTTCTTCAATTACTCAATTTGTTGATATTGCCGTTTTGGGGGTGTTAAATTTTTCGATTTCTCAATTTTTGACGTTTCTAAATTTTTAATTTTTACTTCCCGAGCGTAAGCAAAGGAAGTATTGTAATCGAGTCCGTCGGTCGACTCTCTACTTTTACGTTTTCTCGATCTTTCATGACCCCTAGAAGACGAAGAAATAGGTCTCCCATTTCCGTCTGTCTGTCCGTCTGTCCGTCTGTCCGTCTGTCCGTCTGTCCGTCTGTCCGTCTGTCCGTCTGTCCGTCTGTCCGTCTGTCCGTCTGTCCGTCTGTCCGTCCGTCTGTCCGTCCGTCTGCCGTCCCGGATTTTTATTAGACAGATAATCTCCGAAAGTACTCGACCGATTGTTGTGAAATTTTGTACTTATATTAAGAATATCATGTAGATGGTAAAACGCTAACCAAAATTTGTCTAATCATCCCCACCACTAATGCGATGACGTCACTTCAAAATTGTACATAGTAAATGGGTTTTCAATTGTATAAAATAACATAGTCCTACACATGTAGTTTACAACTCTGAATCGACTTTTCACCCGAAACGTCCAGATTTTTGGAAAAAAAATTAAAATTATAAAACAACATTTTGAAATTTAATTTTTAATCTGCTAACCAGAATGCTTTGAAAAGTTGCAGATGTTTTAAGGCTATAAAGAGCATAATAAATTTATAGTCAAAAAATATTTGCTTATCCCCTCCAAAAACTTGATGACGTCAGCTCAAAAGTTTGTGGAATAAATCATATCTAAAATGTACAAAATATGATGAGTCTGTACTTGTGATCTATACTCCATTCATATTTTTTGGATTTGCATATACAGGGTGACTCAAAAAAATTAATGAATGCGTAAATTTAATTTACTGATTTACTCAGAAACTACAAAACCGAATGCTTTGAAATCTTGCAGATGTTTTAAGGTTATAAAGAGCATAATAAATGTTTAGTCAAAATATATTTGCTTATCCCCTCCAAAAAATTGATGACGTCAGCTCGAAAGTTTGCCGAATAAATCCTATCTAAACTGTAAAAATATGATGAGTCTGTACTGGTAATTTATCACTCCATTCATATTTTTTGGATTTGCATATACAGGGTGACTCAAAAAAATTAATGAATGCGTAAATATATTTTATTGATTTAATCAGGAACTACAAAACCGAATGCTCTGAAATCTTGCAGATGTTTTAAGGACATAAAGAGCATAATAAATGTTTAGTCAAAATATATTTGCTTATCCCCTCCAAAAACTTGATGACGTCAGCTCGAAAGTTTGCCGAATAAATCATATCTAAAATCTACAAAATATGATGAGTCTGTACTTGTCATTTATCATTCCATTCATATTTTTTGGATTTGCATATACAGAGTGACTCAAAAAAATTAATGAATGCGTAAATATATTTTATTGATTTAATCAGGAACTACAAAACGGAATGCTCTGACATCTTGCAAATGTTTTAAGGTTATAAAGAGCATAATAAATGTTTAGTCAAAATATATTTGGTTATCTTCTACAAAAAACTGATGACGTCAGCTCAAAAGTTTGCCGAATAAATCGTATCTAAATTGTACAAAATATGATGAGTCTGTACTTGTGATTTATCATTCCATTCATATTTTTGGATTTGCATATGCAGGGTGACTAAAAAAAATTAATGAAGGCGTGAATTTATTTTATCGATTTAATCAGGAATTACAAAACCGAATGCTTTGAAATCTTGGGAATATTTTAAAGTTATTATATGGTAAACTTTTGTTCAAAATGTATTTGTTCATCCCTCCTAAAAAAATTGATGACGTCACCCTTAAATTTTGCTGAATAAATCCTATCTAAAATGCAAAAAATATGATGAGTTTGTACTTGTGATATATCATTCCATTCATATTTTTTAGATTTTCTTAAGAGGTGGTTCAAAAAAAGGCGGCGTATACCTGAGTAAATTGTTTCGTTATTTTATTGATTATAAGAAATCAATATTCAAAACGACCCAATTCATTTTCCCGAAAATTTGGGAATACAATAATTTTATTCTTAGTATTACACTACATCTATCCCAACTGATATACGTGTCCTTGCAAAAATGTTGATGACGTCATCACAATTTTTTTTTAAATTCCCACTACAAAAATGTAATGAGAAAAAAAAACACAATAGGCATGCAGTCGTCAAGTTTCCGACAGCGAGGGAAGTACTGTCTAAACTCTTTAGACCAATTTTTTATTTGAAGGTTGGTAATAATGTTCTTCAACATAACGAATCGTTTACGCGAGCGAAGCCGCGGGCGAAAATCTAGTATTATTTATAATGTTTAAATACGACACGTATTAATATATGATAATTAAATCGTTTTCTTAACAACACAAAGTTACTAAAAACAAAGCAATTTGTTCAAATACTAGCTGACCCCGTGAACTTCGTTTCACCTACAATTTAATTTTGAATCTGCAAAATCGAATGCTTTGAAATCTTGCAGATGTTTTAAACATATGCTAAGCATAATACATTTTTATTCAAAATATATTTACTTATCCCCTCCAAAAAATTGATGACGTCAGCCCAAAATTTTGCCAAATGAATCCTATCTAAAATGTCCAAAATAGGATGAGACTATACTTGTGATTTATCATTCCATTCATATTTTTAGTTTTGCTTATAGGGGGTGTCTCAAAAAAATTAATCACTGAGTCAATTTATTTTATTGACTGAATCAAGAATTGCAAAACTGAATTTTTACTGTTTGACATGGTAGATTTTCAATCAAAATATATCCTAATCTAAAATCTGGAAAATATCATCAGTATATTTTCGTAATTTATCATTGCATTCATATTTTTTAGATTTGCTTTTACAGTGACTCAAAAAAATATATGGATGTCAATTTCTTTTAGTGAATAACTCAAGAGTTGCAAAAATGAATACTTTGAGATCTTGCAGACGTTTTAAAGTTATTGTAAGCATGGTAAATTGTTAAGAATATTTATTTATTGCCCCCAAAAAATTGATGGAATGGCTCACTCGATTTTCGCAGATAATTTTGGGAATACAATACAGTTATTTTTAGTATTACACTGCACCAATCCAAGGTGGTATACGTGTTGATCGTAAATGTTGATTAGGTCATCACGAAATTGTGTGAAGAAAAGACTCAACTCGAAAATGCTGAATATTATACTTTTGGTGCGAAGGAAGTTCTGTCGAAACAACGTTCGATCAATTTTTTGACAATGGTTGATATAAATAAAACTCAGTAGATGCTCATACTCAAAATACGAAGAATCTACTCGAATATCAAATCAAAATATTTCTAGTTTTTCTAGATGATATTAATACTTCAGTAGGTAACAGTTGATGCTCAAGTAGCATCTCGATACAACAAAAAAGGACAACAGTGACAGTGTTCAACCATCAAAGCAAAAATCGAGTCAC